TTATTATTAATTAAAAATATATAAAATTAAAATTATACTTAAGCTAAATTATTAATAAAGATAAGCTATTTAAATAAATAAGGAATAAGTTTTGCTAAATTCTTTTAAGGGCAACTTAAGGAAGAGTTTTAATATAATAAAAAGGGAAGATAAGAATAAAAAGGAGCTAAAAAAGGGAAAAAGCAAGTATTTTAAAAAATTTTAAAAATAAGAAAAGCTTAATTAAAGCATTAAATATATAAAAAAAGAAAAGAATTAATTTTTTTAAAAATATTTAAAATAAGCATAAAAGCTAGCTTTTTATAGCTAGCCGGAATTTAGCGCAGTATTATTCCTTACGTATTTCTTTGCCCCTATTAATAATATAAAAATATAAGATTAAGTTTTATTTTAATAATAAGAAAATTAATAAATTTAATAAGCAATTAATATATTATTATATTTATTGCAATATCATTAAATTCTTCTTATTATAGAAATAAATTTAAATTTATAAAATTTATTTTTAATTATAATTAAATATATTAAAGTATTTTAAAATTCATTAAGTATATTCCTTTTAAGAAATGTAAATTTTATTATTAATTTATATAATTTTTAATTTAAGTAGGTATTTATAAAAATTAAGATCCTTATATTTAAAATATTGCATAAGCTTAGTATGAAATTTATTAACTTAAAAGGAACTCTTAATAATAAGAATATTATTAATATAAATAGTAATGATAATTTAATTTTTAATGAAAATGCAAGGGTTAAATATTATCTTTATTAAATATTAAATTATTTGCAGCTTAATTATTTAAGTTTATATAAAGCACTTAAAAGTTTTAAAATAACTTGCTAATTATTAAATAATATTTAATACTCTTATAGTAATTATATATAAATATTATGTTTTAAATAATTATATAAGTATATTATTTTAATATTAAATTGCTAAAGCTATTAACTTATTATAGCGGTAATAATAATAATTAATCTTAAACTATTATAATGCATTATAAGGTTATAAATATTATTATAATTTATATTATGGATTTATATATATTTATAAGCAATAAGTTAAGCTTTATAATAAATAAGCTTATTAAAAGCATTAAACTTCTTTATATAAACTTAGCAAGGATTAATAATATATTAATTTATAATAATAAGTACTTTAACTTATATATTTATATTTAAAAATAATTTAAGTTCCCTTTTAATAGCTTATTGCTAAGTATTTTTTTTTATTACTTTTTATAGCCTATATATATATATTAAAAATATTATTAATATTTATTATATTAATAAATAATGCTTAAGTAAAGATTTAATTAAGGTAATTAGCATTAATTAATATTAATTAAGTAGGATTTAATATAAAGTTTATATTAATTAATATTAAATTATTAAAATCTTTAAAATAATTTATAGTAATATTTGCATTTTCTTTTACTTTTTATAAAGGCTAAATTTATTATCTTTAAAAACTCTATAATTATATAAATTCTATGGATTTAAGTAATTTATTAACGGGTCTTGTAAATTTAAGCGGTTTGTTTGCGGGTCTTGCATTATTAATAAGTTTTATGAATTAAAATATTAATAATACTTTTATTTTAAGTAACATGTTTTTATTTAATTAGCTAATTATTTATATAATCTTTATTATTAAATTAAATTAAATAATATAGCTTAATATTATAATTATAATAACTTTTTAAAGTAATATAAATAAATAAAAGAAAGTTTTATTATTAGCCTTAAATCTTATAAAATATATCTTTTTAGCTTTATTTAATAATTTCATTTTTAATTTATAAGCCTTAATAAAAATATAAAAATATATAAAGCAAAAATATAATTAAAAATATTTAATATTAAGCTTTTATTTATAAAGCACCTTAAATAGCGTTATTTAATATAATAAGGCTAAGTATAACTTTTAATTTTATAAATATATTATATAAAAAATTACTTTAAGCTATAAACATTAATAGTTTTTATTATAAATTATTATATAAGCATTAATAATAATAATATGCATAAACTTTTTAAGCATATTATTTAATTTATAATAATAAGGAAATAATTTCTTATAAATAATTTTATATCTTTAAAATATTATAATAATTATTTTATTTATATATTTACCTTTATTATTTAAACTAAATATCTTAACTTTTACGTTAAATTAAATTTTAATTATATTTAAAAATTCCTTAATAATATTTAAAATATTATTCTTTTAAGTAATAAAGTAAACTTAATAAAGTTAAGTATAATTATTAATAAATAAAATAAAGTATTAAGAGTTTTTTAATAATTATATTAAAAATTTACTTAATAAATTAAATTAAATATACTTAAATAGCTATATAAATTATTATTTTAATAATAAATATAAGTATTTCTTAATAAACTTTATAAATTAGCATAATTTATAATAAAAATTTATTAATTTATTTAATATAATATCTTTATTTTTATATAAGCATTAAGTAATTAATTTTAATAAATTATTATAATTAAAAGCTTTATAAAATTTATTATATATTATAAATATTATAAAGTTTTTTTTTATTATTTAAATTTTAAAATTTTTATATTAAAACTTTGCTTATAATATTTTATGAAATTTATTATCTTTTAATAATAAAAAGATATTATTTCCTTATATATTTAATTAAAACCTTTTTTAAATTATAATTTAGCTAAATAAATAAATATTCTTTAATATATAATTATATAAAATATTAATAAAAATGCTTTTAATAATTAATTTATTTAATAATTATAAAAAGATTTTTATAAAGCTAATGCTTTTTATAATAAGTTAATTATTACTTATAATAATAATTATACTTAAATATAATTATAAAAAATTAAAGTTTTTTATATATTTTATTATATACTTTAAAGCATTAAAATTAAAAATTTATAATATTAAAATATTTATAATTATTAATAACTTTGCTATATATATTAAAATATTAATATATAATATTATTATATCTTTTTTATTATTATTAAATATTTTAATAACTTTTTTATTTATAGCTTAATTTATAGTAACTTATTTCTTATTCTTTTTTTATTTTTAATTAGCTTTATATTTAGCAAACTTTATATAATTAAAATATAATTAATTAATAAATATAAAATTTTATATATAATATTAAATATATTTTTTATTACTTAATATAAAGTTAATACTTATTAATATAAACTTTATAGCCTTTTTTATACTTTTTAATACTAACCTTTTTTAAATAAAGATAAAATAAGCTTTAAATTATTTAACCTTTATATAAAAAATAATATTTATTATCTTAAATTTAATTTTAAAAAATATTATAAGGTTTTAATTACTTAAGTTATTAATAATATTATTTATAATACTTAATAATATTATTAAGAAAAAAAATCTTTTAACCTTATTACTTTTAAAAAGTAACTTTATTAACTTTTTAATTAATTATTTTAATATTAAGGTTTTAATATAAAGTTTTATTTAAAGATTTTAAAAGGTATTTAAATAACTTTATAAATTAAAGCTATTTTTATATTATAAGTTTATTAATTAATAAAAAAGGTAAATAATTAAGTTATTAATATTATAATTAAATTAATTAATTAATATTTTTTAAGCATTAAAAGATTTTATATATAATATAATAAATATTATAAAGCTTAAATATATTAAGCTTAAAAGCATAATAAAAACTTAATTATTAAGCTTTTTTTATTTTATAAAGGCTGCATTCTTATTTAATTATTCCTTAATGCTTATAATGTATTTATTAAGGCTAGTAAATTAAAAGCCGTAACTTTATGCTACTCTTTAATTTAAAAAGTTCTTTCCTTTTAAGTTTAACTTTAAGAAAAATAATAAATTAAGCTTAAAGTTAAGTATATTTAATATCTTTTAAATAATATTTATATATCTTTAAGTATATTTTAAATAATATTTATATATTTATTTATTTATAATAATTAATATTAATTAATATAAATAAATAAATAAAAAGGAGTAAGTAGTTAAAATATTAAATAAGGTAAGAATATTAAATTATTATAAATTATTATTAATTATAATAATTATTATAAAGTATAATAATAATATATAAATAAAGATTAATAATGTTAAAATCTTAATAATTTAAATATAAAAATAATTATAAAAATAAGAGTATTAATGTTTCTTAATGGTTTAAGATATCTTAAGTAATGCTAAGCTTATAACTTAATAAAGCAATAAAGCAATAAAGTAAATAATAGTTAATTATTATTATTAAGGAGTGAAATCTCCCCGCTATTAAACGCTTAAAAGGAGCCTATTTGTAGGCTAGCGCTAGCGTATGGGCATACGACCCTCGCACCTTCCAACAGCACTCGGGTCAACATGAGCAAACTTGAACGTCCTTCACCGCTAACATTGCTTCTAAAGGGATTCACTCAGCATCATAACATGTCGCTGTTACGACGCCTCTTAACGTTTACAATCTTGTGTCTACAAACACCAATCCATTATATGATATCTTCAACTGATGCTCTCATCCATCTGCAGAGTAGCAATATATTTAGTGGAAACGATTCGGTACAAGTTGACTTAGGATATGCGATCTACAAAGGTGTAGCCAACGCCTCGACTGGATTGAACACTTTCAAAGGGTGGGTATACGACCTCTGACCATGAGTCCATGCGTGTGTCTTTAGATTAACTTTTTGACAGTATCCGCTTCGCGGCACCCCCAACTGGGTCCCTCCGCTGGCAACCTCCCCAGGGACCAGCCTTGAACCGTACCTCGGTGCAGCCTGCGGTATCCTACGGGCCGATTTGCCCACAGAGCTTCAACGCGGTACCAGGAAACGACTTCGTCCTCGGCGATGAGGATTGTCTCTACCTAAATGTGTATGCGCCCGCCAACGCTGACAATCTGCCGGTCCTGGTATGGATTCATGGTGGTGGCTATGGATTCTACAATGGGCAACAGGATTTGTCTTCGATTATCATGACGAGCAACAACACATTCATAGGCGTGGGTATTCAATATAGGGTAAGATGCTCAACTGAAAATACGAATAACTAGATTCTTTGAATGCTCACTAATGCTATAGCTTGGGGCCTTCGGCTTCCTGTCCTCAGATGAGGTGGTCCGACGCGGCACCCTCAACGCCGGGCTTCTGGATCAACAGTTTGCCCTAGAATGGATCCAACAGCACATCGAAAAGTTTGGAGGGGATCCTTCACGAGTGACCATTTCGGGTTTGTCAGCTGGGGCGGGTTCAGTCAGTAAGTAACCCCAGCACTCCTTGCCTGCCTCTTCTCACATGTTCTACTACTCGATTCCTCGGGAATCTACGGCTTGCCAGGAGCAAGAGAAAAAGCCTAAACTTGTCTAGAAAACACAAGCGGAGATGGCTGACTCGAAATGACCCAGTGCTTCACACCATTGCATATGGAGGGACCCTCGGAACCTCCCTCTTCACGAGTGTATGTGGCCGGTGCCATAGTCTGCAATCGAGCGTGCTGATATTCCATTCTAGTCCATTGCTGCGTCTCCATACCTGCCAACGCAATACAACTATAATGATTTCCTGCCTACCCGAGCGTACTATACTTTTGCCGGGGCAGCGGGATGTCCGGCAAGCTTTGCGTACGGAAACACGACCAAGACGATCTTCGAATGTCTTCAGTCCCAGGATAGTCTCATCCTTCAGCAGGCGTCTCATAATATCTCTACCTCAGGCACGTTTGGATCCTGGGGATTTCTCCCCGTCACAGACGGACACTTCATTCGCGAAAGTCCAAGTCAGGCCCTCCTCAAACGGAGGATCAATGGTCTTAGGCTCCTCACAAGCAACACTGCGGAGGAAGGGCCTGCTTACACACCACAGACCATCACGTCGGAAGAAGACTTAATCGCATGGCTGCTCCATACGTTCCCTCTTCTGGATGTCGAAGACGCAAACAGGATTCTATACTACTACCCTTCCCTCCCGCCGTCAGATAACACCACCCTCACGTATCCGACCGCCGAAGATTCCGGCGCCACCGCGGTATCCACCAGCCAAATCGCATCCGGGCACCAGCAACGCGCCAACCTCATCCTGGGCGAGACGACCTTCATGTGCCCATCCTACTGGCTCGCGACCGCCTTCAGCTCGCCCGGCACGGGACACCACAGCTACAAGTACCAATACTCGATCCCCACGGCACTACACGGCTACGACCTAGAAGCCTACTTCGGCCCCCCGCGCAGGAACCAAGGCGCGGGCTTCCTGCGCGCGTTGCAGCTAAGCTGGGGGAACTTCGTGCGCTTCGGCGACCCGTCCGTCCCCTCGGGCGCGGCAAACGGGGCGGACAGCAGTGCTGGCCCGGAGCCCCACCCCCCTAGAGCGCTGGCCCGAGTTTTGCCCTGCACAACCCCTGATGATTGATTTCAACCAGACGGGCGGTACCCCTTACGAGTTCACGGCGGTGCAGGTCCGGAACGGCGGGCCGCTCACGGTAGCTGGGGACAAGGACAGGAATGTGACATTGCGTTCGGAGCCGGGATTGAGAAACGACTTCCGGGTCGTGGACGCGTATGCTTGGGAAGGGGGACGCGGGGCGAGATGCGATTTCTGGAGAAGTATCGGGCCGATTGTCCCCGAATAGTAGTCGATTCTTGCGATGGCTCTCTACTACATACTGCTCGCCGCCTAATGGAATGGCCGATGCGACTATGCTCTTCCGAAGAATGACATCCAATTGCAGACTGAGGTTTTTTCATTAAAGCTAAAAATCTCGTTGTTTTGAGTGTGATTGGAAGTACAAGACACGCGCGAGATGATTTTACCTGGAGGACAAGTGTCAAGTATGCAATGACGATGAGTTGTCAAAAAGCAGTAAGTATCTTAGCCAAATCTATTTGTATAGTTGTTGGCTGGGTCACGTATTGCAATACGTTGGGTTCGGTGTAGTGGGTTCGGGGCGATCTGAAAGCCTTTGTACTTGATCAGGTCTTTGGCCCTACCGGTGATGAAAAGGTTACCCTTGGCGTCCTGGTGGCCAATGTCCCCCGTGCGGAACCAGCCCTCGGCAGTGAGTGCTTGGTCTGTAGCCTCTGGGTTATTGTGATACCCTTGGAAAATATTGGACCCCCGTAGGTAGATCTCCCCCGTCTCCCCCAGGCGCAGTTCCATCGGCGGGCTACCGTCGCCGTCTAGGGTCATGTATTTGGCCTGCATGTTTGGGACCAACTTGCCCACAGAGCCGATTGCTTCATCCCAGTCAGCCCAATTCCGTGAGAATGCTGCAGGGCTGGTCTCGGTCAAGCCATAGCTTTGCCTGAGTGGTATGTTCAGCTTGTCGTAGAGTCTCTTGATAAGGTCACTGCCCAAAGGGGCGGTGCCTGACATGATCATCCGGAGACTGGAAAGATCGTATCGCTGCACGACCGGACTGCTCTCCAGGGCGAGGACTACTGGCGGCGCAACGTAAGCCACTGTCGCTCGATGAGGCTGGATCACTGAACAAAACCTTTCCAAATCGAACTTGGCCATCAGGACCGTATGATACCCAGCGAAGACTGGCCGAAGAGCATGAACATTTAGTCCTGTGAAAAGAGAGACGCAGGTGAGTTAGCCGCTGCCTACGATAGATGTTCAAGTCTCGGGGTAAGCAAGACAGGAGATGAAATGAAAAGGGCCGGCATCACCATATATGTGAAAAAGTGGTAGAAATGCTACTACTTTGTCCTGTTGCCCATGCAAGTCTGCAACTCGACGCATGTGACCTCTGTCGAGGGCCACAGCCTGGCAAACGTTGGATACCACAGCTCGTGTCTTGTTCGTTCTGCCAGCTCTTTGGCCAGAGGCTCTGGTTTTAAGCCTTTGTAGCGCGGGTTGCATTGATTGCAACCAAGGTGGGTGTCCAGATGGTCTTGCCAGCAGCGGTCCGTTGTAGGTTTCCAAAGGCCATTTGATTGTGGTTCCAGTTTGTAGGTCGATAATACTATCGCTCTGGAGAACCTTTCTTTATAGATCCGCTCCCACTCCACGATTTCTTGTGGGGAGACAGGCGTGTTTGTATTCTTCGGTGGAGTTAGGTCGGAATCGCGTTGAGTACTCCGAGTCCGACGAGGGTCGCCGACTTTGGCGTTGAAAATGCCCATGCTGGCTGGATATTTCTTGTGATGAAGCCTGCAATGTTTCTTATTGAACTATGCTCGTCCAGAAAGTCTTCTTGTAGGATGAGAGTCTGTTTTTAAATCTCAAATCTAACTAGGTGGGAGACGAGATTTATTGACAAAAATGACCATAACCAGATTGGAGCAAAGCTCAAACCTGCCACTCATTCCTGTTAGTCCAAAGTATCGGAGGAACTTTGAAGCTGCGTGAACCATACGAAATGTCCAAATAATTAACATACCTATGATGATACACTAGACGGGCGAGTCAACTTTGGAAGGTTTCTCGTACTCCTGGTACATCACACTAGACTGAAAAGGGAAAAAGCCACCATATCATCCTATTTACAAGTCCTCATTCTTTGAAACTCTTTTTTAGATATAATCCAACATTGTGGACGAAGGCTCCGCACAGAGTCAAACAGCCTCTAGAGGTCCGCCTATCATGTAAGGGTCGCGAGCGTGGTAGACCTAAAGTACGACGGACATTTTAGCGTTACCGTCGGCTCTAGTATGTCACGGTCTCTCCAACCAGGACATAGATATACATGGTTAGAAGTAGAATCAGAGGGCAACCAGCGATTTTGAACTGAGTGTGTGTCCACTCCACTGGGGCGCTTGCGTGTGGTTGGGGATTCCAGGGTGATCAAGGTGGGAAAAGCTGTACACTCTATATGACATTGAAAAATGGACACGGAACCACATTATCAGCGGGGATAGCTCAGTAAGTATTTAATAACCACATGGATTGTGATAAATACAAATTCCACTAACATAGAAAAAGGTTGGGAGAGCGACAGACTGAAGGCAACTTCAGACATGATATCTGTAGGTCGGCGATTCGATCTCGCCTCACCGCATGCTTTTTGCCGTTCTTTCTTCTTTCGGATCAACTGCCACGATGCACCTACTGCTGCCTGAGCTCCAGACAGTTGGACGGAGGCCATTCCTATTCCATAAGAGAATCACTCGTCTCTCCTTGGAATAGCTGCCGCTGCTTTCAGCCGGGGCTTAGTGCAATTAGTCCTGTCACCGTGAGACAGGCAACATCCTTTGACAATCGGCACGCGGATAATGGGTACATCTTTATGAAATTTCCTGCGTCCCTCTCAAGCACCTTTGCAGCATGCAGCCAAGGGACGTTGGTTACCAAGATTAAGAATGGAAAGGTTGTTGTGCGCCATCCATGTCTTGTGTTCTGCTTCTGTGAGTCTCACTTTTGGACTTTTTTGTGATAACTTTGCAATGCATTGCTCCCACAGCTTTGCTTCTTCCCTGCTACATTGCAAGTGAATCATTTGACTGTTTGCGACGTTATCAAACCGGCGCCACATGGATTGTAGTAAATAGATTTAAATAGACGCCAAAATATGACGATGCCAGTCATCGCCTCATGTACATTCTATGCCAATGAATTTCCAACGCCAATCTTTCATTTCCCGTTGTATCGGGATGTCATGGAGTCGAAGATGTGACCCCTGATGGAACAAGAAAGCCCCTTGCGCCATAACACCAACCAAAGGAGGGATGCTTCAATGCCGACAGCATTACGATGACTTTCACTTACATACCGTAACAACTTCCCCCCCCCCCCCATCCCCCTCAACCAACAGCGTACTTCGACTTGGAACGCAACTTTTGACCATAGAACCAGAAGAAGTACGGGGCCGGGATGCCAACGACGATGCTGACGAAGCCCAGCACGCTGTTGCCCCAGCCGTAGCCCAGGGCCGAGTACATGTAGGGCGCGAAGAGCGGGAAGCCGAAGCCGGCCAGGCTGCGCAGGACGATGACGGCGGCCATGCCGCTGGCGGCGAAGCGCATGTACGAGTCGATGATGTAGGCCTGCATGCACTGCAGGCAGGTGATGGACCCGGCCGCGAAGATGGTGATGCCGATGTCCGGCATGATCCAGTGCAGCCGGGCCTGCGCGCTCCACCCGTACCAGAAGAGCCCGACGGGGATGAGCAGCGACCCGACGAACATGGACGGGATCCGGAACTCCGGGCGGCCCTTTCGGGGCGCCCCGGGCGGCATCGTGGGGGCCATTATTGGGAGCAGGCTGTTGCGGTGCACGTTGTGGCACGAGCAGTTGCAGTGGCACGAGATGGGCCTCTCCTTCTGCAGCTTCTCGTAGTGCTTGGCTGTGAGCCTCTTGTACAGCCGGTCCGTGATCTGCGCGTTCACCTGCGCCCCGATCGTGAAGCCCAGGCCCAGCGAGATGTAGTGCAGGCCGCTGATGCCGAGAGGTTGGCCATAGACCTCGCCGAAGAGGGTGGGGAAGGTCGACAGGATCAGGTAGAAGAGGCCAAACAGGTAGCCCATGTACAGGGCAACAAGCTGCACGATTGGTTGCGTGGCCAGCAGCCGCGTCGGCCGCGCCATGGAGGTGGCGACGGCCTGGCGCAGCGTCTCTTGCTTGTCCTTGGTGATGTACAGGTTCCGGTTGCCCGTCTTCTTGGCCAACCGGTTGCGGCGCTTCTCGAGGATGATAGTGGCATGAGACTCGGGCAGGTGGTAGACGCCCGCGAATTGGATCGCGATGGCGGCGATGGTCGTTGCGTAGAACACCCAACGCCACGTGGTATTTTCTGCGATGAAGCCGCCGGCCAGGGGCCCGATGACGGGGCCAAGAAGCGGTGCCAGACTGTATATCCCGACGGCTTTGCCGCGCTGCTCTGGGGCCCAGCAATCACTGGTTAAGACAGAGTTAGTCAAGATGTTCAGAGCCGGTGGCATGGTCCCTGGGGCAAATAGAAAGCAAGAGGAAGTGACAAACAGCCTTACCTCAGAACTCCACCGCCAACAGCCAAAGGCGCACTACCCCCAATGCCACTCATGAAGCGGCAGACCAGCATCTGGGCCCCGGTCTGTGAGAAACCGCACCCGAAGTTGAACATCAGGTAGAGGAAGTTGGTGATTAGCAGGACCGGCTTCCTGCCGAAGCTCTCGGACAGGGGGCCGAAGAAGAGCGGGCCGATGGCGAACGCGAGCACAAAGATGGACAGCGTCATCTGCGACTCAACTTCACTGTGAATGTGGAGGTCGCGCGCCATTACCCCTAGTGCTGGCGCCACCATGGACGACGACACGGGCGAGATGAAGGTGAAGGCCGACACCACCATCGTGGTGGCCCATTTCTTGCCCATCGGCCAGTTCTTGGGGTTCTCTGGGTCGTTTGGGCCGTCCCATGCTACCTGTTCGATCGTGACCTCATGTGATTAGCTGGTTGCACATCACACCGGGCCGTTGGTGATACGAAGATAAATAAAGTAGTTGTGTGAAGCGTGGTGTGACTTACAAGATCAGGGTCCTTCTTGGGCTCTCCAGGGTTGTATGGTGTTGCAATAGTGTCTAAACTTGAACGTGGTTCTGCGTGTTCTTCATCAAGTAGGGCTCTTGGCCTCCAGGGAGCATCATTATAGTACGCTTGTTCTGGCCATCTTGGTGACCACGGGCCATCCTCAAGGCTGGGCTCCCTGGGCACCTCTAACACGATCCTAGGCGGCGTGGACATTTTGCCAGGACGGGTGCATTCGCATATCGAGCATCAACTCGACACTGAAGCCGAACTTCTGAAACGTTCAGCTCGACAGTGTCCTTGTCGCTTGGTGCGTGCTTCTTTATGTAGAAAGGCACCTCCGGGTTTTTGGCAGAGTTGGCCAGAAGCCGGGACGTCCGTCACTACTGCAAACCAGTTCATCCCCACGTCTATTAATGTATCATCATCCCGAGCCCCAGTCCGCAGCGAAGCCTGTTCTGTGCCACGGCCGTTGCACTGCCGATGGAAGGGCCGTCGGACTACCCCAGCATCAACTTCCAATTCCAGTCAGCGCGGCTGTGAGTCGCAGGTGCTGGTAGGGTGTGTAGTTCCTTCAGGTCAGCTGAAGTGCCGAACGTCATTTTCTATTGGACGCTAGGCGACACACGTGGCCGGGTATGCTAAGAATCGGTCCCGAAATTGTATCCCCCCGCTGCACGAAAGCTCCGTCGGTGCTTGCGGTGAAATGGCTGAGGCCAATGACAAGACCAACCATTTCTTCTTAGGTCACTTGAGAGGGGATGTGTGTCTGGGTGCGTGGGTGCGTGGGTGCAGTGCAGCCTGCTGCTTACAATATCGGCCGACTGAACCCTCGCCACACGCCGTCTTGGTGCCTACTTCTGCAGCGCCCCAGGGCCATCTGAATGGCCTCCTTTTTACCCAAAAAAGACAGCGCCCGCTTAACTTGAATTGACGTAATTGAGGCCAGCTGCTATTTCTCTCAGTCCCTCTCGTGACAGTCATCCCACAGAAGGTCGAGAACATGCTCAATACTGCTAGCGGACGACGAAGCCCTCAATTAGTATCACATGTGTTCTATGACGACGTCGACATTTTAACATATCTAGGCCTCCAGGTCAATCGCCACCATGCGCTTTCGACTTCGGCATACTCACGGCTTCGTGATCTGACCAAATCCACAGCATGATGTGACATAGATTCTAGTAAAATGAAAGCTTAGTTGTGCCCGGGCTATAGTGCTGTGCCTTTCCAAGGGCGTCTACGCTGTGTAAAACATATGACATGCCACAAGTGCAACTTGAAATTCTCACCAGATTTTGCACGCAATGATCGATCTCTGCATAGGCAAGGGGAATGAATTCTCAGTGTGTATTTGACTTTTCTCTAATGAGTCCTCATCCAGGTCGCATAGTAAAGATTGGAAATGTTGGGAGGGCGAGAATGCAGACTCAAGACTACATGTTAGTTTCCCCAAATATCCTCCAAGGTCCTACTTAACATACTCAGCATAGTTGAAGTCGCTATGGAGGTCCATAACGTCTGCTATTGTGATGTTTGGAAGTAGACCCGAAGTCCACAAGTTGTGGTTCATGGTAGTCACGTTGCCATCACCCCCGTCGTGGTCCAGGAGCTCTCGGCCCGGGTACCCAAGACCCATCTGAGTGATGAACTCATCCGACGCAACCGTTGAGCCGCTTATGTCGTTGAGGCGGGCCGTCAGGTCTACAGACTGCCATTGCCACCATAAGCGATCGAGGTTTGTGTGATACAAGTAGAAGAACGGGTCACCCGGGCTTGACACAACATCCAACATCTAGACACCATCAGACATCCCGTTTTCGTTTAATAACGCTCCAGAGGGGAAGGGTAGCCTACCGTGCCGCCCACTCCAAAGTGCCCTGCAAGATGGCGGCTCGTGCCCCAGCAGTTCCAAACATCCGCGTACGTCTCAAGAACCAGGCACTCGTCGATGTAAGTGCTGTTCGCCCAGTAGAAATTCTCCTGGTCAAGCTCACGAGACAGGCAGGCGTTGGCGGTATTGCTGCTCTGGTTCAGGTGCATCGTGAGATTCACACGAGGCCCGTCTGTGATGCACCCGTTTGCATCCACGGCGCCGCTTCCGAATCCGGTGACAGGGTCGAAGACGGCAGACTGATTCAAGGGCCCGCCCTCTGCGTCCGCCATCTCATCCCAGTGTGGCTGCGCTCCGGTGTAGCCGCACTCGTACTGCAGGTACACATCATGCACGCGCACTATAGTAGCCCCGGTCAGTCATCATTGGGTGGGAATGAAGTGGCGAGGAGATCTCACTGTATAGCCTGTGCCACGGAAGCAAGGGACCATTGTTGTGAATGACATTTGCTTGAACAATGTGAGTGTACATCAAGTCGTCCCAGATGTTTTGGGAACCCGTGAAGTTTAACTTGGGCACAGAATTCATGAGGCAGACCTCTGGGGAGATGTACGACTTCTTCTCGGCGTCCGTCGGAGAGGTCCTTCCGCAGTATCAGCGTATGCTTCAAGTAGTGGTAGCTAGCAACATCCAAGGGTCCAATGTACCATGATTTTCTTTGGTTTAACGAAGTACAGCCGGGGAAGCTCCCGGCGAAGGAAGTGGAATGTTGGCAGGACAGAGGATCCGAATCCGCAAAGGCGTAGCTTGCCAGAGGCAACAAGGACAAGGCAAAATCAAATATCATTTTCATCGGGATTGAACGACGTGAGATGTTTCTGAGCAAGTATAGAGAATAATGTGCAATGATGGGGGCCAGAGTTACAAGATGGTCCTCGTGAGATATATTTGATGAGTCCTGATATATCCGGAGTCTGAACAACGATCTCTTCAAGTTATCCTAGCGAAACGATGATCGGAAGGTTATGACCCGGTCTCCTGAAGTCTCCAGCCCCTTGAGCTGAAGTCGGTGCTTGCGTCACGAAGGTTGGCTTCCGCATTGTCGGGTGCCCGTTGCCCAGATGGCAATCCACGAAATACGAGCCAGATTAAGACCCGCCATGGAGGCCTGGACGAGGTAGCAGTACTTGTACTGATAAGTAAAATATCAGTACTCGACCACTTATCTACATTGGTAGTTAATACGGATGGGGTAAAAACCTGTTAGACTATTACTGTAAAGATACGGCGGTCTAGAGTCGTTTGGATACAAGTTGTAGATTGTATCCACTGATATCTCCGTGCCGATGCAAGACGTCACTGTTGATATGGGTTCTGACTGGCATGACTCTCAAAGTTCCATATTGCGTTCTCAGACCTTTCCATCTTCGGTGCGGCTCCGGCGTGCATGGGACTTTAAACTTGAATAGAGTGGGCGCCGATGAAATGTGGACACTTAAGCCAAGTATCTGACAACGAGTCTAAGCCGGACATGGCATTTTACGGGAAAGGCAAAAAAAGAAACCGTATGTCCTTTTTTAATGGTACGCGCTTTGAGTATGGATAGAATTCATCCAGAGAATTGAGAGACGGCGCAACCATTCAAAAAGGTAGGGGGAGCTCTCGCAATTCAAGATACACTTGGGGACTTACTGTAGTCCAGGCTACAGCGAAGTACCTCAGGATAAGCATTTATGCGTATCATAGGCTGATCGACAACTGGGGCCATACTCCGCAATGTTCCTGGCATAAGCTTAGCATACAGTAGAGAGTGTACATCGAAGGGGATAGACGCGCGTCGTTGAAGTACGTCTCCGCTGTGTCTTGGCACCAGCCGTGTGGAAGCAAATGTGGAGCTGCACCGACACCATCACAGTCCTTCAATCACCATTTGCGGATGCCAACCATCCTGAGGCATGGGAGGACGCCAGTCTTGTCAACTCCTATGTATAATTAGTGTAACAGCTGCTCTTTTGGTTGTTGACAAATTGATGAGTTATAATCCGCTAAGAGTGTTCTTAAACTTTAACTTCCATTCAGGGACACGTACTACACAGAGGTGATATGTACACTTATAGATAATACAAATTATATAACGGAATGAGAGATATGAGTAAAACGATGTAAATTGCACTGTTTTTTATATACATATATATTTACCGGTTTACTTTAGGATGGAATGTGCATGTAGTCACCCTGCCTGTGGTGTGCCTGCCAAACTGCATACGATGTCGAATGATTTAATCTGCCCGGATCCGAGGTCTTCCGAACGGCACGGGTTACGCTCTCCACAAGATAAATTCAAATTTTATCCCTCTTTCCTGACTTGGTCACGACAAAGGGCTCTAAAAGTGCCCCCATCGGCAGCAACTGGGGCGCACAAGTCGGCGGTGCTCCCTGCGAGTGGGTATGTCGCACTTGATCCACCCGAGACCTCGGGAGAGATTTCTTCAGCGGGTACCAACGGGCGTCAGATTTTAGCAACTCCTTCAAATGCTTACTTAGTACATAGGCACGAAACCTTAAATTGTCGTACATAGGTGTGTCCGATTTATTCCCGCTTACCAACTTTACCCGCAATCAGAGACAGACATACACCGATATGCATGCACAGATATCAGGAGAGAGAACGGATATTCCACCTGTAGAAACGGATGGTACACCAGTACATCACTTATGCCATAACTACACCTAATCAGAGCTTATCACCTAAGCCTATTTGCATACTTCCATATCTAATACCTACATGCCTAACACTTATATACCTGATACCTCTATACCTAATTTATATACGTAATGGGATGCTAAGTACATAGGTGCTAGGCATGTAGTTGCTGGGTTTATAGGAGCTGGGTGTATGAGAGCTGGGTGTATGGGTGCTAGGCGCGTGGGTGCTGGCTTGTGGGTGCTGGGTGCTGGGTGCTGGGTGCTGGGTGCTGGGTGCTTGGTGTGCGAATTGGGTATGGGTATTGGTTTAGTGCTGGTAATGTACCAGTGTACTATTCGTTTTTGCAGGTGCGAATATTTGTTCTCTCAAGGGATATCTCATTTTACAAGCCATGTTATTTTCTCATCAGACCCTTGTATGTACCGGTATGGCGGCATTGGACATCGTGTATCTCTATTCTCGCTTTGTTCTGGCCCCGCTCGGTCTGACCGATGTTGTGGCGACGGCCGCGTCCTGCACGTCTTGGTGGTGGCCTCGATCCCGAATACCTGCCAGGAGCACAGTACCGTGGCAATTGGTAGCATAAATATTCTCATCCTAAGTGGTATTCTCCCTCTGGAAAGCATGGAGACAATGGATTTCTTGCAGCTCCATGACATTGCCTCCGACCATTGGGTTAATGCATCCCCGGTCTCATATAAAATTAAATATCCTAACCTAGCCGCTGTGGGCCGGACGATGTATGCTGTTCGGTGTCTTGATCATTTGCCTCCTCTGCCTATGTATGGCAATGAACTGATTGACTTTGAAGACCTGACATACGAGTGAGGCTTCTAGAGATACCTTGCCCGAGCTATCTCCTCTGCCAAAACGGCACATACAACAGTAGTGAAATAGTCAGGAATCACTGCGAAGTTATCTACCAGAGGCATGGGACGACAGTACTTCAGATGGGATATCCGGATGAGGTTGGTTCTGTCAAGACATTAACACCACGCCGAGAGCAGTCAGCATACCACGGTCTCAGTGGTTGGAGATAGTTTTGATGTGATAGGTGTAAGAAGACATGTCCAGTCGAACAATCATGGCACTGTCTTCGCCCATGACTTGTCAAATCAATCTGCTGGGTGGAAACAAGTCAGGTGGTACGTTTTACGGGACCATGTCCTATCGACGTCTCGTTTGCAGTCCCTGATTTTGCTGGCTGCTCCAAACACGTGCAGCAGATCCACCATCCACAAAAGAATACGCTCCTTCAAAATTTCAGCGAGGGTTTGGGGATACAGGCAAACGGGATGCCGAACAGACAGACATATGCGGCGTCGTTGCCTCAGCGACGTACCTACAGGGGAGGAGCACATACCATGTTCTTGTGGTCATAAAGCGGAGTGCTAGGAAATACGAGGTTCAGTCACTTCTTAACTGCTACCCCACAGTGAATGATGATCTGTCTAGGCATGAGCTTTGATATGTACAGATGCACTGATCCCCGTGACGCCCTATGCGTGCTCTACCTTGTTGGAGTATTGGCAATGTGCATCGTCACCAACAGTTAGACATACTCTAGTACAAATTCATGCATGAGAATGTGAGGCCGTAAACGACTTGATTTACGGTAGCACCAACCATAACACATATATTGGACACCTAGAAAGATGTACAGGGTGTCGAGCAGAGCCATGTTGCACGGACATATCACCAGGCACAACATCTAATATGACTTTCCGATTTGTTCTACATGTGGCCTTCCCGGGATTCTTCTAGACTATCGAGAGGTATCATTCATTTACTAACTCATCAATAATGTCTCTAACAGTATGCGCATTTCTAGCGAGATGAACATGCCTGGCCTTATGGATACAGTTATGTGCATATCTGCGAGACAGCGGGCATCGTAATGGTCTGCCCTTGGCCATACGGCTCCTTGGAAGCGACAAGGGGAGTCGTCAAGTGCCTTGGTCTAGTGATGTCCATCGCCCCCTGGATGTGATGGAAGCGACATCTTCCATAGAGTACACATGGAGACCATCATCTAATAGATAGGCTGTATGCCATTCTAAATCACCTCTGAAGTAGGCTCACTGTCCACGAGCAACATAGATCTGTTTGTAGTGTCGCCTTGCTGGTCAGCCCGGCGGTGGAGCCTCGGGCTGTGCTCTTTCTCCCATGCTCTATATCCCGGCGAGCAGCACCCTCGAGGATTCTTCTAGCTCCATGACCCCAAAGAAGTGTCACATCATGTCCAGTCAATGTGATTATAGCCCTAGTCCCCAGATCGGCGAGTCAACACACATCAAGTCAAATTCTGGCCTGCCCACAGCTTTTTAACCCACTCCTGTTCCTCAAACTGTGGCTGTCAACATCGCGACAATCTCGGTCTTCGCCAAACCAAGCAACACGCAACTCCTCTACCAAGACATCCTCTACCAAGACATTTTGCCAAGATGTCCAGCAACATCCACCCTGTTACCCAGGCCCAAGTGGTCACCATTACTGCCTCGGTGCCCCGTTTCGGCTTTCCACCTCGTATCCCTCCCATTCCTCCTTCTACCTCTCCCGCACCCACCGGACAGTTGCCCAAGCCGCCTCAGCTGTCTGCCAACCTGGACCTCAACCAGGCTAGCCGAGCGCTTGCTGAGATCGTCGCCGAGTGCGGACTCATTCCTGGTGCGACCGCCGCGGCGCAGTACCACAACGCCACACGCCCTGGCATTGCACGACCATACACTGAGGGCGAGCTGATCTACCGGGAGCTCGTCGCTCTGGAGAACCTCGGTGCGAAATACCACGCCTACCACCAGGATACGCCAAACGCGCTCGCTCTACGGCTCCTTGCATCGCGTGCTGGCCATGGGTACCCCTTTGCTAAGAAACCTACGTTAGTTTAGTCCCCGTGCCACTTGAGTACGATCGCCTTGATACTAAGAAGCGCTCTAGCTGGGGCACCAACAGCAGGGGCAAGCGCGTCCTCGGTCGGAAGTGCGGATGCCCCGGCTGCCCGTACCGGGACCGCGATCGCAAGCGTCACACTGACGAGAAGCATGTCAAGGACCCCGGTTTCGCCCTCTGTTGCCCCTACCACGGCTGCTGCGGCGTCTATTTCGGCGGCAGCTTCAGATTCTCGGAAATGGAGCGCCACATCGAGTCGCATGAGCAGCGAAACAAGGGAGAGAAGAAGGGACGGAAGGGAATTATGCCTCTGTCCACCTACAGGAACGGCCGCCGGTAAGCGGGGACGGATCTGTGATGTGCCTGGGTGGGAGAGGAGGAAGCCCGCCTGCTCCTTGGGATGGTACGAATTTTTGGTGAGGACGGAAGGGCTACTTCGGTGAGGATGATAGACCCTTTGTCTTCGGAGGGAACACCAAAAACAGCTTCAGTTAATTCCAGCTGGATGAATCAATGCTGGTGAGCCTCGTGCTTGGCCCCTTTCCTGCGTCAGTGACTGCGTGGTGCTGGCAAGAGTTTGCCTGACCCAGATGGTGCTGTAATCACAAAGACCATGCGCTTTGAGCCAGTGAAACCTCATTGTCTTTCAAGGGCTGCGTTCAGATATGAATTTATCCTGGAGAGAGAACTGACTAGGAATTACCAGCAGCCTACGCGAAGTTCTTGACCACAATCTTGTCTTCGGGGTCACAGCTGCAGTCCTAGCTAGGCCATCAAGGCCCTCAAGACCCCTGTCGACGCATTGCCGACTCCGCTCCGATACAACCAATCAGCGTGGGGTTCCGTTTCCCGACCGGCCGCTCCAGCTTTTGATGCCTGGGCCCGTCGCATTCGCATTCCTCTGCGGGCCGAACCCAAAACATTGCCGATTTGACCACAACATCAACACAATGGCCAGCCGTCGAGACTTCCTGAGCCAGCCGGCGCCCGAGAACTATGTCGCAGGTATCGGTCGAGGTGCTGTCGGCTTCACCACCCGGTCGGACCTGGGGCCCGCGCGCGACGGCCCCAGCGAGGAGCAGATCTCATCCGCCATCAAGAAGCGCTCCGAGCAGCTTGGTCTGACCGAGGCCAAGGAAGGTGACGACGACGACAAAGGTGGCGGCGGTGGCGATGATAGCCGCTACCAGGATCCCGACAACGAGGTCGGTCTTTTCGCCGGCGGCATCTACGAGAAGGATGACGAGGAGGCCGATCGCATTTGGCAGGAGGTAGATGAGAAGATGGCAAAGCGTCGCCAGAAGCAAAGGTTCGTCCTCCCCGTATCTAGACCTTGCCTCCCCCCCCCTCAGCACCTACTCCTTCCTCGTCAAGCAAAAGGTTTATCGTTTGTGATGATAGATGAGCAGAGTACCGACACAACTTTCTCTCTCCACAGGGAAGCGCGCGAACGCGAAGAGATCGACGAGTACGAGCGGAAGAACCCCAAGATCCAACAGCAGTTTGCCGACCTCAAGCGAGCCCTCGGCTCCGTGACCGATGAGGAGTGGGCCAACCTCCCCGACGTCAAGGACATGACCGGCAAGACGAAGCGAGAGCGAGAAGCCCGCCGACAGAGATTCTACGCCGTCCCCGACTCCGTGCTGGCAGCTGCGCGAGATGTTGGCGAGATGGGCACGACCGTGGCGGACGACGGCGGCGATGCGAAGGACGGCTCGATGACAAACTTTGCCAAGATCGGTGCTGCGAGGGACAAGGTGCTCCAGGCAAGACTCGATCAGGCGTCACAGAGCAGTGGTACAGCAACATCACTAGGATCTTCGACAAGTGTGGACGCAAAGGGCTACCTCACGTCCATGGCCAGGGCTGGTGAGATACCAGAGGTCAGCGTCGGGGATGTGGACTTTGCGCGGAAGCTGCTGAAGTCGGCCTACGAGTCCAACCCTCTACACCCACCTGCCTGGATCGCTGCCGCCCGAGTCGAGGAGCTAGCAGGCAAGACAGTCGCCGCGAGGAACTTGATTGCCAAGGGATGCGCCAAGAACCTTCGGTCGGAAGACCTGTGGCTGGAAAACATCAGACTCAACGAGGCACGCAATGCCAAAATCATCGCGGCCGAGGCCATCAAGGCGAACAACAAGTCAGTCAGGCTGTGGGTGGAAGCCATGAAGTTGGAAGCAGACCCGCGGTCGAAAAAGAAGGTCATCAGGCAGGCGCTGCTCCACATACCGAAGAGCGAGATGCTGTGGAAGGAAGCGGTCAACTTGGAGGAGGATCCGGAGGACGCCCGGCTACTGCTGGCCAAGGCGGTGGAGGAGATACCCAACAGTGTCGAACTGTGGCTCGCTCTGGCCCATCTCGAGAAACCACAAAACGCAAGGAAGATCATCCAGAAGGCACAAAAGGCGAACCCGCAAAGCCACGAGATTTGGATCGCTGGTGCGCGTCTGATGGAGCAGCTGGGCGACAGCAAGGTCAACATGATGAAGCGTGCTGTCCTCGCTCTTGCAAAGGAAGGAGCCATGCCAAAGCGTGAGGAGTGGATCACAGAGGCCGAGAAGTGTGAGGCCGAGGGCGCGATCCTAACGTGCGCAAATATTGTCCAGGAGACACTGGGCTGGGGCTTGGACGAAGACGACGACCGCAAGGACACGTGGATGGAGGACGCCAAGATGAGCATCGGCCGGGGCAGATACGAGACAGCAAGGGCAATCTATGCCTACGCACTACGTGTGTTCCCTACGAGCAGGACAGTCTGGAAGGAAGCAGTGGACCTGGAGCGGAATCACGGAAGCAAGGACGCCCTGTGGAACGTGCTCAAGAAGGCAACGGAGGCGTGCCCCAACTCGGAGGTGCTGTGGCTCATGCGGGCCAAGGAGAAGCTCCTGGCCGGCGAGCTGGACGAGGCGCGCAAGGTGCTGGGCGAGGCGTTCCAGCAAAACCCCAACAACGAGGACATCTGGCTGGCGGCGGTCAAGCTCGAGTCGGACCACGACTTCCCGGAGCAGGCGCGCGAGCTGCTCAAGACGGCGCGGCAGCAGGCGCCGACGGACCGGGTGTTCGTGCGCAGCGTGGTGTTCGAGCGGCAGCAGGGCAACAACGAGGCGGCGCTGGCGCTGGTGGGCGACGCGCTGCAGCTGTTCCCGGCGAGCGCCAAGCTGCACATGCTCAAGGGCCAGATCTACGAGGACGAGGGCCAGGTCGCGCCCGCGCGCGGGGCGTACAGCATCGGCGTCAAGGCGTGCCCGCGCAGCGTGCCGCTGTGGATCCTGTACTCGCGGCTGGAGGAGAAGGCCGGGGCGACGGTCAAGGCGCGCAGCGTGCTGGACCGGGCGCGTACCGCAGTACCCAAGTCACCGGAACTCTGGTGCGAGCTGATCCGGGTGGAGCGGCGGGCGGGCAACGCGGCGCAGGCCAAGAACCTGATGGCGACGGCGCTCAAGGAGATGCCCAAGAGCGGGCTGCTGTGGTCGGAGCGGATCTGGCACCTCGAGGCGCGCACGCAGCGCAAGCCGCTGGCGCTGCAGGCCATCAAGGAGGTGGAGAACGACCCGATCCTGTTCGTGGCGGTGGCGCGCATCTTCTGGCTGGAGCGCAAGCTGGACCGCGCGCAGAGCTGGTTCGAGAAGGCCATCGTGCTCGACGGCGACGTCGGCGACAGCTGGGCGTGGTACTACAAGTTCCTGCTGCAGCACGGCACCGAGGAGAAGAGGGGCGAGGTCATCAGCAAGTGCGTCGCCAGCGACCCCCGCCACGGCGAGTACTGGCAGCCCATCGCCAAGGACCCTCGCAACGCGCGGGCCGGGGTCGAGCAGATCCTGAAGCTCGTCACTGCCTCGTTGCCGGCTTAGACTGGGCGTGTATTATTGGCTGCGATTTATATCACAGGAGAGGTGTTGAAGTCCACGCACCAAGTTCTTCATAGTGGAAGAAGGAGACAGACAGAAGATATAAAATGCATTGCCATTAAAGTATCATGAGTACCATTATGCCTTGCACCGGTCATGTCAAGTATAGAATCGTCCAAAACGTGTCCCCGGCCAGCTTCCTAAAGTGTCTTCCATATAAAGTCCATCTGTGGCACCTCTTACTTCCCGCCGAACCAGCTCGAGATGCCGCTCTTGGCCTGGCTGGCCTTCTCCTCGACCTTCTTGTCGAACTTGTCGATCTCCTGGATGGTGGCATTCTTGGCGTCCTTTGCGTAGTTTGCGGCCTCGGCCTTGCCTTTTTGGAGCTCGGCCTGGGTCTTGGCGAGCTGTTGGGGTGGTCATTGTGTCAGTGGAGAGTGGTGGAAACCCATTGGGATTGCAGAGGGATATGCCAGGAGCACACATGGCAGGGTGATTGAGCATGGGGGAAGGAACATACGGCCTCGTCGAACTTGGCACCAGCCTGGCGGCCCGTGGCCTCTGCCTCCTTCTCGTACTGCTGGCCCCGGCCGGGCAGCTCTCCCTTGACCTTTGCGGAGGCCTTGTGGACGTCGGCTGTTAGAGGGGCGGGAAGCATCCGTGTCAGCCAAAGTTGAAGCCTCTCGCGGGCATTGATGCTGGGGATGGTGGAGGAAGCGACGCCGGGCGCTTACCCTCAAACTGCTTCTCAGCTACCTTGGGGTTTCCTCCGGCTCCGTACAGGTAGTATCCGACACCACCGGCGGCGGTCAGGCCGAGTAGGAGAGGGGCTCTTGATCGAGACATTGTGGTTTGGATGATTTGCGCGTGGGTGAGTGTGGTACGGTGAGTACGACTGAGCGTGTGTTGTGCAGAGTCGTTGAATGGCAATCAGATCACGAAGCCCGAGCTCTGGTGTGATTGAGGAGGGGGTTTGAAAATTGGAGGCAGGTGTGTCACAGGAGGGGAAGCATTGGGTGATGAGGAGGTGGGATTGGCTTTGCTTCGTCCGGGCTAATATACCTGTACCTACGTAGTCGACCCATCCCCTGCCATGCCTGGCGTACCTTTCCAAGGGAGCTAGCTGCCTAGTCACCTATGATTTCACCGTCGTCCCGCATGGCAACCTGCCCTGGCTCTGGAGCCTGCCCTGTCTTGCACTGCCTGCTTAGCTGGAGATGGCTGGTTGTCCATCGTCCATCTACGTCATGTCGACGACTGCTACCGTCCAGATGCGGCAATGACATCTGACGCGGGAGGCAGGATGGGTCTAGATGTAGGGTGGCCCGTGCTGACGCCCGATGTCTCCACTGCCGTCGATCTCTTTCCCCACACTCCCGGCCTTCCTACTTCCTGCCTCCTACACGGACCACCTAACAAATGCTTCAGGAAATGGGCCAGCAGGTAGTTGAGCCCCTGAAAAAACCGACTTCCACCACATAAAGCGGGGAACTGAATCTCTTATAGCTGCTAAAAGTCTGTTTTTGTGATGTAGTGATCCCAGCTTCCTGATGTAGCTTACATTTAACAGTCTGTATGCATGTCGCCCGGCACTTCGACATCCACGCTCGCATGAGCAGCCTTCTATGTTGAATAGGCTCTGGGATACCGGTAACCTTCTGCGGGATAGCCTCTTCTGGCATGATTTTCACTGGGTTAACTCCTCTGGAGCTCTCCTTACGATATGATCGGGTCAATCTCTTCAGTCATCAGTCTAATTAATTCATACTTTGATAGCCGCACCGCCAGCGATCATTACCTGTAAAGTGTACTGCGCAGCCAGACCCTTTAACGCCGTCGCACGCTGCCGGAGTTTCGCTCACGGCGGTTTCCATAGCCTGCTATCCACAGCACAAAATTCTCGACACTGTCCTGAGGACACGCATAAAAACAATGTTTGGCCCAGATGACAAAGCTTCGACGGCAATTTTATTTTCCAAGACCTACGCTATGGTAAAATACGTCCTGCAATCATTATAGTCAAATGATTGGTTGTTGATAGACCCATTACTGTTGTTGGCAGGAAAGCGATAGCGTAAAGGGCCCTCACCCTTAGTTACTTCCTAGTACATCGGCCGTGGTGTGGTGCGGGGGTGAGACGGGCGCGATGGGCCGGAGGCGGATGATTTCTTTGGCGATCGCCCGGATGTGCGGCAGCTCGTCGTGGTCGTCGAACGAGGGCGATCTCTGGTCCACGACGACCCGGCTCAGCTCCTCGTTTGCGCGTTTCTGCACCTGGGGCGACATGGCCAGGTACTTGATGCACGAGTACGACGCAGAACTAGTGCTCTCAGATCCTGCTTCGATCATGGCTACAAACCCGGTGATATTGTCAGCGAAGCTTTGATATGAGGGAGAAGGGCTGGATAGTGTGCGACGCGCGGTAATGACATACTCCCAGCCGTGAAAGCACCTTCGAGATCCATAATACCGGAGCTCTCCTTGTCCGTGAGCTGCCACTTTGTCACGAAACAGTCTGGAGCCCGGCTCTCCGCGATCTTGGCCGCAAGCTGATTCCAGAGCTTCATCCACAGGTTAACTTGACGATTGTGCCTTTCCCCTCCACCATTGTAAACCTGTTGGGAGCTTGGCTATGAAGGGAAGAAGATCTGCCAGGTATTGGTATGGTACAGTCGTTTTGGCGAAGTCTGCCATGACTCCGTAAATTTCACGTATTTCTTCGCAGTCCTGCAATTTGAGAAAGCACGTGTCACTACTCCTGAAAGATTGAGCCTTTTGACTGAAGGAACTCACTGGTACCGGCACTCGCTGTCCATAGATAAACGTCATCATCACAGAGCTCACGTACCGGCGAATATGCTCTTTGAAAAGCTCGTTGTCGCGATTATTCGTGAGGATATCGCATAGCGTTTGCTTGGCCTCGAATTCTTGCATGGGCCGAAATGTATTGGACATCCTGTGGGTGAGAACCTGGTGCACCTTGCCTCGTAGCCTGCGCCAGAGGGGCCCATATGGCATCAAGACCAGCCTCAGGCTTTTGCAGATTGCTTCGGTTGCCACTGGAATTGGAACCCGATCCGACGTGCTTGCGGACTGCTTGTCCAGAATCGCTTTCACGGCCTGCGGCGAATTGAGAAAGACCCAATCGAAAGCAAATAGTTTGACTGCGTATATCTCGCCATATTGCTTGTGCCGTTTCCTCAGACTTCGCTGTGGGTATTTGTCGAGATGTATCGCGCTGCCAACGATTGATGACTTTTTGAATGTATCATAGGTTGATATATTGCTTATGATTAATCAGCATATGCATTACCATGCCATTATTCTATGAGCTTAAAATGGCAAAAAGGCCCTGACCAACCTTGGTAAATGGGAAAGGGAGGGGGGGAGACGGGGCGGGGAAGGAGCCAAGAGAAGAGGCCAAGAGAAGAGGCCAAGAGAAGAGGCCAAGAGAAGAGGCCAAGAGAAAGAGAAAGAGGCCAAGAGAAAGAGAAAGAGGCCAAGAGAAAGAGAAAGAGGCCAAGAAAAAGAGGCAGAGAGGCGAGGCAGAGAGGCGAGAGAGAGAGAGGAGGAGAGAGAGGAGGAGAGAGAGAGAGGAGAGAGAGAGAGGAGAGAGAGAGAGAGAGGAGAGAGAGAGAGAGGAGAGAGAGAGAGAGAGAGAGAGAGAGAGAGGAGAGAGAGAGGAGAGAGAGAGAGAGAGAGAGAGAGAGAGAGAGAGAGAGAGAGAGAGAGAGAGAGAGAGAGAGAGAGAGGAGGAGAGAGAGAGGAGGAGAGAGAGAGAGAGAGAGAGAGAGGAGGAGAGAGAGAGGAGAAGAGAGAGAGGAAAAGAGAGAGAGGAAAAGAGAAAGAGAAAAAGAGAAAAAGAAAAGGGGGACAGAGACAGGCAGAGAGAAGGGGGACAGAGACAGGCAGAGAGAAGGGGGGTGGGCTTGGGAAATCTTGCAAGTTGCAATGGTGCTTGTCATTATCATGATACCAATGCCCACTCATAGAGGAAAACGGACTCAGTGATCGGCGGCACTTGCGGTACCCATATTCTAGCTGTCATTGTGGCTCGACACCGCTATGGTATTAAATACCTCTCTGGACCAGATGACCCCATATAGGAGGTCTCAACAAGTCCTGGATCGCCCGAAGGCGAGAACAGGATGCCGGACCCGCAAGTAAGATCCGAGCCCTCGCCCACTGCATCAGCAGCCTTGTATCGGCTACTAGCAGGCTCACAGTATCTCTCAGGATTCGCAAAGTCAAGTGCGATGAAGGACGTCCTGCATGCCAGCGATATAACAGTACAGGCCGGGCATGGGACGGCTGCGGCATCTGGGACAGTCACGGATGCCGAGCCCATCCGACTGAAGTTCGCAGGAGCCACCTTGCAAGATCACTTGTCGCACTTACCCTTGCCAACACGAGCGACTCCGAAAGGGCCGAATTTGAGTGGTTCGTAGCCTGTACCAGCAACAAGATGCCGGATGTGTTTGAGTCCAAATTCTGGGATTCCCTGGTTTTTTACAAGCGAGTTGAGCCGAGCCTGCAATTCTCCAAGCTGTCCTGGCTCTGGGTGCAGCCCATCAAAAAGTTTTCTCCCGCGATAACCCGGGTGAGAAATTATTTGGCTCTCTGACAGTCAACAGCGTACTGTATTGCCAGACCACAGCAGCGCCATCTCCCTTTTACAGCCACACCTTACTGTCAAGACCAAGAAAATTACGCGCGTGGCGCTTGTCTCCAGCATCGTCTTTGCTTGCCTCGAGTTTGTCTGGAAACAATATCGAGCAAGTTGCAATCTTCTTAAAAACAGCATCAAGCTGCTCGATGATATTCAACTCGAACGTGGTATCGCCGAGCGAGGGCCCATCCTCCTGAGCCCACATTCCGCGTCTATTCAGGACTACCTGCTGGAAGAGCTCAGCCGCCACATCCAGCTATCCCGTCCACGGTCTCACGGCGCTCAAGGGTCGCTGCACCAACCACCGTCGACGGTGTACGAACTCCCAGTGACACCGCTGGCCTCGTCGCTGCCCAGGAACACAATAACCTTTGCCACGTCCATGGGCGTCAGGTGCCGCTGCAGACTCTGCGACCTCAAGACCTCGGCGCGGTACTCGTCGGTCAGGACCTCGTCGACCTGGCGCTGCGTGGCGATGGACCCCGGCATGACGCTGTTGATGCGGACGCCGAACCGGCCGAACTCCTTGCTCTGGGACCTCGTCATGCCCATGATGCCGGCCTTGCAGGCGGCGTACGCGGGCGTGCCGGCGGCGGGGATGCGCCAGGTGATGGACCCCATGTTGATGATGCTGCCGCCGCCGGCGCTCTTCATGGCCGGCAGGAAGGCCTGCGACAGGAAGAAGACGTGCCGCAGGTTGGTGTTGATGCTGAGGTCCCACGACGCGGGGGTGACGTCCTCCGTGCCCACCCGGCACGCCGCCGCCGCCGCCGCCGCGTTGTTGACCAGCACGTGCACGACGCCGTGCTCTTCGAGGATCTTGCTGGCCGTCGCCTGCAGCCTGTCCAGGTCCGTCACGTCGCAGTGGAAGTAGACCGGTGGTACCAGGGCCGGGCCCCCTTCCTTGGATGAGACCGAGGCCACCCGGTCGATGGTTTTCTGAGCCGAGTCGCTAGCGATGTCCAGGAAGAAGACGCGCGAGCCCTGGAGCGCGAATAGCTCGACTGCGGCGGCGCCGATGCCCTCTGCGCCGCCTGTGACGACCACATTCTTGCCATGCAGGCTTGGGTAAATAGCGTGGCCAGCAGTCATGGTTATGAGTTGGTGGTCAAGGCCGTGAAAACTGTTGATCGCCTGTGGGGTAGACGAAAGCTCTTGAACATCACAGACAAAACCCCCAACCCCTCTAGGATCTCCAATAAACTCAGTAACACGACTTGGCAGTTATTACCAAAGTCGAATCTCGGTGCCGAGTGGGGTTGTTCGGGCGGCTCGGCCTCAGCGTTGCTAAACCGGCTCCGAGACCATAGTGCAACGTAGTTCTAAGTCAATGGGAATGGCCTCATGAATTTAACGCGTGGATGACTGATACTTTGTTACAAGACAGCCACTCGGAGTGCGCTCCAATGGGATGTGCGAGTGTGGAAGCCGACAGGATCGTGCTGGACGACGAGGACCTGGCCGCCACCCGGGCTATGGACCAGAAGGCGCGGTTCAATGACCCGAGCGCCGATTTTGGCTACGATCTGTACATCGGTTTGGCGGAGGAGTCATGACCCGCCTCGGCTTTTTTATGCGCATTTCTTGCTCGATTTTGTTGGGTTGGTCTTGTATGATTTTCTTTTGGTGGTTGTGCATACTGTGAGCTTTCATCTTGCGTCACGGCGATCTCGTTGTCAGGTAGCTCTGGGCTCTATGAGCGAATGGGAAGTAGAATATGCAATGGCACCACGGCGCTCCTTGGTAGACGAGGACTTGACTTAGAGCTGCTGGCTTTCGGCCATGACAAATCATGCATTAAGCAGTCGAGTCGATAAATGCGTTTTTGTCTTGGACATCTAATCAAATTTATCGACAACCAGTGAGTCGGTTGCAACTGGCAATGGCACAGCAAGAAGGAAATTCAGATGAGAATTCTTCCCCGCTTGATTGAGACCTAGGCAACCGTAGGCAACCGTTACTACGGAAGTGTAAAAACGTGATTGGTAGGTTTGATTCGACCCTTATCCAATGTCCTGGAAACCTGCTTGAAGCTCGGACCACCGCCAGTGCAGGCGACCAATACTTGGAGAGGGTGCTTAGGCATGATTGCCACTGATCAAGTTGAGTACGGTGGCCGCTGATCTAAGACGACCTCGTTGCCCCCCTCTTGCTTTCTTCGTCGCTTTTCGGTTCTTGCAACCTTCAACCCTCCCAAAACTCTGCCTCCTCATTTTTACTGTTTGACTTTGCCACTCCTTGTGCCTGGGTTTCCGCCGAGAAATGTCGATTTCAATGTCGATGTTGCCTGATCATCTTGCACCTCAAAATGAAATAAATATGAGTATCTGCAAGAGCGGCGGTGAATTAACGCCGCAGGTGGGCGATGCGTGCCCGACCCGTCTCGATCAACAACTCGACCGCACACGCCCCCAGAAACGCTCCACACATGTGCAAGAGGTGCAAAGCGCTCGAGTTGGGAAAACTGTTGATGAGGGAATCGAAGATAAAGGCCATAGGCTTCTTGGACTCATTCGATGACCCACATTGTCAATTATGCGACACAATACGGCATTTTGCCCAGTTGCACTGGGGTTCTCAACCACAGCCAACAGATGCCAACGTCCATCGATCAGTTGTGCGCATGCAAAGCAGGAAGTGGTATTCAATCTATGATACAGTACCCACTGTGAAGAGCGTGTATCGAATTGTGTTAGTGCTTGACCGACCGCCTTCAAACTCAAGTATCCAAGCGATGGGCCGAGCTTTGAAAGATGAGCCGGTGTGTTCAAATACATCCTCACTGAATTAGAAGTGGATCCTACAAGGGTTCGAAATGCCCGTGGATTTCCTTCGCTCAGACGGTCAATACCACCGTGTATCGATCTCGACTTAGTGCAGAGCTGGTTCAAAGAGTGCCGAGACCATAAAGAATGCAATTTCGGCTCAAAATTTCGGCAGTCAAACCTGGAGCTGTTCGAGCACGGATTTCGGCTAATTGATGTCGTTGAAGGGAGACTAGTCGAGAAGACCGATCCTTGCGCTTATGTCGCCCTTTCGTATGTTTGGGGCCAACTCGAGCCTCTTCGCACGAACAGACAGAACGTCTCGGCGCTGTACGAGCCTTCATCTTTGGATCCGCATGGAGGACATCAGAGTGCTAGCCGGATTCCGCGCACAATTGTGGACACGATCACGTTGTGCCGATCTATTGGACAGAGATACTTATGGATCGATAGTCTGTGTATCATCCAGGACGATTTGGATGAGAAATCGAGGCTGATTAACAGTATGGACTGCATATACGAGAACGCAATCCTTACTGTTGTTGCTTTATCTGGCAGCGATGCAGATGCTGGCCTTGCTGGGATCCGCCCCCGGAGTTCTGTTGCAGATAATGATGGGCGACAATATATTTTTCATGAGGTTGATGGTACTCAAAGTATTGGAATTAGCCGAATCTCTCTCGACGAGCAGATACGATCCTCCAAATGGAATACCCGCGGATGGACATACCAGGAGCGGCTCTTGTCACCTCGAAAACTATATTTTACCCCCCATGAAGTCTTCTACGAGTGCAAAGGTCATCATTTGCGTCATGAAAGAAGAGAAGGGTATGGGTTTGAAAACTCCAGTGACTTCACGGTTATGTTTGGTGCTCCAATGTGGGCCGGATATAATCGTTATACCACAGAAGGATACGAAAACGCTGTGGCGCTTGAGTGGGCTCCCTGGCTGTCAACCCCGCCCCAAGAAACGTTCCAGGAAATTGTCTCTATATACTCTCGGAAGCAACTCACGGACCCAGGAGACGTATTGAATGCTCTTGCGGGCATATATCAGAGGTTATACGCCAGTGCCGATGTTCATGGCTTTGGAATACTCAACGCACTCCAGGGCAATCCCTTACGAATCTTCTCGAAACTTCTTCTCTGGTCCAGAACCAAGTATCACCTTAGAAGGAGGAATGCCGAAGTTCACGATATTGGAATGAACTCACTTCAGGGAATCCCCATGCAAGGCTTCTGCGAGTTTTTGCTATGGTTCACAACGAGCCACCGCCGCAAACCGCGAAGGAACGCCGCTGGATTTAGACCATCGACTTGGTCTTGGACCTCGCGGATTGCAGCAGTTGACTTCGCCACGGCTAAAGGCGCACCGTTTTCGAACTCTGAAGCCTTTGGCAACTCTTTACCCGCTGGAGAAACTTGGTGTCTGATCAAAGAGTGGTGCCTTTCTTTCGAAAATGGCAACGCTGTCGATAGAGTTCGATTTCCTGGTAACGTGCTCTCCTACAAGCACACAGAACGGAATCGGCGGTCCCTCTTTATCAGTCCGTCTGAACTATTGGAGCTGGTTTCACCCAGAAGTGGCCAAGACAGGTTTGCCCGTTCCTCTTCTGTTACACCAGGTGTGCTGGAATTTCTTGGCCCATATATTCCCTTCCCTACGAATAGAAGTATGCGCTGGGTTGAGATACAGGGAGGGGAGTGGCATTTGAAATTTGCTTCTGACCTCTTTGTCATAGCCAGGTTGGACTCGGAGGACCACACTGTAGAGGGCTTTATCCTCTTAGCTTGTTACCTTGGTCTCTGTGTAAAGAAAGCCGGTGAATATTTTGAGAGGGTTGGTGTGGCTATGTTTACACCTATGAAAGTGGACTGGAAAATATTTGTGCGCAGAGATTTCCTGGATATATACTGGAAACGGATTTCTTTACGTTAATTTACCCTGATTCTTCTTCTAAGGGTGAATCAGATCTTAGGCGAGCAATTTTACGCATGTAAGATTGACCATATGCGCTATCTCGACCTTCCAGTGAACGCCTTTTAGATATTTCAAACCGGGGAGTTTGCTGGCGCCAACTGTCGACAGTCGAAATATTTCAACCGTTCCAAATTCATCTGCTTGGGCTGTGATGCCGTGGCGGTTGAGGCAGTCAAAGAATTCGCCAATTGGAATCAATGCCTGGGAAAATTGCTCATATAAAGCCTTGTCCTCTGGGCGAAGACATAAGAGACGGGTAGAACCCGAACTAGATGACGCTGATATTGTCTTCATGCTATCAGGACACGTGCGTCCGGGCTCCTGACCCGGTACTGTGTGGGCTTCCATGTTTGCAATCGAACGCAAAATCTAATTGTGGGTATTATGGACGACGGGCAGGAGCTTCTCAAAGTTACTGGGTGAGTACATTCTTTTGTAACCTGGGGCCGTTTAAACTTTTGACTAAATGCCATTGTTGTTTCTGTACCGGTGCGTCATGGAAGAATGGGATTATGGCTGTCAGAGGTTGGTGTGTCGGCATAGTGATAGGGCCCGAATAGTGACTATCATTGAAGCCTGAGCAAGGAGTCTGTCCTTATGAGCGCCCTCTGAATCAAAAGGCTACTATAAACTATAAACCTGCTGTTCTGATGAGTTAAGAGCCCTTGCACATTGACCCCTGCCAATGAACCTGAACTTCTTGAGTGCCTGGTCTTTCCCCCTCGTCTTCAATTCGCACCGCCTGGCGCAAGTGAAAGTGCTTTACGATGCGCTGGTCTAATTCCAGGCACTTTAGATCTCACAAAGCCGTTCTACCATCGGCGTGCTGTGGGTAAGGAGTATGTAGAAGATGCTTCAATCACAATGAGGTTGTGAATCAACAGCTAGTTTGTGTCAGACCGCGATAGTCCAGTACAAATATAAGAGGATGTCGAAGTTATGATTTCCCTCATCAGCAGTTCGTCACAAACAGAAACCATCAACACAGCTTTTAAAACTCCTAAAAATAATGATAAAAAACCAAGAACAGCAAACGGGACGCTCGGATTCCATGTCGGTGGACATGTTTCTGCGTGAGGTGGCACGTGTGCAAACTCCTGAAGGCGGCCGGAGCTACTTGAGCACACGAAAGGACCTAAGCGTACCACATGGGCCCTCGTTTAGAGACTCCCAAAATAATCGCGTCATCATCTACTGTTGAGCTTTCAACCCTCCCCATACCGGCTATGTTGCTTGCCTTGTAGATGCCCTGCAACACGTGGCCAAAGACCGTGATCTAGGTGACTTTGTTGCCTGTATTGTTGTCCCCCTGGATGACAAGTTTCTGCTGCAGAAAGAGTGGAGGGAAGAGAGCCAGTGAGTCGTCAGCCTCCACAACCACGACTCCGATGGCCTTGACCGGTAAGGACCGCGCTGATCTCACATCATATATTCAATCTGCAGCATCCGGACTCGACGCCCAGCTCCGCTCCAAGGTCCAGGTCTGGGCACCCGCACGAGCAAAGACACTCACCGATATTCCCCAACTTTTGGGGGCTGAAGCCAAGAACAAAGGTTTCGACATGGACTTCATATTGCTCCGAAGTTGTGAATACCTATATTACGGTGACAAGGGAGCTACCCGGGACCCCCCAGTAATCCACCCCAAGTGCAGCATGGTAATTTTCACTAACGTTGGCGGAAGGATTAAGGACACGATCTGGCAGCTAGACGGTAGTCTGAGGCCCCTCGAGGAGCCTTGGATCAAATGGGAGGCCCTCGTCGTAAATGAAGACCTTGGGGAGGGTGTCAGCAGAACTGTGTGGTCGACCAAGCCTCCCACATCGGAGCAGAGGTTGCTCGACACACGAAATACTCTGAAGTCTGAGCTGGGCTTTAGCTCAACTCAAATTCGATGGCTCCTTTATGCGAGCGACTTCAAGGACCGTGAGACACTAGAGAAAGATCTCCACGAAGCTGGGCCAATTCTTGCTGGGGAGCTCATTCTCAGGCTTCATGACTGGGCTGATCAGAAGAATACCGTATGCAGGTAGAATAATTTAATTTCCTTTTAAAACTAATAGCTCTAATCTAGACCTGCGATATCATGTATAATAGTACTCTGAGGTGGCATATCGCCCAGCGGCTGCCACTCTGTCCAGACGACCTCCCCACGTTTCTCGTCCCAGTCCATCGCCATCTCAGTACCGTCCTCAGATTTCCAAGGCGTGTTATTGTCCTCGGGGTCACCGTTCAACCATATGCCAGTGGTGCCAATAGCATTGCAAAGCTTCTGTTCCTGCAAATCTGACTTGCAGTGAAAATTGTGATTCATGTCTTGTACATAGATACGCCATGTATTGGCTTTCATTTCCCGGCGGACTGGGCCAAAAATAATCTCAGCAGCCATCTGGATGAAATAGAAGTTAGCTTAAGATGTTAGAGTGTTTTAAACTTGTTAAATAGTCAAACGAGGCTTACCCAGTCTTTTGTGCCTTTGATGAAGAGGACACGTGTGTCTGAAGAGATTGCAAACAGCTTTTGCTCTCTGACATCGTAGTTACGAACCAGAGGGTAGCTCCATAGTATCAAGTTCTTGTTGCTGGAGTACACGGCTGTGAAAAGAAATCATTAGTTAGCAAAATGGTAGGAGAAAAGGCCTGCAGCTTGGGTTATATCGAAAAGATGAGTGTCGAAGCTTTTTCCAAGGTTCTGTAAAGCACGGAAATACTTACACGCCTGAGTGGCACATCATGCACCACGACTACGACCACCCATGGCCTTGCCACTTGTATCATTCATGAGGTAGAAAGAGCTAAAGCCCGCCGTACTGTTCACTTCCGCGTCCTTTGCGTCCTCGCGGTCCTTCTGGAACGCCAGCACTGGGCCCCGCCGAGCAATGCTGGAGCACACCTGCTTAAACGCCTCGGCCTGGATACTTACCGCGAGGTCCACCGTGTGACATGACTACCTCAGGGTCCGCGGGGAGACCCTCCAGTATGCTCCTGTCCCGGGAGGCCCCTTTTCTCTTTCTCAGCCCGCGCGACGTTGAAGGCTGTTTCTGGTCCTTTGTCGACATCCCGGTCGGGCGACTTCCAGCAGCAGTGGAGCGAGGGATTCTTGTGGGCAACTGCCGGTCTTTACCCTTAGAAGGCGTTAGTGATGGCAATGCATTCTCGATGATAGGATCGTTCGTGGGGGTGAGTAGAGAACAATGCCGTTGGACAAGGCCTGCGAAGTTGGGATGTCGTGATCACGGCCATCAATACCTACCAGGGGGAGGGGGGGTCTTTGTATGGGTCACGTAACGCAATCATGTTTTAAGATCTAAACAAAATTTTGAAATTATAATGCAATACTAGCAAAATACTATTAAAATACTATCAGAAGTTAATTATATTAAGGCTTTAAATTATGTTAATATTGACTTTATATTAAGATTAACTTTATATCAGTTAATATTAGCTAATATTAAAATAGATTTATATTAAAAGCTTTGGTTTAAACCTTATTAACTTTAAATCTATTTCTATTTTTAAATATTTCCGTAATTCTATAAATCCCCCTATAGTAAATAATTAAGTTAGTAAAGAGTAAATAAGTAGTTGGGTTGGGGATGAGGGAAAAAAAAGGTTTTTTTTTCCCCTCCATATTAAACATTAACATTATGTTAACACCATGTCAAGAATGAGTACATGTTAGTGATGTGTAAATAATGCAAGGCACACAAAAAAACATACTATCAAAACCTTGATAGCATGTTACTATCATGTTACTATTCTATTGACTTGCTTACAGCACCTATACGAAAACCCCCCCTCCCCCTGGTAGGTACCACAGCCATAGTAAATGGGGTAGCTCTCTACAGTGATGGAAGGATCTTTACAAATCTCCCCTTGCCCTCCTCGCTGCAGATGATTTTGTTCATACCTGAATTGCTAGACATAATTGGTTATCTGGGACTTACAGCAATACACGTTCAGTCAAGAAGGAGGGGAATATTGTTGTTAAATGTTTCACTTAGGGTTTGCCAGAAAAGTCAAGCCGAACTGATCCTGTTCAAAGAGATATGCATTGGACATTATACTGCAGTAATTTGAGCCAAATATAGCTTTCATAATGGCACTGATGAGCTCTGCGGTCTGGTGCTATCTTCGGATGTGACAGGGGCTCAAATATGGTCTGGTTCTGCCCACACCTCGACTCCTGTTCTTGTCGTGCACCTCAGTGATAAAATTACTTGCCGAATTGGTGAACACTGCGCCCCATATCTGCACAGTCTTTCTTCCTCAGACCGTCTTCAGCGAATATGGTTATCACTATGGAGGCCTAAGGCGGGGTCTTCACGAGAGATGGGTCATGAGTTGGACAGCCCGAGAGCCCCTGTGACTCAGCCCTCGAGCGAGATGAAGGACAATGCGTAATAGGCGGATGAGCCACATATGTTCCTGTAGTGGCATGTACCTCAGACCGCCTCACTTCAAAGCATCCAACCCACACCCGTGTGACATTCCAGCATCCTTGGCTTCGTTAGAATCATACCCAAATACACAGGCCCAGGTCGGACTTACCATGGCGGACTGCGGGACTGCTGTCGCTGTTGTGCTCATTCTAGTACTCTCGGCGTTGTTTCCATACCAGAAGCGACCTGTGGTGCGGCTTGTAATCTGGTCCGCAGCCGCAGCAGCATATTCAGCCGCCTCCATTCGGGGCAGGCCATCCTTGCCTTGAGCCCTGCTCGCAATGACGTCTTCGGTGTTCTTGTACAGCGACTTGTCCGGGAGTTTGAAATCGCCGAAATATGTCTGACCTCTGGTCTTGACTCCCCCAGTAACGACTTCAAGAACGTCAACACCAAAGGGGGCTAACTCAAGGCGCAAGGTTTCCGCTGCAAGCTCCAGGGATCTCTTTGATGCCGCATATGTTCCTTCAAGTTCTCATATTAGTTCTGGATGAGTAGATGGTCAACTGGTCATGGCTCAAGGCACCTACCCATGAAGGGAACGTTAATGTACCCGGAGATCGAGGTGACATACACAGCCATCCCCTTTGCTTTAATGAGCAAAGCGGCGAAGGCTTGGGTAATGGAAAGTGGACCGTAGAAGTTGACCTCAAATGGGTTTCTAACCATGTCCAGGTCCTCGTCTAGAATCGGCATGAAATGGTTGCGTCCGGCGTTGTTAACGAGGTAATTCAGAGTGCCGCCCGTCTGCTTGGTAACTATTTCGACAGCAGCCTCGATGTCGTCAGTCTTGACGACGTCAAGTGCCAGCATCGTGACGTTGGGTAGGCCATTAAGATGCGACATCTTGGAGACATCGCGAGCTGTGGCAAAAACATGGAGCCCACGCTGCTGCAAGACGAGGGCTAGGGCAGGGCCAATGCCGCCATCGCTGCAACCAGTGATGAGAACAGTCTCCCTTGAAGTCACGTTGAGTCAAAATCTATCCAAGCCTGAAAGGGTTCAGGTGGAAAAGCATATTTAAAAGATGATCGAAAATCTAAGAGAGGTACGGAGAACCGTGGCCTTGTTCCAGGAATGAGCTATTACATTGCACTGGAACTGTTGGTTCGTAGCTCGGCTGTTGGTTCATCCCAAACTGGGGCTATGGGTACCTACCCGTTGTCACTTATTGAGGTCCTTGTACTTCACATACTTGGGCACTGGATGATTTAAGATACAACACAAAGTAGTACATATATGGATCGAAGCAGGTCAGCCTCGCACGTACATGCTGTGCACGCTAAATGAAATGGCTTGACATTCTTGAGATGGATAGAATATCACGAAGCCTTCAATTTGGTCTGTTCATGGTCTGAAACGGTATCAATTAGGCTTTGGGTGCCGTGTATGAAGGAGCATAGATATCTCTGTAAAAAGAGATTGCACAAGCTTTAATCTGCGTCCGGAATGCACCTGAATGTGATTTGCATAACTCAATAGTGAGAGCCCTGGCAGGCTTTACTCACAAGACTACCTTAACGGACGATACAGTTTGAAACAGTCTCTTCATCCCCAAAGCCCTTGCACACTCACTCCAGCTCATCTAAGTGTAGGTGTACTGCTGGATGGTGATGTCAGCCGCAGTCCAGGTCTTGCCGCCGTTTGAGGTGACCAGACTGCCCGTAGCACCGTTGAGCCCAACGGTCTTGGAGTAGTTCGGATCAGCGGTGTTCATGATGATCGTCGTGTTGACGTAGTGATGCTCCGGGACGGTTCCGCATTTCGCCTGCTGGCATTCCATCGCTGTTGTGAAAGGACGGTCAGTACATCGACTCTATGTGAAAATTCTTGGGCGATTCAACTGACCTGTGCCCCAACCTGCGCCATGGCCGCTCGCTGTGAATGGTCAGCACGTACGTCTACCGTAAGTCGAGCAGGGGACCGTACTTGTGGACAAGGTCGACACTACAGCGCCGTTCACCGACACCGTCTGATCGAATTGGGAAGTGGCATCATTGTACTTGTCTGCGAAGGCGTAAGCACTGCAATGTAGCGTCGATTCGGAAATTTACGGTAAAACTTACAGTCGTATGTGACACGGTCGCCAGGCTTTGCTCTGTATGGAGTACCATCGTGTTGGTTCCCTAGAGACGGGTGAGAACCGTCCAGGCTCAAAAGGGGAATGGGCCATACCGTCATATGTGCTTGCAACGGCACACCAGTTGACGTCGCCGGAAGCAAAGTTGCATGGAGATCTGTTTGCATGAGCTTTAGAGCCAGCGAATTCGAATCATGATGCAGGCTCACCCATATCCAACAGTGGAGATGGCAAGGCCTTGGACGAGATGTCCATCTGCTCCCGAGTCAAACTTGGTGCCCATTCCAGGCCACAAGCCTAGGTTTCCGGTGTGGGGGCTGTTGAGGGCTGGCAGGATGAGTGTTGTGGTTGCCTGCCGAATCCATGAATTGGTTGCAACCGGGCCTGTCGAAAAGTAGTTCCCAAAGCTGAAGTAGCTTTGACGAGGAGTCACGGCGGCGGAGACCGCAGGGAGACCAATCAGCAAGATAGATTTCATGTTGGCGAGATCGTTACGGAGATATGAAGCTTGTAAGATCAGGACAGAAGGAGTATCAAGAATCACAGGGTCTGCGTGACAAAGTGAAGACAGCAAGACGTGCACGAAGATTAGGAGGTTCGGAGCGATTTATAGAGTTAGGGTAATGATAAAGGGGTTGTCGAAGGGCAGCATCGTTCTACTAGTGGATTTACCGGCGGCTCATCATCACCCACACCTAGAACATCATTCCAAGCCTAAAGATCGAATTACTCAACTGCCTGGGCAGGTAAATTTCGCGCCAAGTCCTATTGGAGGATCAAAACGTTTCCGAGCGGATCAGAAGAGCGTTACTGGAAGGAGATGCTGGGATCTTTTATTGTGGGGAAGGTTGCAGGTTAGACCGTTGTAGTGTGCCTTGACGATTGCTTTTGCTCCACAGCAAAGCCATTATCCATTCATGTGCTAGGTGTGCACGGAGGAAGGAATTAGGGCTGTTACAGTAACATGACCGTTATATGAACAAGTGCCAATGAAAGGCTTATTAGTGACCCTTAAGGAAATGTTTTCGCTGTTACAAGACGCATGTGGTAATCAACGCTACGCACCGTGTTGTACCTTTCCGTTCGTGGCTAGAGTTCAAGGGTCATCCTTCCACCGTCCCTTATGCCAAACTCCGCGTGCTTACCCGAAGAAGCAATCGGTGTGCATGATTCCGGGGGCAACGTCGTCTTCCTCAATCATAAAGACAAGACAGGAGCAACTAGACCGGAAAATTTGTGCGCGGCAAGGCTTAATTCAACCCTGTGCGAACCCGTCGCAACGGTACAATACTACTTGAGTAGGGGCAGGAGGGCACCTTTGGCTGCATAGCTAGTTACGTCACGGCTTGAGAGGAAGCCAGACGGCGGCAGACGTGACCAGCCACCGAACCGGAACCATGACCAGGTCACTGGCATTGCAGTAAAAATATTGGCGGCTAAACAACTTCCTAGAATACAAGCTACCATCAAATAACGTCCTATAGGATAACCTCCCATGCGATGGTCTAATCCTGGCTCTTTAACACCAAGGGCGACGTTGCAAGAGTATCTTGTGGATTATCGAAAGTGCTTGATTTCAAAGCACATTCGAGAGATGGGCTAATGTCAACATTATACCCAAATCACACTGACAGCAGCTCCTTCTCAGACTAGCCGAAACCTTGCATCCATCGCCTCTTCAGCCAGCTCTTCGAATCCGTTGAGTACACAATCCCCAATGAGCTCCCACGGCAAGATCCATGACTTCATGGCCCTCGTATGGCCCTTTTGAGTCGGCGATGCTACATCTCCAGTGCCAGCGAAGTCTGACGAGTCATTCGCCCGCCTCCGGAGCACAAATGGGACACGCGCCCCACTGATCTGGATTATCACATCCCCCTCTTTTGCTACGTCAGGAACAAGGGCAAGCTGCCCCGCTGCCTGCTCAGGATCATCGGTGGGGGTCGTTGTCTCGCTCACACAGACGGCAAGACTTCTTCCATCGACTATGGACTCGTCATCTGTGACGCTCGTCCAAAACATGGGGACGTCCCTGTCAATAATCGGACCGGACCAGTTCGCAGCAATTTGTCCTCTACGGTAGAGGTGTAGCTGCACCGGAAGGTTGGGGTCGTCAGCCCTTGCCTGCTTGAGGTGAAGACGAAGGCCTCGAAGATCGTTTGATCTTCGGGATCCTTCCGGGAAGTTGGGGTCATCTTGGTCAGCGCGGGCAAGCTCTTCCCAAGGAACACCGTCAATCCTGGCCCGGTTGATGAAATCCATGCCTGCTTTGGCGTCGACGCTATGGTTTGTCGAAGTCAATTTTCGGGCCCAGAGTGCCATCATCAGGATGAAATTCTTGTCCTCCTCGTGAGCAGCTTCCATCAAATGCTTCAACAAAACGTGGTCATTCCTATTCAGCCATATTGGTGCGGTGAGAGCTCCTATCCGTCCCACCACGCGCCCTGAGATCTCCATTGAAGCCGACTCCGATTCAAGATGAGACCAGATTATGTTACTGTCTGCAATTCGACACCTGCGGGATCTGCTTTCTTCATCTGACTCTTTTGGGAGGGTATCCAGTATAGTCTGGTTGCTGCGATGAACACCGCGGCTAACAAACTGATTGTAGTAATACCAACATGGAGCCCAGGACGGCATTTCGACATTCGCAAGGGGTCTTTCTGGGGCCGAGAAGTTGACGTAGGACAGAATCTCCAACGAATCGGTCGTTTCGATCACGTTTCTGGTGAATTGAACATACAGGCTGCGTGTATCCACTTCATAGTCGACGCGGAATCTGGGGTCGTTCGTGTCGATCCCCTCAGCTATCCCCATGAATCCAAATATCCTGTCTCTCGCATCCGAGGTTTCCAGGTATCTCCCTCTGTGAAGTAGTTTCAAGATATTCAACGTGCGCAATGGACTGCTGGATGCTCCTGAAAATTGGCATGACGGGTGAGAGTCGTCAACGCCGTGCTTATGCAGGTGTTCGCATCGAGCACGGCTTATGTCTCGCACAATACCCTTTTTGCCATCGTCCCACGTGCTAAACCCATATCGATCTTGATGCCTCTCAGACTGGAGCACCGTCTTGCTGAAGTCGTCCCACGAGATCCGTCGATAGCCGCACTGGATAGATAAGCTTCGCGAGAGAACTGCCTCCTGGAAGACCCACAACCTTCTAAACCAGGGCCTTGATAAGACGTCAATCTCAACGTCTCTGAATTCCCCACGAAAACACAGCAAGTCCTCTTCCAGCTTGGCGGGGAGCGTTTGATCGCGCTCACCGCGGTCGTTTAGGGCCCATGAGCTGTGCCTCTCGAGTAGGTTCCAGGCAGCCACGCTAGTATTACCGCCACCCGGCCCTAACCAGATGATGGTGTCGGAGGCGGCTGAGAAAACATTGCGCATCTGCTGAACTTGCTGGCTCTTCTCCGTTACATTCCCCTGGTTGATGCACACTGCGTCGACCCAGAGGCGAATAGGGATATCCCGACGGCGGAGATGGCGAAGAGCGGCGTCCAGGTTGGCGCCGATGAGAAGCCTCTGGTCGCCAAGCCAGATCTCATTGGTGAACTTGAGATCACCCCACGCGTATGAAATGGCTGTGTAACCTTCATCCCCGTCATTTGAATCAGAGAGGCGCTTTTCGGCAAGGTGGCACTCGATGTCATCATCCGCACTGTCGCACTCGAACACGGTCAGAACGCGTATGGAGTCTGGATGAGACAAGGGCTGATAGAGCTGGGCGTTGGGAGTTTCGTATGGGGGGGCTAGATCGTCCATACTGGTTAGGTGAGTGGTGACCGTCCGAAAGGCGTGCGAAAGAGAACAGAAGCAAGGGACTGGAGCGGTTGCTCAAGGTATAGTTTGTGCAAGCCGGAGGCAGACGCAAGCAGGGGAAACGGAAGTAGGGAATGGGAAAGGTACCAGCAGTGCGGCTCTGCTCCAGCTGACAGGTCTTGTGCTGACTGCATACCCTCTACATATCACCTCCGTCATGTTTTAGTGCAGGACAAATTTAACGATATCTATTGGTTGAATGGCGATTGTGGCAGGTCTAAAGTATGACGGACATTTTAGCGCAACTATAGGATCTAGTTAATACGGCCAAACCACTCCGTCCCGGACGCCGGATGAACCACTAACATTACAGAGCTTTTGTCATGATGAGAACCGTAAGTATGGCACTGCCGCTTCATGCAAGGCGGTTTCAAAGGATATTCCACCTGTGACCTTTCTGCCACATTTTGGCAGATAGTTCCTCATAACAGCCGCACTTTCAATCGGTGTCTTGTGAGATTCCTAGGTTGTGCGAGCATCTTTGGGGCAATTCTTACAAAGGATAGTAGCTAGAAGATCGATCTCACACGTAATAATCTCGCATGGGATAGCCTTTTGAAGGACGACCTCCAACAGGAAGATCTCCGAGAGGAGAAACTTCAAAAGTGTAACCTCACAGATAATATGTTCCCACAAGGTAACCTGCCAGAGAATAAGGGAAGTTTTTATGCTCAGGGGTGAGGGGAAAAGGGGAATGCAGATGACATGCGGCACAAACACATCTCGACTGGCGCATGAAACAAACAACTCAACGATTCTCATCCCGAAAGCTCATGTGATCTTGTACTATAACTGATACAAGGCCGGCCTATGCCGACGTAGAGGTCGATCGGTTAGAAAGAGGGCAGCAGGGAAGGAACGGAGTGCCACTGGAATGCTGGGGTTATCCTGGCTGTGAGCGCGCCTTCCCGTGTTTGTCGTCGTCCATGGTTGTGCAATTGTCCACGGCGTTTCGCCTGACCCTTGACCAGCTTGCCTTGGCATCATCGCTGTCCACTTCAACATTAGCATCCGCACACAACATCATGATGATCATCAGGCACCTACCACCACGGTTCTCTCAGTAGCTATGCGTACCATCATCCCCTTCATTGCCATCGCTCAGATGCTTGTATCTGCGGCAGGCGTACCTGCTTTACCCTCGCTTTCTTCGCCCCACACCCCCCGACACAAGCTTGACGGTCAGCGTCATACAGACATCCGCGATGGCGAGACTACTCCGTCGCATTCCTAGGAAGGCTTTAATGGGAGTGGGCAAGCCAGTGTTCCAGAGACCGAATTAGCAACCGAAGAGGATCAAGACTACTATAAGTGCGTGCCACAGCCCGAGGGGTTTGGCCCGCGCCCGGTGTAAGTCCTCAAAAGACACACCAAGCGGCCTTTTCCAACTAATGTCAGTGTAGCGAGGACACACCTAGTGCCTTTCGCCGTTCCATGTATTTACACGACGCTTCGAGGTCGGCACGGAGTCCGCGAGGCTACAAGTTGGCCGCCCGGGATTTGGACGGCGCAATGGAGAACGACCTAACATTCCTTGGTACCCATCTCCTCGAGCACTACGATACCGACCAGTGTGCCAGCTTTTGCGACGATCTGCCGACCTGCGCGTCCTTCAACTTGTACTTCGAACGAGACCCCATCTATGAACCCAACAGGACGGCCGGCTGCCCCAACCCGCCCTCAACTACAAATATAAACTGCGTGCTCTGGCATTCTCACCTCGAAGCGGACGAAGCCATCAACTTCGGGGAGGTACGGGAGGATTTCCAAGTCGTCATCGCAGGCTCCAACCTGTACAACAAGATACATGGGCCTCTCGATCTCAGCAAATTGGGATTCAGCGGGCCGCGAGTAGACGTCGACAATGATGCGGCCTTCCTGGTCCCCGACGAGCCGACGGGCGGCTACAGCACACTCCTGGCACATGAACCCTTGTACTACAGCTACTACAACGCCTCGGCCACTCTTGAAAAATACGACCCTACCGTCTGCGCCCATCTCTGCTCGAACATCACAAACGCCGCCACTCCCTCTTTCCCTTTTACGAACAACGCCTACCCTGTCTGCAGCATGTTCGTGGCTTATGAACTGAGATACAACGAGCCTCTGGGAATGGTCTGCGAGCTCTATTCTTCTGTGTGGAGTAGTCATTACCAGAGTTTGCGGGAGGTGGTGGCTTTCGGCGGCGAAGGTGAGAGAACAGTCATCTTGCACCCCAACAAGGTATCGGTATATCAGCGAAAGGACTACGAATATCCACCGATATGCGCCATGGAGGAGTACTGCGGGAAAGACTTCTATGCTGGTGGTGACTGCTCTGGATGGGGTCAGGGTTACTGTTAGTTTGAGACGGGTGAAGCGATGGAGTTCATGCAGCAACGCCTTCGCAAGAACCTAGACTAACTTGAGAAGTATTAATATTATGTTCCCTTCTGCCTTGTCTGTTCCTGTGAGAGAACGAACTTACACCTCAGCTGACGCGCGGGACTGGGAGCTCCAGGCCAGGTTTTATAAGCGGCCCGTGGCTGAACGGGTGGTGAATGCGAAGAGAGACAACTAGTTATACACACGGAACGACCACTCCGAGCTGTTACATCTCAAGCGAAGAGAATACCAAGCGTGCACGCCAGGCCACTCCTCTCTGTCATACTGCACACAAATATAATTTGGATATATCGGGTTGGTGACCACGGGGGCCTGGGACAATTTAGGGAAATTGTGTTAGTGCGCCTGAATGTTGCGATATTATGTTAGACACTTGGTTATGTATGCTGTTGATAGTCCTCGTGCAGTCCATATCATATGGCCTTCATGGTCACACAGTCTGAGGTGGATTCTCTGAGTCTCGTTGTCCCACTCGTGCCACATGTCCGAGATGTGCCTCCATGTCGCGACGTCTGCGACGACACTGGCTGATCCGACCATCTTGACATTCCCGAAATCCCGTCATTCCACGTCCCAGCAACCTCATCAAGCCCCACCCTCCCTCTTCGCATACTCGTCCTCCATCCGCTCACGATACAACCGATCGACGTCTCTCTCGTGACTGTCCCGGTCGCTCACACCCTCGATGCGCCTGCCGCCGTCGCCGGGCGGGGCAGCACCCCCCAGGCCCCTGTGCGCGGCCCTCTCGGCCGGGATCTCGTGCCCGCCCGCGTCGAAGTAGCGCAGCTCCTGCACGGGGGGCGCGTTGGGGTCGTTCTGCCTGGTCGAGCGCACCGTCGTGCCCTGGGGGTTGGAATGTTGCTCCTCGGTGTAGGCCTGGTTGGTCGTCCTGCCGTTGCGGGTCGCGCTGGAGGAGAATGTCGTACTAGAGGAGAAGCTGTAGGAAGACATGGTTGTGCTGTTTCCGGAAGAATATGCTGTGTACTTCAGGAGCAATTGAAGGTTCTGCTGTGCATGAGTAGATTGGGGTGAGAGTGGCAAGGTGTCCGATTTGTTGTCGCCACCGGAGGGTCAGGTCGTAAACAAAAGATGAGGTCATCGCCTGGGGTGCACGTGACGAGCACGCAAAGGTCAATTTGACGTCACCTGAAACGGACTTCAGACGACATGCTTTCATATTCATTCAATCACAAGTCCCAATTCATGCTAAGAAGTGGAGTTTTCAATTCTAGTCGCCGCTGTCTTTCAATGGCCATGAGTCCACGACTTTGCTTCCGGAGATGCTTTTGAGAGATGTCAGCTTCGTACGTGCAAGGTTTCTGTCAATACCAATACATGGGAAACTGCATTCCAGTGATGGACTGAATCCGGTGCCGTCTTGGGAAGGTTAGCAATCACAAAATGGCGGTGGAATTAGTGTTGCTCTGAAGTCATCCCACATGACAGCATCCTAGAAGGGGTTATCTCACAGGAGGCCATCCCACAGCAGGCTATCCCACAAGAAGTTCGTCTATAGGATACTGTGGCCTGCAAAGACAGAAAAGGCGGATCGGCTTGAGCGCACTCAGAAACGCTTCTGTTATTTGTTAATCACCTGCTACGGAGCCTGGAGGTCGCTGTCGTCCATGGAGCTCGTGCTACGGGGGCCCTTGGAGTCAACCAACCACTGCATCGCAGCTGGCGACCACATTGTCGGCACGGACACGGAAACAGACATACTTACCACAGGACTCAGCATCAGATAATGTGCATGCTAATTATAGAATGGGTCGCAAATTATACCACCTGTTCTGCTCGGCGTTTTGCGCCCGGGTCGGCTTGTCGGGCCCGTGCGCTGGTCTTAATGACAGATGCCTAAGGGACGTCTTGGTAAATTGAGGGTATTTGCACAATGGGTCAATGGTAATGGATAGTTAAGACGGCTTCGTCCCATAGAGGGATGTGGACGAGGTGTCTTGAGCATACAGGCTCGTTCTCATGCTTCACATTCTGGTTGGAGATTGGATGACCGCTCGATCCATAGTCTCAGTGATCATGTTTTCCTCAGTCATTGCTGTGTGGTATTGTTTCACAGTAGCCGCAATTAGTTACGTACATTTATGTGGTGCATGAGCTTTCCAGGTGTGGAGGGTATTCGGAACGTAATTCAACTATTTGACATGATTTTCAGCTAGCTATCCTCAACCGTAGGTTCGGGACAACAGACTGGCGACTTGAAATTGCGTATTTATCTTTGCAAGAACCTTGTAGCATGAATACACGGTGCTCATCGGTTTCAGTAAACCACTCTACTGCTTGCGTTTAAGTGCAAGAAATGCGGCTTGTTGGAGAATATTTGTGTTGCAATCACGGAACAGATGCCGCGAACTGCCATAGGCTTACGGACATGGACGAGCTAATCATGAAGACACGGACTGGTTTTTGCTTCACAGACAGACCGTATTAATTATTTTCGTGGGAGATGTGGGCAGGGCTTTTGAAGAATCTTTCTACGCTAGTGAGCCCAGTGCTATACGCTCGCTGCTGGCTAAGGGATCGTTGAAAGTTCGCGTTACATGGGTCCGCGCTACAGCTTTCCACACGCACAACATGTATTACTTGAAATGCCCACGTGTCTATGTAGGCTATGTCAAGTACGAGTGTACGCTCCTTTGAATCACAGCCAAGCTTGGCTTCTGGCTCGCGGCGTTTTTCTGGAGTTGATGACTACCTGTGAAGGCATGTGATAGATCAGGCCCTGACATTTGACCCTAGCCTGCGCAAGGACATGTCACGTCGATAATGTAAAAGCAAAAGTGACAGAATATTTTATCCGCCAGAGACAAACCAGAGACTATTTAGTCTCGGGAAGAAGGGTTATCGCCGGGAGCTAGTCAGATTGGCCGGGCCTCGCTAGCAAGACCATGTGAGGGCCGAAAAGCTTCCGTCATATCTAAGTCGCGCGCCGAACAGCTTCAGTTGTGCCTCGAAACCTGCCTAGGTTGCGTTGTCGGTCTGATATGAAGCAAGTGGGGAGGCCGTCGGGACCGAGTCCAAATAGACCATATAGAGTGGAAAATCTGTCAACAGAATCAAGTGTAGACTGTCCGAGAAGTTTGCACAGACTCATTGATTATGATTAGTCTACCAGCCATCACTTCCAAATGAATGGCTAGTACGCAAGTGATTTTTTCCCTGATGCTTGAATATTAATGAGCTCTTCTCGTCGCTCCTGAACCCTTTCTTACTTTTCCGTTTTCATCTTGAACAACTTTCGAACCCACACGTGTCACCGCCTCACGCCTATTCAAGACCTTTCCCACAGTGTTACCACAATAACATCATCAACTCGGTTGGAAAAGCCAAGATGTATTTTCCCCGCGAGACCACGACTATGGTGACGGCACTGTCATCTACCATCACCCCCCATTCCACCTCTGTTCCCGGTCATTCAACACAGGCAACGGGAGTACCAGGGATCCCAGTTGCTACTGGTAACTTCGATGCATTCAAATTTGGTGCTCCGGTACCTGTGGTAAGTTCAATCTAACTTGACTTCCACGTTGGGTTCAGAGCCTTCTTAAATTTACTTGTCGTGTGGCCGCGCTTGCCCACGCAGCGCTCTGACCCCAAGACTTTTATTCGGCACGCATATCTCTTCATATAACTCCATCCCCCGTTTTGTCCATCAAGGAGTGGAAAATGTCTACTTCACATCCTTGCCTTCATCGCTACCCAGAAAGGATTCCCGCTCGATGCTGCGTCAGAATAATGCTAATGAGATCCAGCTTCCACTTGTATGGTCTCCAATTGCTCCAAGGGATGAGCCACCCTCGCTTCCCTTCCCATTCCACCCAGACATCGATGATCAGAAGTATTACCGCCTCGATGAGGATCCGTTGCAGGGCTGTATCAGGGACGCCATCAAGGAGGCAGGCAGGGAGCGTTGGCAGGAGCTCATCAGCAACGGTGGGTGGACGAATTTCCTGATCGAGAGCAAAGGCCGTGGTCTGGTGGGCCAGGATTCCAACTACGACGCCAATGAAGTGAACGGTCTGCTCCATCAGGTCCGTATCCAGGCAGTGGCCGAGAACTCGGGACTCGACCCGGCAACAAACGAAACCGAGAAGTGTGCCGCTTTGGTAAAGCGGTTCACCAGTGAGCAAATGCTGGATGAGATCATTCTCAGCTGGGCGGAGGACCAGGGTCACATAAGGAACTTGCCCCTGAGGAGGCCACAGCCCGAGAGACGGCATGTCGTCACCGACGTGATTGACAACGAGCGCCAGACCAAGATCAAAGTCATCGACGGCGTCATTGGCTACGTCCGCAACAACCCCAATGTTTCTGACGGAAACGATCACCAAATTCTGGTCAAAGTCGGAGATGACGCCATCGGCTTCCTCCCTAAGAGAAGTCATATCCCCGCGAACGCCACAGTTCCTGCCAACTCAACCCTGCTTGCCAATTCTACGGCTCTTCACAACTCGACTGACTTTATCGATTGGATCTTCAACCTAACTTTGCCTGGCAACTCGGCCGTCCCTGACAACTCGACCCTGCTTGCCAATTGCACGCGTGATGTTGACGAGTTACTTCACCTTGTCGATGACCTTATCGATTGGATCTACGAGCTAGGCTTGCCTGGAAACTCGACCGTCCCTAACAACTCGACCCTGCTCGCCACGGCGCCGAACAACTCAACTCGCCATCTCGATTCGCTCTTCTCTGGCAACTTGACTCGCCGTTTCAACCCGGCCTTGCCTGCCAACTCGACCTCCCATGTAAGCCAATTCGTTCGCCGCAGCCTCAACGCCGCATCCCTCGCCGAGGACATCTTCTCGGAAGTCGACGACGAAATCGCTGAGGGCGTACGAGTCGCTAGTCTGGCCGACCCTGACATTCTTGAGATCTTCGGGCAGGACGGGGACCGCCTCAAGGGCTTCCTCGACCAGCCGGTCGTCCGCGACCTCATGTACGCGACCACCAAGAAACACCACAACCACGGCAAGCACGGAAAGCACGGCAAGAAGGAGGATTCCGTCTGGGCCGACCCCAAGTTCGTGCTGAAGTTCATCAAGGACTCCGTGCAGGGCGTAAAGAACTCCGCGCAGATTGTGGACGGCGTCGTGCGGGCCGTCGAGCACAAGAGCCATTCCAAGCACAAGGGCCATTCCGGGCCATAAGGCATCCCTATGATGCTGCTGCGTTACAGTAACGGGGGAAGGTTTCTTAAAGGACTGACCAAACTTTCTACGGTTTAGAGTTTGTTTGCAATGATTGAGGGATGAACGCAATGTGACGGGCGTTGAACATCATAGTCTATGGCGGGAAGGCCTTTTCCATGAGATCCGTCAGAAGATCAATCAGGTGCGTTAGTTCTAATCCAGGTCATTCATGTAATGGAATTCAGTTAAACTGAAACCGCACTTCTCACTAAGTTGACTTTTCCCGCGTGCTATTGAACATCAAAACGTGTACTGCCAATCTCGCGAAGTCGGCCCGCACACCACCCCACCATCAGGGCAGCACAGGATGGCGTAGCAATCCCTCATATGTGTATGTGTAGACCCAGTAGCCGCTGTCATCTCCCTGCGTGTAGGTGGATGGCGAAGTTTCGGCCTTCTTGATCAAGCCTCGGGTCTCGATGTTTTCGACCGTGCCCTGGACGGGCAGATGTTATTAATGATGACACCCAATCCGAACACCCACACCCACACCCAACACCCGTAAACCCAACTTGCACACCTAATTTATATGCCTAATTTGACTTAGGTGTGTGGGTGTTGGGGTGTAGGTGAAAGACTTAGGCCGGGGTGATGAGCTCCGATTGGCTACAGTTGTAACGGGAGTTGATAGACTGTGTATCCTCCGTCTTTGCAGTTGCGAATTTCTGATTTCTTTCCTCTCCTCTTTTTGTCTTATAAGCTAATGGACTATAGACCCAAGGTATAGACTTAATCAAATAGCTATACTGTTTATGCTCATGCTCATAGTTTAGCTCCTCCATTGCGTAGCGGAAGATGTTTAGATCCCAATTGCTTTGAAACTGCATAAGAGCATTTCCTTCTTTCAAGATACGGGGTATAGAGCTATATGAGCAAAGTAGGTATCTCAAGTCATCATGCCTCATCTCACCAACTCTGACCATCCCATCTTGACTCCTTCATTCCATCCTAAACTTGTTACCTATCTACGATACCCTCCGTGGTATTCACGTGCTTCTCCCTGTCACGAAGCTCTGACTCGCTGGGATCCTTAATAATCATACCATCGACAACATGAGCTTCGGTCCGTGGACCGACGTAGTACTTCCTGCCTGCAATGAACCAGTAGACCAATGAGAAGAGGAGCACAAAGACCAAAATCACAACAGCGTAGTTCATCTACGGTCAAGGAGTTAGCAAATAAAAGACAAGGTAGGGCATAACGGAACAAGCACTCACAGTGTCCGCAGCAACGGGCCTAACCGTGGGGAAGAGGAAGATGACAGACACAAAGGCGGTCCAAGAGCAGGCCCAGACGTTGACGAAGAGGCTCGCAGGGCCGAGGTGCCAGGGCCCGCGCTCGAACTTGTTGAACAGGAGCTTGCACAGGATGGGGATGCAGTACGACCAGTCCAGGGCGATGGCGCACAGGTTGAAGATGGCCGAGATGGTGATGTAGCTGCCCAGCCCGATGAGGTTGATCAGGATGCAGATGAGGGTGTACAGCCACACGGCCAGGACGGGGGTGTCGGTGCGGCCCCAGATCTTGTACCACACGCGCGAGCCCGGCAGCATCTCGTCGCGGGAGAAGGCCCAGATGGTGCGGCTGCCGGCCTGCAGGGCCGTGATGCACACGAAGTTCATGATGATGAAGGCGGACACGGCGAAGAAGATGGCCGCGCGCTTGCCCATCACGTTGTAGTAGATCTGCACGACGGGCTGCTCGATGGCGGAGGCGAGGATGTTCTGCGACGGGTCGTCTGAGGTCAGGTCCAGGGGTCCCATGCAGAAGGCCAGGACGATGGTGAAGAGCCATCCGACGACGTAGGTGAAGCCGAGGGCCGAGGATATGGCAGTTGGGACGGTGATTGCTGGGTTCCTTGTTTCTTCCGCGATGCTGTCGACATGTGTTAGTTTACTTTATTCGTCTGGCGAATGAATTCTGTTCGTCTGTGTCTTCCAATCGAAGATTCGTCGTGAAAAAGCAAATAATAGAATGGTAGGCACTAGTAAGGGGAAACTTACTGCGCTGCGGCATCGTAATCTGTCATGACTGTGTTCGCAAATACCAAGTTAGCATCACGCCTTATTCGCGTTCTATTTCCTCCGTGATGTCTGCCAAGACTTACCCCATGCCACCGACAGGAATCCGAACAGGAAGCTGAATCCCGGTGGGTTCCATCCAGAGTCGGGGTGGACCTCAGTGAAGACGTAACTAGCCGTGTTCTTGTCCTTCTGGAGAACAAGAAGGGCGACACAGCAAGAGAACAGCACCGCAATGTGGATCACAGCATATGTGCTGGCGATCTTGGATAACCAGGCAGTATTCAGGCAGTTCACAAGTGCGTGAAAGACGGACAAGGCGGCCATAACCCCAATGATATGTCCCTACGTGCTGTCAGTTATTGTGACCAGTATCATGAAGTCATGCTGCGGTACGATAGATCTTACTTGCGTTGGCGAGTACGTGAAGTCGGATCCGATGGCCACAGCAGCGAGCAACATCTGAGACGCACCGTAGCTAGACGAGGCACTGCCACAGATCTGGCCAATGAGGTTGAGCCAGCCTATCCATTATACACATAATTAGCATTTCGAGGTATGCGCGTGTCCGTACGGTGCAACCTTCGAACGGAGCGGTACGGAAGGGAGGTTAGGAAAGGCCCGGTCCGTCGGAACGGAACCGGGTCAATGTGTAAGTCACATACCGTCGATCCAGGCAATCACGGGCACATACTTCTCCGGCGCGAGGTACTTGATTGTGAAGTACATGGCACCTGCGCGAAAATATAGTAGTTAGCATAATTCGCGTTTGCTCTTAGCCGTGTTCCAACGACTGTCACACAAGATGGGGACCATCAGTAGAGGCAGCGCACCAGAAGTCGGGTAGGCTGAGGCAACCTCAGAGATTGACAGAGCCAGACACATAGCCCCAATACCAGCAATCAACCAGCACCACACCGCGGACGCCGCGCCGCCGGCGTAAAGAGGGTAGGAGTAGGTCGTCATGACCGTGCCGTACAGGCCCGAGATGGACAGGGCGAAGCTGAAAGCGGACCACAGCCCGAACTCGCGCTTGAAGACCTGTTGATGCCGAAGGCAGGAGACGTCGTTAGACTGAGCGCACTGTTGAATGCTTACGCACACGCAGGACGCGTGGTCGCTCGTGTGCCACTCACGGGTTTGTAGCCCATGGCCGCAAGGGCTATGTCAGCATCGCTGGCATCTACTTTTTCGTTGGCCGGATCATGCTGATGGGGCGTCGCCGCGGCGGATATCCTGTCCTTGTCGGCCATGGTGGGAGTTGTCGCGTGTTACGTCGGGATGTGCCACTGCCGGCTGATCGAGTGTCGTTATCGGTCGGTGAGACGGCTTGAGAGGCACCCGCTGGTGTTGTTATAGAGCAAGCTCTGTCCGTAGTGGTGTATCACGAGACCAAGCAACTTCGGTTGATTGCGAATGTTGTGAGAAAGACTAGAAAAAAGCAAGCCAAAATTCGGGCTGCCAGCAGATCTAGAGGGAAGTGTGGCTGAAAAGATGAGCGTCGGCGTAAGCGAGGGGCTCTCGCCGGCATTTAATGAGAGCGGACGAGTAGACGCGGAATGTTGCACTTAGATGGCCCATGTCCCGGGGCGTGGCTGTTCTAGCGGGATCTAAGGCATCGACCAACGAACAAGCGGACAGAACAGCTGCGCACACCCGGAAGGATTCGCTGGATGGTCGGCCACCCATCCTTGTCTCACGACAGAGGCTGACAAGATTGCCGAGATAGGGCCATTCTTCATGTGACATGGGCAAGTCCCATTTATGATGCTGACGGTGCGTTAGGTGACCGACAGCCGTATGTATACTAGCTTTTTGGTCTCCCAGCTTGGAATATGTGGCCGAATTTCACTATTGTCCCGCCCCGTACATGAAGTCGGGTACCTGTAGGCGGTTCACTCGCCCAGACGGCTGATGCTGAAGCTTGTCGAGGCTTGACCGTGACTGGCATCTTGGCGGCGACGCTAGAGACGTCTAGACAACCAAGCAGGGGGCTAGTGGCGGCGACGGGTGGGTGGACAGAAACGGTTAGCTGTTGTCATTTGTTGGTTAGCACCCTGGTGACCACCGCCGGGCGAACGAGATTCCTGGCCCCCGAGGCACAAAGACAGACATGTTCATATCGGCATCATCACAATTTGCCTATCAGGGGACCGTACAGGGGTTACGAATTTGTCAAGCAACCTGTCAGTCCACGTGTGCACGAGCTGTGGGATCAAAGACGTACAAGGTTCCAATGTTTCAGTTATGGCTATTGGTACAGCATTCAATGACGGCTACTTATCGAATCTCCACTCCCACTCCCACTCTGGCGCCGTCGCTGTGGTCCCGACCGTCTGTGACGTTCAGGCCGGCTTAAAGTCTCAGCTCTCTCTCATGCTTCAACGGCCGACGATACTGATGCCGAAGTCTTGCCGACCACATTCAGAGCTCTTTTAAGTTCACAGTGCCTCTTGAGATAAGTAGCTCGATGCCATCAGATCTTTGCTATAGGAAGTATCTCATGGTATCCATAATATTTGTCTCAGAACCGTCCACATCGTGCATTCTATCTCAAATCAGACAAAATCATGGGCTTTTCATCATCGCCCTAGCCTTCTTGTAGACTGTGATGGATCCATGAGGTGATATTTGATGCAATAATTAAGCGAAACAACGGAGCTTTTGACCACCGTTGAGAATAATCATTAAATATTATGAGATTTAATCCTTGAAATCCGTGTGCCGCGGCGGGTTGGCTGGGTAATATTATTAACCAGTGACCATCAACAGACCCGGCCGCGGCTGACTTGGCAGCCACCAGAATTGCCGTGTGTTCACTTGTCTATTCCGCTGACTCTTCGGAATTACAATGGCGTTTTAAGGCCATCAGACCCAAGTCGCCATTAGTCACAAATTGGGATGGCAATGGATCTGGGGCGTGAACAAGACCGTGGTGTGGATGAATACTGAGCTCAGCTTCCTAAAGCAAATTCCGCTCTTATACAAGAAGGCGTTGGATTCTGGAGTGATAGCATTACTGAATCATTTCAATTCTGTAGGGGTCTCGTATACAATATAATGAAATCCCAAGACAATATCTCTGTTCTCAGCCTCCAAGGCCTCGCAACACCGGGCCTCCCAAGTACGTGTCAAAAGCTGAGACTACCACAAATAGCATTGCCAGCCATACCCACGTTGAAGCCATCTTAATGATTCGAAGAGCCCTGCCAAGAAACCAAGCCGCATTTCCGCCCTCAAGTGCAAAGTCTCCCCAGCGAGGAAAGAATGTCGCCCGCCAGAACGAAGAAGCCATTCCAGGCCAGGAAGCAGAATTACGACCTGCAGAGTTGATGTACCAATTGTTGCAACCGGAATTGAATACTGTCTGTGCCAGTGTCTTATCGAGCTCCGTGACGGATTGCGCCTCGGCTTCTTCTCTGACCTCTACCACGTCCGCGTAGCCGTCAATGACGGTCTTGAAGAGCGTCTTGGCCAGGTAGTCAAACTGCACTTCGACCGCGTAGATAACAGAATTGAACTCAGGGAACGTGTTCGGTCCAAAGAGCATGCCGAAATTGGGGAAGTTGTGGACGAATGTAAGCCTGTGCTCCCTTTTTGGACTCCAACTGATCCTTGATCGCCATTCCGGTTTTGCCCACGATTTGCATGGGAGTCAAGAAATTCGACCCTTGGAAGCCTGTGGCCAAGAAGATGATGTCAAATTCCTCTTCGTACCCGCTTTCGCTGATTATTCCAGTCTTGGTGACCTCACGGATCCCCTCCGCTATCAGGTCTACATGGTCCAGATGGAGAGACGACAGATAGTTTGGATCGAAGATGCGCCTCTTGCAACCGAGAGCAAATTCTGGCACCAAGACTTCGTGATACTTCCTTGGCGCTTGAGAGTAGATGTACGCCTTGGCATTCTCCTCGGTCTCCATGCGCTGTTTGACCTCCTTGGGCGAAGACCCATACGATGCCGCGAGGCTGTCGGTGTCCAGGAAAGTCTTGAGGCGATAATATCGCTACCAGAGGGGGATATATCGAAAACAGAAGCATTCGAAAGGACTGAATCGGTGGTTTGGCCGTGGATGGTACCATTGCCGGCCTCGTGCGAACCTATGTGTTGATGTCAGTCGCAACTGAGTCATGAATTGAGAGCAAATGGAAGCTAACTGTGTTAGTTTGAATACATGCTTGGCGACCGATGGCACAACCTGAGCCGCACTGCAACCGTTTCCTATGACGGCGACTCGCTTGCCCCTGTAGTCGCACGTGTGGTCCCATTGGGCTGTGTGGAATATCTGACCCCCAAAGGATTCCAATCCGGGGAGATGAATTTCCCTTGGAGTGGAAAAGCCCCCTACGGCAGTTAGGAGGATGGCATACTTTCTCGTCACCCTCTCTTTAGTCATTGTGTCAATGAACTCAACCTCCCATAGCTCCTCTTGGGATAGCCATCTTGCGCCAGTGCAAGCCAAGTTGAGCCTGAAATGCGAGCGCAATAAAAATTTGTCGACGGTGTTTTCGATGTCTGTCGCTTCTTTTAGTACTGGTGGCGGCATGATCCTAGACATGGGAAATGGTGCTCACATTGCAGTATTTCTGATTGATCGCACAACTCCTCACTCCAATCTGGATTCAAGTTGAAGGAATAAGAATAGAGGTGGATGGGCACATCAGAACCGCTTGAAGATGGTCAGCGTGTTGCTCAATCTGTGATGTTCTTCTGCCTTACCATCCAGGATATGTGTTGGCTTTCCACGTGCCTCCAATAGAATCGCGCTTCTCAAAGACCTATTCAGACTGTCAGCTACGGCATACATGTAGCGTAGACTTGGGCCTTGCCTCAAAGTCAGCATAGCCTAGCCTGCATTTTAATGCGTGGGCCATGGCGATGCCCAACACATTATAGATAATTCCGACGTTTCGATCCGTTTTCGTTACAGTTCTGAGCCTGATGTATAGATTAAAGTGATTTGTCACGCCACTAGCGACACTCCTGATGGGACTCTCCTGTCTGCCCATAAATGGCGCCGCTTGTAGATGACAACATAGACATGTGGAACCATATACGACCAAATGGCTGGCATTCGATAGCAAGGACATCGAAGTGTTTGACAGAGTCGTCTCGGACCAACCTATGTAGTATCTTTAGTCTACAAGTTGACCAAGAAAATGGTCCACTCAGCTCGGGACGCGGAAGTCATCATTGATTGTGATAGGTCGGTCTGGCGTCTGGGACAACCCAGCACTAAACCTATCTACCCCAGATTTGAAGACCCACACTTGCAGATCCCCCAGTCTCCATACTCACACGACAGCGCTAACGTATCCTTTCCCCGCAACTGAGTGGAATTATGCTTATCCTTTTCCCTGTATTTCAGCTGCAGACATCTCTACCACCCCTAGATGCATGTGGATCCCGAATACCGTTTGTACCAACCCTGGACACACATTTGAGTCCGGAGCTGATTTGACCGCGAATTGTACACCTTCAGCTATGGACGGAAAGAAGCATGTAACGACTGCTTGCACCCACTGTCGCCGAAGGTCAGTCCAGTATTGCCCTCGACTCGAGCGCCACCGTCCACTAATAAGAACTTGTGCTGTAGGAAAATCAAGGTTGGTCCCCAGTTGCCAGATCCAGTCATCCTCACACATTCTCCTGCTTATCCAATCACTGATCCTGGAAACTTCCAGTGTAACGGCGAGACACCATGTTCGCATTGTCAACTGAGCAAGCGCGATTGCGTCTACAACGCAGCCGACGACAAGCGAAAGTATGATTATGATTCCCCCGAACCTGAGACCATGTGCAAGCAGCTTGACTGATGCAAAGAGAGGAATACCAGCGAAAACAACACATGCTTTGCGTGCCCGACTTTCACAGCTCGAGCACACTTTACAAGCACACAACATCGAGCTCCCACCACAGACACCTGGTGACAGTGCGAATCGTGACCAGGACTCGGCACGAAGACGATCGGCACAGAGCATCTCATCCAGCCGCAGCAGTGACACTTCTCCCCACACGAGGGCTGAACCCACGGTTTCCTCAGACAGCATTATTGAATGTGATGAGCCAAAGCGAATGTCATCGATTATACCAAGAGAGAAGACTCCGCCATCTACCATCTCAAATCAACTCTAGTCGAACGATCATGCCCAGGCCCAGAATATTGAGGCGTGCCAACTCTTTAATGGGACTCGAACCATCCGGGCAAGCTTCGAAGCATACAGAACTTTAGACGATGCAATGCCGCTCAATGCAGATTCGTCACCCAGTCCAAGGTTGACAAATTACGCAGGAATCAGTCAGACAGAACCGACCGATCCAGACAACATTACTAGCTCGCTCTCGGCACGGATGGGGTCGCTTCAGATCGCAGAAGACGGCCAGCTGCGCTACTACGGCCCAACCTCGAACCTACACCTATACCACGCTGGGCTCCACTCCTTGTCACGATCTACCATCCGACACGTCGCCACAGAAGGTGCACAAGTTTTGGCGCGGGCTGGACCGGATCACCCTGTCCCCCCGGATGTCGAGCGCCACCTGGCGGAATTATACTTCGCATGGGAAGACCCGGCAATAAGTCAAAGTACCCAGTCACGCACACACCCCCTCCCGCACAGCCGTTTCCCACCAAAAGCCCGATTTCAACCTATTAATAACTAAATCTATAAAAACATAAAAACATAATAAGCACAAATTAATTTCAAGAACTTTTTATATATCTAAAATAGAGTTTAATGATATTTATTATATACAGTTAATATAAAAAAATAAATAGAAATAGAGATTTTGTTGGAAAAAAGTTACCATTTTTGCAGCCAAGACCTCTGACTCGAGCAATTTTGCAGTAAAAGACCTTTAACTTATCAACATTTTTAATACTTCTATTTGTTTAATATTGTTAAAGATTTATAATAATTACTTAAAAATTAGATTTATACTAAATATAAATTCTTTTAAATATATATAAACTTTATATAGTTGTGGTATATTTATATATTTAGTTATTATATAGCTGAAATCGGGCTTTTTGGTGGGAAACGGCTGTGCGGGAGGGGGCGTGTGCGTGACTGGGTACTCTGACTTACATGTGGTTGACGAGGAGGTCTTTCTCTTGGAAAGGCAGAAGTGGAAGTCTGGGCATACCAATACACCATACTACTCTGAGACACTGAATAACGCCATGCAAGTATTGACTACCAGTAATCGTCGACATAGGTGATTAACATGTTCAGCTGTGCAATTGGGGCTAGTCTTGCCACTGGTGAACGAGGTGCAGTGGATATACCAGGTCCCGAGTTCTTCTCAGCCAGAGCCAGAGCTCTGCTCGATGTCGAGATGGACAGTCCCAACGTGGCAACTGTTCAGGCGTTGGTTATCATGAGTGCTACTGAAGCAGCATTTACTCGGGACGCTCGAGGCTGGCTGTACAGCGGTAGGTTGATACATGTCCACGCAAGAAGACAAGGAAACTGATGAGAGTGATAGGAAACTGATGAGAGTGATAGGAAACTGATGAGAGTGATAGGAAACTGATGAGAGTGATAGGAAACTGATGAGAGTGATAGGAAACTGATGAGAGTGATAGGAAACTGATGAGAGTGATAGGAAACTGATGAGAGTGATAGGAAACTGATGAGAGTGATAGGAAACTGATGAGAGTGATAGGAAACTGATGAGAGTGATAGGTATGGCTGTGCAGCTCAGTGCCCACCTCGGGCTACACCTTGATGTGATAGAAGAATACCGCAACGGAATGCTGAGTCAAAGGGACTTCGACGTTCGAAGAACTACTTTCTGGGGTTTCTTCATCCATGACAAGTACGAGTAATGCACCTGGTATTGTAGCGTCATGCTAATGAAGCGATAGCATGTGGGGCATGTATGTGGGAAGACCGTGGGGCATTAGCATACGCGACATCTCCGTCTTACGGCCTATGAAGGAGCTTGACGATATCAGGCGCAATATATGGAAACCATATCCACCCATCAACCCCCAAGCCCAGCTTCCTAATGGGGGACTTCTGGATCTGCTGGACTCTTGTACAGACGCCAACATCACCTTGTGTGAATTTATGAGACGGATAAATAGGACACTGTGAGCTGACCTCACCCTGAATTCGAGACACTTTCAGCTAATCTCGACATAGATACGCTGGAAGACAAGTAGGACTCGACGATCTAGTCCGATTCTTACGAGAAATGCGGCAGGAATTTGAGTCCTGGAAAGACGGTCTTCATCCCCAGTTGCGCATTAATACACTGAACACAGAGTCACTCTATCTTCCACACGTGATACAATTACAGTGGGTATAGCTTGTCAATTGACGAGCAATATATTCTACTCACTGACGCCTTCGAACAGCATGCAGTTCTACGCCGTGCTGATATTCCTCCTGCGGCCCTACTTCTCTCGCGACCTCCTGCGTCTTACCCAGGCGATGCCATCCCAAGATGACCGCATAGCTGTGGCTTCAGTGCGTGCTGAGTGCATCTCGGCCGCGCACAATATGGCGGACGCCCTGCGATGCTACCGAAAGCAGTACTCACTCAAGTACACAAATGTACAAATCGTGTATCTGATTTTCACGGCGTCATTAATCCACGTCTACAACGCATGCACTTCAAATTGCAGCCCGCAGGAGTCACAGGAAGCACTCGACGATCTACAGTTCTGCTGTCAGTCACTCGGTGAAATTGGCGAGTGCTATAGAAATGCCACCCGAGCGCTGGACGTCGTCATACTCGTCAAACGAGGGTGGCAGAAACTTGCAGCAAATCGCACCGTGGCCAACAGCCAAAAGAGGGGGAGGATGACGGGGCAAGGCCCTGGTGACCATGGCGAAAGCGGTAGCTCGAGACTGGCCAGGAGACGGGCTTCACTGTTAGTTTTTGACCCCTCCAATCCGCCGAGATTTACCACGCCTACCAATCTTGAGACGTTCAGGACGACCGCGGACAATAACACATCGTTGGGCAACTTTCCGAGAGAGGGTGGTGATATGTACGACGCTTGGCATCTCCTCAATTGGGCGTAAATAGACTCGGACCTGTTGGCCGGGGTAGACTCGACTGCACAAGCACTAGATGGTGCAGTTCCCGGGATACTCGATGGAGAGGAGAGTGGCGCATTCACGATCTCCTAATTTTGCAGACAATACTAGAATCCAGTTAGGGTACAGGAGCAGCCCAGATGATCTGCGGGCTTCTTTTCCACCGGGTGGGGTTGAAGCGGAAATCCATTTCCGCCACCAAAGGTTAGCAACTTCGATTTGCTAACACGCGTGAGGGGTGGACATTGGCATTCGGCCAGCCGTGGGGACGTCTCACACGTATCTGAGAGACCATAGGTTCATGCTATACATTTTCTGAATTCTGCAAGCTTCCTGCGTTGAGAATCCTCATCCTCCCCCCAACGTCCAGTTGCGTTGGGTTTCTGTGACAGAAGCGATCTAAAACACGAGTTGGAATGCAAGTCTCTTATGGAAGACAGGCCCTCATGAGTGTACGGCTGAATTGGCCTCCAAAGTCGGCAGGCTCACAAGCTCAAAATCTACAGATCACCGAATGTCTCCTCGAAACCGTCCATGGCTCCGCAGATAGCCAGGTACACCTCCTTGGCGAGCTCGACAAACGCTCTCGCGGCCTTGGGCTTGCCAGCCCCGCGCCATGCCTCCTGGCTGTACATAGCAGCGTGCACAACCTCCGGGTGCACGACACCATTCGTTCTGTCGATGGAGGCCTCTGAGTTCTTCACTTTCACCCTGTATCCCAGGTCCTGCATCAATCGAGTTGTGGCAGCAATGTCCAGCGTTGGCGACAGCCCTGCCTGCAAGGCAGAGAGGCTGGCCTGAACCAGCCACAGGTCAAGAGAAACGCAATCCAGGCGAGGAAAGGTTTCATACATAGGCATCTCATAGTTTGACTCGAGACGCCTCAGAATATCTTTTCCCTGGGCAATCTTGGCCGCGCTGACTGGCTGGCCGAAGTTGGCTTGGGTCCTTGGGTTGGCGGCAATGAAACCCCTGGCCTCTTGCACGATCCGGTCTCTGGCTGCGAAGACGGAAGCTGGCAGCTTTTTCTCCAGCTGACACAGCGGGCAGTCGCACTGAAAACCCCACAAGCTGAGTTTCTCCTTTCTCTTTGGGAAGCTCGTTGAGGCTGGTTGGTACGATGTCAGAATCTCCTCGCCGGCTTTGATGTCGCGCACAGCACGCACGATCATCATGTCGCCTATGAATGCCCGCTTTGTATTAGGCAGGCAAGAGTGATTCATGTAGGAGGCGCGCAGCCAGATCCCGCTCGACTCTCCACCCCGCTTTTCCTCCTCGTCGATGCTGGATCGAATGCTTGGACAGCCAAATCCGTTCAGCTCGGTAATAGCTTGAACCTGGAAGACATCAAGAACAACAACGCCGTCAAGATTTCTGACTTTGTCTCCCTTGAACCTGTCCCCGTCAAAAAGATCAAAGAATTTCGAGGCTTGGTCTGGGTTTCGTCTCAACTTGTCGATAGTTTTGTACAGGCACTCAGCGTGTGTGCCATACTCGACCCGGTCGGTGTTGATGTTGATAAGCAGTGAGTATTCCTTGCCGAGCTCGTCCCCAAAGCGCACACAAAATGCCTTCTCGACCATGACAAGATCGCCATGCTTGATGTTCTTTATGGCGACCAAGCCCCGGCCTCGCTTTCCAGCGGGAGCAATTTTCGTGTTACTGGTGAACGTAGCATGGTCGAGCTTTTTGTGGGACGCGGTAGCATTTTGAGCCATGGCAGCAAAGTTGTAATCGCCCTTCTGCTGTTCAAGAATCCGCAGCTTGGTCCGTGTTAGGTCAGCTTTGACAGTGTCGTCTGTAGGATCGAGGCGTAGAGCTTCGTCTAGATACTCTCTGGCCAAGTCAAAATTGCCTAGCTGGTACTGCGCTCTTCCCGCGCGGAAATATGACTTCACGTTTAGCATCTTGGCTTGGTGTGGAGTATCATCCCCGGCAATGACAGATGCAACGGCGTCTTCCGAAGCAAACTGGTATTGGCCCAGGTTGAGGCAAACTTGAGCTCGGTTTCGATGGAGGGTTTGACGCAAGTCTGTGTGATTGTCGGCCTTGGCTAAAGCTTTGGTATAACATTCGCCAGCCTCCTGCCAGTGGCCACGCTTGAAAGCAGTGTTTCCCTCCTCTTTTAATTGAAACATAGCCCTGGCGGCCTTCGGGCCCTTCCTCCATTGAGGCGGAACCAACGAGTCGTGAGGTTCGAGCAAAACGAAGTCGGAAGGGTGGTCCACCCGCACCATGACGCTACCGTCGGCTGTAGCCTTGAAATATGGCTCCTTCACTGCGACTATGGCTCCCTTGGGTAGAACTTTGTCCATCGGGGATGCAGAGGGGAGATTGTAGACTGAGAGACGATCGACGGAGCCCTGAACATCTTCGACGGCATTTTGAATGGACGAGATGCGTATGGGCTCACAAAAAGTCTTGACGATGAGTACTCGGCCTCTGTGGTGTGTCTCTAGCTTCAGGTCGTGCAACAGAATGGACGTGAGACTGGAGATGGGCTCGATCGACGGTGGGTAGGCTTCTCCGATGAACGTCGTCCTCATGTGGTGCTGATTCATCAGAGCCATCATTTTGGCGTTGAGAGACTGGGCAAACAGAACTTCGTCAGTACCAAGCAGTGCATCGTTTTGTTGGATAGAGCAGCACATTACCCCAGCGAAGAACTGTTCTTGGAGCTGCGCGCGCGATCGTCGCATTGCCTGGGTCGGCTTCTGGCCAGTTCGAGACTTGGCCTTCTTTAGCAACTCTTTTTGCTGCTGCAGCTGATCGAGCCGAGCCTTGAACTTCTTATCCTCGTCCATGATGTTTGTGTCGGGTTTGTTGATGCTGTTCAAATTGGTGGTTGCAGCTGATGCTGCCTTCGTCCGAGTTGGCTTCAGAAAAGGTGCGAAAGGAAGTCGGGCGTATGGAAAGTGATTCGATTTGCTTGTTTGCCGTCTTCTGTGAATTGACCATGCGGGGTAGCTCCAAATGCGACCATGTATTGACCTGGAAGGAAAACTCTCCAGAGAGCAAGAGAGACAAACGAAGACAAAGTTCTTCCAAAACATTGCGTACCTGCAGCAACCCGATTGCCTCCAGGCAACCGAGAGATGACTTCAACGCAAGAAAAGGATCCCCACTCATTCAGATGTCATTTTCAAAATAGCTTGGATGGTACGGTCGCCAACTTTGTCCTAAACCTCCTCGTCGCCAACGGGAACCCGATTGCAGGCGAAATAACTCACGTGACAATCGTCCAACCTGTGCCTGGCGAGCGGGACGACGCCTTCACCGTTCCTTCTTAGCTCCCGGTCAGGACTGATCAAGTGTATTCAATTTACGCTCTTTAATAATTGTATTCAAGATGCTCAAGGAGCAGTCTGCCACATATTTGTGGACGACTGTAGCCCGTTGCACCATGATCACGACTAAATTCACTCGCAGGCATGGAGTTCAAAGCGGGTAGCTACTTGAAAACCTTGGATGGTGCTGGGCTCTCCAATTACGGTGACGACAATGCCATGAATAACACAATCACCTACGTACTGACGCACGTGTACCAGCAGCATCATATGAATCTGTGCGAGTTCGAAGAAACAACCTTTCCTTTTCTGCTATATGTCATGTGTATCACGAAACTCAACGATAGAATACCCAGATGCTAATGAGTGTGGTTCCAATCTCGATGCCTTGGGACTTCAAATGCCTGGCCTTGCTCTTGCAATATTGACCATGACCACAGGGGCCCTGACGACGCGGTCGTTATAAGCACCCATGCTAGCCACTGCGCAAGATCAACTAGCAATTGGAACCCAAAGCAGCTGTTGGGACCCAGTTAGAGATGACAGAGAGTACTACTGTGGAATTGGCATTGGATCCTACTACTTACCAAGCGTGCACCTGCTGTCAGTGTAGTATCCGTTGACCCAGCAGTCTTTGGCCAGCGTTCGATCGGCCTTGTCCCACGAGCTATTGGACAGCGCATGTCAAAAGTCCGGACAGAAAACAAGGCACGAGAGCAATTAGAATAAATCTCACCAGTTCGTCACTCCATTGATAGTCACGCATTGGCCCTTGACGGCACACTTGAAGCTGTGTGACGAGCCAACCTTGAAAGTGGTAACAATATCGGAGCTGGTATTGGGGGACTCGCGGCAGTTGACTGTGGAACTCGAGCCGATGATGTTGCAATCGATGTTGCCTATTAGGATTCAAGGTGTCAGGCACATGGACACTACTAGAGAATAGGTCTGTTCATCTTTGGAAGTACTGATGGCACTTACGTCGGAAAAGCTCGTTGGGTTCGTCACGCCTCTCCGAGAAGCCAGCGACCTCTACCCAGCCGTCAGGAGCAGCCTCGCGATCAACGAGATCAGCTCCGCGCTGTTCAATAGGTGAGGCCAAGATGGCCAGAGGCGTGCAAGCAACGATGAACTTGACGACCTGCATTTTGGAAATTCGGATCATGTATGAAAGGACAATGGGCAAGTGATAAATGACTGTATCGATTGAGATAGTGCCGCGGTCATCATGCTCAATATGCTTCTTTTTGGAGCCTTTTATACTCGTGAGGCTGTTCGAAGCACTGCTGTAGCCAACGACTTGAATCCAGAAATATTCCACGATCTGGTGCTTTCCTGACACATGAACCCACGACTCTGATGATTTGTTGCGGTCATTCTGCCAAGTCAGGTCGCCAAGCCAATAACGGCGATGCACGTACTCGGAGATGTCTTGAGGCTGATGAGTAATAGTCCCAGCACACTAACTAGAAGAGAGCAAAAGCCTTCCAGAACTATATTACCTAAGTCCTCACATAACCGGATAAACTCAACACACATATGTAAATACAGATGCGCTGGTAGCAGGTAACGTTGCCACAGCCTTGCCTCCCCCGTCCGAGGTAGTATAGTATCGTGCAGCCTGCATCAACTCCAGATCCATCGCTCCTGTCCCCTGCGTGCCTGACAAGGTGAAAGGCTCTAGCCCTGCACCTGACAGAGCGGCTGAGAACCCATCGCCCAGCCAAAACTAAGCTTTCTCGACTAGTGACCGTTATTTGGGGAAAGCCTTGAACGCCTCACGGCGGCCACCACCGACCGTTGGAGGCGAACGGCCCGGCTGGAACGCGGGGCGACTGCCGCCAAGCACGTAGGAAGCATCGTGAAGGCAAGTATGGTCCATTTGTAGTTGGTTTCGCTTGACTGACTTCCGAGTTCTGTCGTAAACCCCCTCCAGACTAATTTTAAGCGTCGCCAGGACGGACTAGAGCCTCGCGAGGGACGCTTACTGCTGCGCTTCTCGTAGCTGGACAACCTTGCACTATACTCCTTGTGTAGGGATTGGTCAACTAATTTAGTAAGAGTTTACTTGTTTGGAGGTTAGTGTTCGGCGAGGTAGACGCGACATAAGCGCTAGTGTAGCGATGATACCTAGTGCAATATGAAAGCCGCATGTAGCAGAAGGGGGTTTCGAGGTCTTCCCCTGGAAAGCAGAAGCGTGCCTCTTTTCACCGCGGCGACCCTGTCCCTTGCAAGGAAGTTTGGGTCATTTCGAGCTATATTTGTCCATTGTTTACCTCGGGCAGGGAAAAGGCCTCAGGCTGGAAATTAAATCACGCACCCCTGGGAAGCTAAGAGGTAGGGCAATTTCCTCACTGGACCTTGGGTAGCCGAGGACGCGGTGCGGCCGGTGTCAACTTCTAAGAAGGAAGGGTGTATGAGATTCGGTAAGTTCCGTCGCTACTCGACGGGGAAGAGTATGTCTAGTCTGCGTCCGAGTCGGCGTAGTAGTGGAGGCGGTGTCTGCGGTGATCGTCGTGCCTCCCAAGCCCGAATAGCTGGCCACATTCAAGCAAGCAATGATGTGCAGTGAGTGGTGGCTTACACCACTAATTCTGGGACTTGAGTTGTAGTGCGCGCGTCTCGAGGTGTCGAACGGAAGCTGGGAACCATGTAGCACGCCGTGCACATTTCAACAAGGAGAGGGTCGCGAGCATGTGACGCATGTCAGGAAAGCTCATCCTGGTTGCGGCTGGGTGACAGAAGCAGCTTAGGAAGCTTCACAGCCCACTAGCTGACTCATGGTAGTTTGTTGGTATTTCTGTTTGATACCACCTTCCCAATCAGTCGTCCTGAATGTATAGAGAATTAGGAAGGAGTTCTAGAACCCTAACAACATCGAGTGTGGCGTTGTGTTGTGTTGACCTCCACGGTCACGCAGAATGGCAGTGTCCCTTGGTCTGACGTGAATCAGACTTTTGGTACGGCTCGGAACGCTTGCAATGTCCATGGCCGGCGGTCAGATGAAGGTGTTGGAGGAGACGTCAACAGGCGCAGCAGGCGTCAGCCCTGAGCAGTGTGTACTTGATACTTGTCACTCTGGAGGTGTTTCTTGTGCCGCATCCGTGCCATGAAGCGTCAGAAAGTAGTGTCCAGAGAATGTTGAGAGAACAGGTACTCGTACCTATAAAATGAGATGGTACACCAGTACATCATTCACACCAGAGCTACAGCCAGCGCATCACCCAGGACCCAACACCTACACACCCAACACCCAAACACCGAGACCCAGACACCCGATTCACATACCCGATTCACATATCTACCTAGTATACCAAATTAATCCTAGGCATTTAAATAGCCACAAGCATGTGAGTTGAGTGTGTAAATTAGGTGTGTGAATTGGGCGGGCGTGCTGGCGGTGTACCGTTGTAGCATTGCAGGTGCGAATATCCGTTCTCATTGTTGAGGTCCTCGGTCTGTCTACGGGCCGCGTCTCTGGCGACCAAATCTCTACGTTCAGAGGCATTTTGCAGTGTTAATTCGACGAGTTCGGCGTGAGGTGTGACATCAGTTGCTGACCTGCAGGTTTTGCCGGACCATCACGACGAAACGGAACGTGGGACGAGTTCCAAGTTCTCTGAGACACGGCACTCAGACAGTGAGCATTTGAAGAAATTGAAGGTAGAATATGCGGCCAATACAAAATGGGGATTGCTATGTGCGCAGTGCCGCCGCCCCCGCGGTCCCAGTCCAGCCCCGGTCTACTCATCCTCTGGCCTGAGTCGTCATTTCTTTCGTCGATTTGGGATTGCGTTTGCAGCGTATCGTAAGGGGCTGAGGGCAGGACGCCTACTGCTGCTGACCGCCCCCACAGACACCAGACGTTGTACGGGATATCAGAAACTGCATTGTCGACAATGTCATATATACAAACACCAGCGCGAACTTCACCGATGTACCTGGGGGACTAACCGTTCTTCCCAACACAACAGGCCCTAAAAGCTGTCTATACGGCTCCTCTAACGACTGGTGGCCCGTCTTCAAGCACTCGACACTTCCCATCATCATACTTGCTACCAATAATCTGACTGCGCACCAGTACGAGACTTGCAAAGAATCAGCCAACTATACGGCCATGGTATGCCCACGCACGTGGTGGCTGAGCAGCATATACAACGGAGGCAACGCCTCTGTCGCATCCGTCGATGCCTTCATGAAGCGGGGGTTTGATAGCTTGACCGCCCAGCTACGCACAATCGGGGAGGACTGGGACGGCAACAAGACGGTGGCTATAGAAACCTCCTATGAGATGGTCGTATGCATACAGTTCCGCTGGGAGTGGCTGCTTTACCCGCTGGCAGTGGTGGCCGGCACCTTGATCCTGCTGTTGGCCATCATATTAACTTCTGGCTTCATGGGGCGCAACAGAGAGGTGATCTGGGAGGCTTCGATCCTCCCGTTTTTACTCGATGGCCTCGAGGATGGGGAGAGGAAAAGTGGCAGGGAACGTGAGCCGGAAGGCGCACTCAAGAAAACAGCGCAGCCGCTGCGGGTTTGATTGACTTCCGGACACGATTGGTGGAGATTGCATACCAGCTAAAGCAGCGGAAGGGGTCTATCATGACTGCCAATAAATGACAGATGGGCGTTCGGGACAGTTGCAGGGGGGCGGGGAGCGTATTACGGCAGATTGAATCAGCGGATACTCAGGCATGGTGGATCGATGGAGGATGGGAATCGGAAACTTGGATGATCGAGATTCTCAGAGCAAGGTCGGGAGAGGTAGCTTGTACCAATACGAGAGTCATTATGAGCCGTCTCGATCTACGAACAACAGGACACCTTGATAGCAGCTGTAGCTGTGTGAGCATTATCGTCGTCTTCATCTAGGGCTTGGGACACTTTGCTTTATTGCCATCCTGCGAAGGGCGTAGGGGATGATGTGTAAAATAAAGGACTTCACAAAGTCGCCAAATGTAGATATGTTGCAGCTAAAGGATACAGGCTCTTCTCCAGCAATTACTTGTGCGAAGTGAGAAGCGTGGGATGATCTAATGCAAGTCAGGAGCCCAAAGTAGTTTGAGTCTGTCCCACGGCATCTAGGTAGTTTATACTAGATAGACGTTCTGTCGTTCAGATGACAGCCCCGTTTTACTAGGTGCCATGCGCGTTAATAGCTGTTGACGTATATCATCAGGAAATACATCTGGGCGCACTCCACATCAGGTGTCTATGAAGCTGAAGACTGGGAACCTGTCAGGAAATATCCGATTCAAAGCGAGCCTGGTATCCATCTCGGCCCCCGGCAACCTCCCTGATAACAAGATCCGGGGAGGCTCGGTGTATGGGAGTGGGAGGTTCGGGGAATACTAGGTTCGGGTTATCGTTCAACGTGGAAAGTCAACGCGACGTGCGTTCTGAGGAGGGTTCCCGGCCCCGGCCTTCTGCATCCACCATCGCGACTAAAAGGGCAGCGTTGAGACAATTTCAATACTCCAGTCTGTTAGCACAACGCCGGATTTGAATTCAATAGAAACATCGTCCTGTGCTCGAGGCCTTGAGTATTATGATGCAGCAATGTTTCCGGGATGGTAGTATTGTCTTTGAAGTGTGGCTTTTCGGGCTTATCGGGCTTGCCTTCCTAAATCGTTTGTGTGTAGACCGTCTCGGAGCTACGATCAGGCACGATTCGGGAGCCTTGATCCATAACATGCAGAGGATATCATCATTGCCATCTAGGTCATGAGATGGAGAGCTTTGTCTTAAGCCGAGCATTTCCGCTCGACGTTCGTATTGCCAGTATAGGTCTATGAGCATCTGTTGTGTATATATCAAGCTCGTCCAAGACAGAGAGTTTCAGTTGTAGACTTTACATAGGCAATTAAAAGCAAGCACATAATTTTCAATCCAAATCAAAGGACCTGAACGCAAACACTATCTTCAAATTATCGTGATGGCTTCTCAAGCTGACTCCGTCGATATGTCCCTGTTCTACGGAACACCAGAACAAAAACAAACCTTCAGCAATAACCTGGTCACGATGTTGAAGAAGAAGGGCTGTATCAAAGTTCAAAACCACAGAATCCCGGATGAGATGATCCAAGCACTATTCGAATGGGTGGGTAGGACTCGAGTCCTTTTCCTTGGAGTCTTAGCTTACCAGTAGACAGACACGCAAGTTCTTCAATCTTTCTCACGATGAGAAAATGACAGCTAAACACCCTCCCCAAGCCAACCCCAACCGTGGGTACAGTTACGTTGGCCAGGAAAACGTAGCTGGTATTAGCGGATACGATAAGGGACTTGGTCCTGGCACGACCAAAGATGTCAAGGTACGAAATGTCTATGCAGTTCAACTTTATTAACTCATTCGTCTAATTATTTTTGCAGGAAACTTATGACATGGGAGCCGCAACAGATCACCTCGTGGACAACATCTGGGTCGCGGAGGAAGCCCTTCCCGGCTTCCGCGCCTTCATGGAGAAGTTCTACGACGAGGCCTTCAGGACCGAGATGGAGCTCCTGTCCGCCATCGCGATCGCGCTCGGCGTCTCGGAGCAGCACCTCAGGTCCCTGCACAACAAGGCAGAGAACGAGTTCAGGCTCCTACACTATCCCGAGATCCCGGCCTCGACCCTCGCGGACGGCACCTCCACACGCATCGCCGAACACACCGACTTCGGCTCGCTCACCCTGCTCTTCCAAGACTCTACGGGCGGGCTCCAGGTCGAGAATCAGGACCAGCACGGCACCTTCCACGACGTGATTTCCTCCGCGAACACAGATATCATCATCAACATCGGCGACTCGCTCCAGCGGCTCACCAACGACACTTTCAGGGCTGCGTGCCACCGCGTCACTTACCCCCCAAGTATAAAAGCCGGCGATAACAAAGTAATCCCTGAGCGATACTCCGTCGCCTACTTTGGCAAGCCGAACAGGGATGCTTCGCTTCTGCCACTCCAGGAGTTTGTCACTGCTGCTACGCCGTGCCGCTACGATGAGGATATTACGGCTTGGGAATGGAACAACCGGAGAATCCAGAGGTTGTTTACGTAAAGGGCGCCTTCGTTGACGTTTGTGGTCAAACTATGTTTCCATCTTACAAAGCTGAGGATCCTGCATGATGGGCTTTCACTGAATATTTATACATAGCAATGAACAGAGAAGATCTTGGCAAGCCGTGTACGATGGCAGCTTCATGGGCGGGGTCGAGCTGGCAACCACATAAATCGCACGTACCAGAACTCTATTCCTCATTTTACCATTGGCGCTGTTTTCTTTGACCCAATCTCCTGGCTCATTGCTCCCTTCTTCAAGCTGTGCTTTTCACTGCGGACTCTTCACGTCTTCTAAAGCATTATTGCCGCAGAAACCATGTCCAGGAGAAAAATTCATCGCTTGGCAAGCCCGTGATTGTGGAAGCGAGCGCGTCCTTCTATGGTTCAAACAGGTACCAGCCATTGCCTACTAAAACCCACATTCGCCTCCTGATCATCAATCCCGGCACAGGCGAAGATGCCCTTTCTGGCAGCATAAAGACGGTTGACTTCAACAACCCAGATCTGGCTTCGTTTTGAAGCAATATCTTATACCTGGGGCTCAAATGGAAAATATCAGTCCATCCTCATCCACGAGAGGTCTTTGCCGATCACGACAAGCAGAGGCATTTCATCAAACGAGGCTCCTGGAGAAACCTCGCACTCTGTGAGCCGATTCTATCTGTATCAATCAATATGACATCGTCGAAAAAGGCTACCAGGTCTCCGCCAAGGGCCGCATTTAAACAGACAGGGCATTAATGTGGGCGGAAGCTGTTTGGAGCTGCATGACGTAGACTCGGAGTTGATGGCTAGCTGTGGAGGAGAGGCAAATCTCGGCCGAGAAGTCGGCGGAAATTAGGTAATGATAACCAACGGCGATTTCCGATACGTAGCCGGGGTCTGGAATCAACGATTAGGGATAAATCGATCTCAACTCGCGGAACTCCCATAATACCCGGCTCTTCCATTGTCAATGGTCATCAAAGAACTGAGAAAACCATTATTTATCATAAGACAAAGAAAACATCATGGGGTTTACCGACGATATCAAGGCGGAATGGTTTCCACGGAGAGATGCTCCCACACAGGTGCAAACAGACACAGTAAGTTTTCAGAGTGGTTGGACACCGCGCCACTGGAGCCACGCAACGATATACAACAGCTCAAGCCCTAATTCTATTCCCAGAACATGGCCATCGCGTTGGAGGTTCAGCATGCCTGCATGGTCCAACATAAAAAACCACCATTTGCCTGCATTCTCGTCGCACCGGACCACAAGACGGTGCTTCTTAAACAGCACAACGTCTCCTACATCAGGCACGCCGAATCCACCCTCGCTCTCTCAGCTGCCGATCAGTTCCCCCCGGGCTACCTCTGGCAATGTACCATGTACACTACATGGGAGCCGTGTGCGATGTGCGCCGGTACAACATACTGGGCGAATATCGGAAGAGTCGTCTATGCCGCAAGTGCGCAGCAGCTCATGGAGCTGACGGGCCCTAACAACGCTACAAACTTTACCCCAGCAGACGACTGCGTCCAAATCTTGCAGGGTAGCCAGAAGCACATTGAGGTTATGGGGCCCCTGGATGGGTGGAGTCAGCGTGTTATGGATGATGCGGATTGGTTCTGGAGCAAAACTGAGGCTCGAGTTGAAGCAGCCAAGAAGGAATTGCCGCCTAAGTAATATGCCGGAAACGCTATCCTTGAATAAGAAGTTCAGGCAACGTTTTCGTTACTTTGAGTAAGCTGCGGAATGCTGTGACTTAGTCCCTGCTAAGGGACTGCTAAAACTTTGCGTAGAATTACGAAGAAAGATGCAGATACCCCAACGACCACGATTGGGTTTTTCTACGACGCGATGCGACCTTCATTGATCTAATACTGTGATTACACATAAATCTTTACGAGAATGTACAACAGTTTACGCAGAGTCTGGCACCGCGGCATGGATCCGTTTGTTCAACTCTCTGCATTTTTGGCCAAAGATTCCGAGCTTTCTCGCCGAGCTTCTCAGTCTACCACTCTCCTCCCATGTGCGGGCATATCCCCGGCACACCTGTCTCCATGAGCGGTATGTACGCCTTCCCAGGCCGCACATATTCCACTCACGGGAGACGAGTCGCGTACACACTGCTTAAATGACCGATAAGCCGCTTAACAACAGCTTCTTGTGATAAGCTGCTCAACGAATAAGCCGCTCAGGGGGGTTTTGAACGGCTTAAAGCAGAAGGAGCTGTGGGTGCATGGAAGGAACGGCTTGTGAGGAAGGAGCGGAACATATGCGGCTCCTGGATCCCATAATCCGATGGTACTGGACTTAGGGACCGAGAAATTAGGAACGAAGGACCCGACTCCTTCTAATGCAGTCTGAATATTGCACGAGCGCAAAATCTCTAGAGTTCCCCAGTGTTGTAAATACTTGTAGACAAGATCTTGGTAGGCGACTGCAACAGGCAGGGTGTAGTCAGGGTCGATGTGAAGTGTCCTGATTGCCGGCGACAGCCCAAAGTTTGCATAGACGAGATCGTGACGTTCGGGATAGCCACACAGGCTGGATCGATGCAGAACGTAAGACAACTTGTCCGATCCATGATACGCGAAGAGCGAGCGGCAGAACAGAACATCTCGGATGCTGATGTGGCTTTGTACGTCCGAATGCTTCAGAAGCAGAGCCACTTTCTCAATGTCCTCCCACGCGGCCTCGAACGGACCACACCTCACCACCACCTTTGAGGCCAATCTCACTTCCTGGTGGACCCACAGCCTTTGAAACCATGGCCGAGTGAGAAGGCTTTTTAAAGCAGCCCATTGTGCAAGCGACAAGGTCGACTATTCTGGATAGTGCTTGATAAGTTCGGCCTCGGTCCCAGGGACAGTGGTGATGTTTCGATGGTGCCATGCCACAATAACGCCTGCACTCAGATCCTCGACAGTCTTTAAGGCCATATGGGTCCCAGTCTCTTCAGGGCCCAGCCACACTACCACCTGCTGTGCCCTGTTGTATATTTCACCCATGCGTGGAACCTCCTGGCTCCGCTCAGACAGGCTCTGCTGATTTATACACACAGCATCGATCCGAAGAACTCGTGTCACATCAGGAGACCGCAGATATCTCAGTGCCTCCAGAAGTGATGGTCTGATTTTGTACCTCTCACTCTGAGTAGTTACTTTCACCTGAAGACTGTTTTGGCCTGATGTAGAGATTCCTTGTATGTTGTGTTGGAGGCCCCCAGGTGTATGAGAATGCTTCGTACTTTGCTCCACTGAGGTCGACGTGGGAGATAGATACGAAAACATCATCTAAGAATTGACCTGGATACAAGCTCACGAGTCGAATGATTTGGTCTCTTGGCTTCAGACCGGTGTATCGATAGGGGATCTCTGGAGACATGTCCACATTCCGGGGTTTAAGTCGCTTTCGGAAGATGCTCAGTCGAGATTTGCGGTGTCCTCAAGTCTATCTAGAGAGGTATAAAATGGGATCCAGGACGGAAGGAAAATGATGCAACTTCCGATCAAGCGATCATTTGAGAAGGGAAAACTAAGAGCGTATTCGATGAACAGGAAGCGGGATCCGGTAGAGCTGAAATCTGTTTGGACTGTGTAAGTGTAAAGTGTTTGTGGTCATCAACAGAGATGACACCGTTGCTGGCCGACTACAGCATAGAATAGAGAGACTGAGGAGGTCAGCAAGCAGGCAACCTACAACTTGGAATAAAGGGCAACGAAAAGGATCTTTATCAATGGCAGGGCTGGTGAGAAAAGTTGCAAAGGAGCCTGCAGACATGAAGTGATCGCTATCAAATCATATTCATGCAGACTGATGATCAATTCCGGGAATACCGTTCTGCAGAAGCCGATCTCGGTCGTGTTCCACTTCTGTTTACCGTGGATAGGACCAGGTAAACGCGTGGCACGTGAATGCGTCTTGCTTGCCCTCAGTTTGTATATTGTTTTGTGGTGGGGCTGATGCCGCGTGATATACGGCCATGCGCTTGCCCCCATTGCCACAGTGATCTGTGCACTGCCTTCGTCAGCGGTACCCGTACAGAACTTCCTCTATATCGCCGGTGCATTTTGAGAGTACCCAAGGTATCTAGGTATGGTTGCGATACACTTTTGACTGCATCTGAGACCGGTACAGCATGACTTGTTCTTCTGCCTGTGTGGTGGCAGCGAATGACAATCGTTTGCGCTACTTCCCGAGCATTGTTTGTTTGTCGTTGTCTATAGGCATTACGTGACGTGATATCAAATGTCCCCGGCTGGGTCTGAGGCCAACTATCAGCGCTAGTGTTGGTCATGGACGAGCCAAGCTTGTTGGTCATGGACGGAGGTTTGGAGGTTGAAAGGATCGAGAGGGGCCTGTGACTTATCTACCCGACGACTGACCAACGCGACATGGGAAACCCGCTACTTTGCACTCCTCCCAGTGGTCCATTCAACGCACATTTTGGCGCTCGCGATCTCATTTGAGGTCTCATATTTCCCCGTCCGGCATGGCTACTGAGCAGAAACTCGCAGTCACATATGGCGGCAAAGGTCTGGCTTCCATACATCCATGACACCCATGCACGGACTCTAACCAGCTTCCCAACAGAACGAGTAGAGAGAACCATCGAAGTCTTGACGCCCGCTTTCCGTGGCGATCCCGTCTACACATGGTTCTTACACACATTCGACTCCCAAAAGCACGAGTCGGTGCTCCCCAGGCTCTTCCGCGGCTTTTTCACACAGTGCGCACTCAACAAAGGCATGTTCATCGAAGTGGGCGACTTTGGTTGCTGCGGTCTTCTTATGCCGCCAGGGGCAGGAGTTGAGAACCCCTGGACAATGCTACAGGCACGGATCCTACCCGCGCTTTGGAGCATCGGCGCGGGGGTATTTGTGGTACGTCTCTCTTGTACCTGTTTGCATCTGTTGAGCATCTGACTCACAAGGCGTCCCCACAGCGTGCCCTGTTCGAATACGCCCCCGCTGCTGAAAGAATGATGGAACAGGTGTTCACCAAGGAAGAGATGAAGAAGCACTGGTATGTGTTTATTATGGGCACATCTGTTGATCGTCAACGACAAGGACTTGCCAGTGCCTTACTTGTGGATATGCAAGAGCGGGGTAGAACTGATGGGAGACCGCTTTGGCTAGAGGCCATAACGAAGTCATCGTTAGCTCTGTACCTGAAGCATGGTTTCCAAAACCATGGTGAGATCATCCTAGGGAAGGGTAAGGTTGGCCGCGATGGTCTGCCAAAGAAGAACGGCGATGGTATCGTGATTTGGTCGATGTCATGGCGGCCATGAAACAACTAGAGTCTCTTCTCAACACAAATCTAGCCGACAACACATCTAGAGATTTTCAACCTCACCAGTAACTTTTATTCGATTCGTCCAACCATTCCTGCCTTACAATTTCCCATCACACTTTCACCAGTCACCAAACGATGGGAGCCCGACTAAAGAGACATCCACAACAACTCCCTGCCCCAACAATCTCTCCCTCAGGTGCTCATGCGGTACATCATGCAACCCAACCTCTTTTTCAATAGCGATATCACACGCATTAGCAGCCGCCTGTCCGAGGGCGTAAAATTGATGTTCTAGCCTCACAGCTCCTAGAATGCCTAGTCAGTAGAAAAAGAGATCTGCTGGATTCACAAAGGAAAAAGAAAAGACCAATGCTCACCATATCCAACATGGGACGAGCTGGGACACGTCACACTAACAAAATTCCTCGCCTCCCTCCTCCTCGGCAGCAAAGCGCGGTACGCAATACCGAACGGCCGCCACCGATGCCCGTCCTTGAAGATAAAGCCCTCATTGTGCACGCGCCCGCCCCGCAGGATCCGCCGCACACTGTGCGTGTCCGTCGGCCAGTACGCCACGGCGACCGGGTCGAGGACCTCAGGGTCGCCGTCCTGCGAGGCCGTTGCCTGCGTGATGACGTAGTCCGACACCATCCGCCGCGCATCGCGCACGTAGAGCTCGCGGGGAAAGTGGCCGTTGTCTGGGAAGTCGTCGCGGCAGTAGCCAAACCGAGACCATTCTTTACGGATGGGTCCCTGGCATCATCAGTATGACGCATCATGCAGAGGGGATTTTGCAACTGACCGGAACGGCCTCGTCCGTTGCCAGGAACCAAAGGAAGCCCTTGGTGAAGTTTTTGGTGTCTTCCAAAATCTTCTGCCGACCTTGATAATCCGCAACGGACCACTGATCATTCATCCCTAGCAAATCCGTAGACAATGCTCCTTCACTCCCAATCAGATCGGTCTTTCCACCAGGTAACCTTTTGCTCGGATTGTAGAATTCGCCTCCCGCTGTTGAAAATCTCCTATGTAGCTCGAAGTGTGCAGGATCGTACCCGTCAGGCTTTGTAAACGGCACCAAGTTCTCGGGGTCATCCGTTAGAAGCACCCGGTAAGAGTACGCTTGCAGATGCAGATCCCCATCACCGGGGGTCCCAAAGGGCTCAGAAGAGATACCGTAGAGGAGACCACTCGATGGATCTTTCGGGGTGATGTAGGGGTCGACGTGGACGTCGATTTGACGGTATGTTGTCTCTGCGCGGACGCCAGCCAGGGATTCGGAGTATGTTGCAGATGACTCGCGGCCACGAGTCCAAGAGATGGAGCAAGCGGCTAGAAGGTCCCCTTCGTAGCTTGCTTCCACGAAAACCTGGGAATGTGAGCGGGTCTTGTGTGATCCCGAACGACCTTCGGCGCTCACCTTTCCAGAAATCCTTTGACCGTTTTCAAGATGTAGCGCCTCGATAACTGCCCCGTCTTTCTCAACGGCATATTTGTCGACAAGTCGGGACTAATGCCACATCATCAGTGCTCGCCAGTCTGATAGCTCATGGAAGGCTGACCTTGATAACGGTAATAGACGGATTCTCAGCCAACCACTCCCTGATTATCTGTTCAGCAACCTTTGCCTCAAACCTCCAGACATCAGGATCCTTGAGCTTCTTCTCAACGACTTCATTCAATCTCTTCAAGCGTCCATAGTGTCGGCTGATCCTCTGGTGAAGCTCAAGATTCAGCCCTCCCAGCGTGTTGCTATTCTGGAACTCGGCCTGGTTGTCAATGTCTGTTGCTCCGAGGCCGTTGATTTGGATGCCGCCTGTGGTCCATTCAGTTTACACTTTGTCACTTTTGTGAATTTTCAATCTGTCGTCTTGACGACTAGCAGTTTAAAATACCTATGTGCTTCACTGGCGAGACCAAGGCAACCGACCTTCCCAGTCGCGAAGACTGGATGGCAGTCGCGACGGCTCCGGAAGTTGAGCCGTAGACCACAACGTCGTACGTCTCGGGCGCGATGGCGTCAAGCCGAAGGTCAAAGTGAAGCAGTTTCAAGAACGTAGTGGCTGGTTTCATTTCCCCAAGAGTGTCCGTTGCGGAACTGCTTAGATCGTCACCAAGAACTTTCGGATGATGATGATCGAATTATCCGCGAGGGTGGAACTTTCCGCCGGGAAAGACCGGCCTAAAGTGTGGTGTTACGAAACCGGCTTGTATGAACAGGGACAGGACTGAAAAGGTTCGCGTGACACGATACATGCAGTCAAAGTTGACTCGAGGGTACTTTCCCCGCCACGGCAGTCCCGATGGATTATTCCCAGCAGAACAAGTCCGCCACCATACGTTCCAAGACTCAAAGCCCGTAGCCTCACCTCAAACGTACCCTTCTTCTACCCGTGAAGCTAGAAATATCGACGAGGTGAGTTTTGAGGGCCACCTTCACAGTGTTTGTCAATACTCTCTCACTCCGAATTCCACGCTTTCTCGAGCCTGAGGGACGGTTAGCATCCCCAGATGATCCACTGAACACCCCCACCTGGGCGCGGCGTGAACGCCGAGTCCGGGCGGATGTTGCGGAGGCCCGGTTGATCGGCGCATGGCCCGGTTATGCGAATCAGTCACTGGCATGGGCGGCTTTCCTACATAGGACTTAATGATAGCTCGACGATAGAACCCATCTTTTTGTTTTGCTCTCGTTTTTTCCCCCCTGAGAACGCCATACCTGCCTCTATTCTGGAAACGCATAATTTTGCAGCATCGCGGCTACAGAGTCCTAGTCTTGGAACCGAGATGGGTCGCGATCTTTTCGCAAGCACGGGGGATATCGCCGATGCCACTCCCAGGTTGCCATTCTACTGCCGTTTTTGCGCTATAGTGAGTAGCTTCCTCTGCTAGTGAGTACCTTTTTCATTCACTCGTTCCCTATTTATTTCAAGGTCCTGCGTAATTTGTCAACAATGATGGCGCTTCTTTTGGCGGAGTCCAAGCGGCCAGCGATTGCATGTAGTGATATGTATGTTACTGGCCATCATTACACATCAACTCTTTCAGGACCAATGATGAAATACGATCTGAAATCACCGCAAATCGACTCGTGTCAAATTTAAATTTGAACCCGACGTCATTGTAAGTATCCATTCGGAGAATATTAAACTTCAACAGCAACTACGTACTTTAATACTGGGAGCAAGGCAGTCACGGTGGTATTACTGGAAGCTTGTAAGTCCGTAAAAGTGCATGCCATTTTGCATCTGCCTTTTTTGTTACGCGAGGAGTTATTTCACGATGGATCTCAAGCGATTTAGATGTCGTTTAAGATACGTTCGTTATTGACGTTTTCCGGTCGGTTTATTCACTTGCAGTCCATGTACCCACTCCAGCATCACCCACCCCCTCACGCACACTCACACCCATGATCAAGTCCCAATCAATTGCATAAGTTTTACGGACCTTAATTCAACTCTCCAGATTCAATATATTGAGTCTAGATCGCATAAACTGAACAGAACATTTAGGCTGCGTGTAATACGTCCTCTTCTGTGCGTGAGTGGGGTGGCGTGGTGCCTGAGTGGGTACATGGACTTGCGCCTCACGGAAGCGACTAATCCTTCGTGCGACCATGATAAGAACTCTCTCAGTCTCACGGAATATGGAGTCAAATATGCAGGTCAGCTTCCTACGGAGATTGCCTGCCTTCTCAGGTAGAGCTATGACCGTAGTGATGATCCTTTAAACGGAGCAGGGGTAACTAAGTATTTTCGCCTCCACCGTAACAAACTGTCAGCTGAACAGGGGAAATCCATTAGATACTCGCGGAAAGTACTTTTGAACACCCCGTTTATTGCATAGGTACCCGCTTAGCAACTTATCTATCAAACGAAGTAGGGCCGCAGTCTACGGAGGCAGCGAACAAGAGAACCGGTCTCCTCAGGCTCTCAACCTCTTTGATCTGCTCGAGAGAGAACACGTCATCTGTCGTTAAAGACACATATACGAAATTCAAACATTTCTCAGTACCTCGTGGAATATCAAACGCCAAGTTCAAGATGGCAGAGACGGCTCCTTCCCCCTCAGCGGCTTTTCGCTTCCCCAACGATCCACTTCTTGTCAGGCTGCTTGAAGCCGCCAAGCGTGTCGGCGGCTCTGAGGTCATCATCGAGGACTTCACGGGTTTCAGAAAGACATACCTAGAGCTTCTGGCTGACGTCTTGGAGACACGCGATCAGCTCAAGTCGCTGATACCATCCTCTAATTTCGATGCAAGAGGCCTCCTTCATGAGGAGAATGTATACGTCACAGCTCTGACGCGAACCGGCTATCAATATGTTGTTGCCTTCTATGCTGTCAGAGCATTGGGAGGGGCTTACACGCCGCTAGGTATGCTACCCCCTGAATGAGAAAAAGATGGGCCAAAATTTAACTCTAGACTAGATCCCAGAGCATCTGTTGAAAGACAGGCCTCGGTCATCTCCAGAGGAAAAGCAAACTGTGTGTTGTTCGACAGGGGTTGCACTGCGGAGCTTGAGCGCCTGCGCGGCTACGTAGACGAGACCGAGGGGAAATCATTGGTCACGGTGCCTATCCCATGCGACTCGCCTGCGCTGCCGGAACTCAACATCAGTATTGATGAGTCCCTCCATCTGGACCCGGATGGTCCTGGGTACGTCTGTATGACATCGGGCACCACCGGCTACTCCAAGGGAGTCGTGATCCGGCGAACATGCCTCACATCTCACCCGGTTGATTTGACATCTGAGCCGCTTGAGGAACAGGGCGGTGCCCAAGTCAACTACAACGAGAGCCACTGGCTCGGCGGGGCCAAGAACGTCATCGAGAGCATAGCCCTGGGCAAGAAGGTGTTCGCACTCGAGTGCCCGGCCGGCGCCAGAGCTGTGCTTGATGTCTTCCAGCGCGAGCGGATCACCTATTTCGTCTTCAATCCAGCGCTTCTTCGGGGAATGCGAGATATCCTGCTGGGCGACGAGCAGCTCACAAAGGAAAAGCAGGAGAAGTTTCCGGCCTATTTCAGTGGGTTGAAGTTCTTCCTGTGTATTGGGGGTCTGGTCGACCAACCGACGGTCGACTTCTGGGAAGCAGTGATCGGGCGCCCGCTGCAGAATCGATATGGCGCCAGCGAGCTGACAGGACTCGTTACGACTGGACTGACCAAGATCAATGTAAGTGACCGCTTGCGCATTCCAACATTGACGCTGCCTGTTCTTTACTAAATCCTTCCATCCAAGGGCTCCGTTGGAAAACTTTCGCCTGGCATTGAAATGAAGCTGTCAGAGGGGAGACATGGCAGATTGTCCATCAAGTCTCCCAACAGGTTTCTAGGGTAAGTGCTTCGAGATACTCCATTCACTTCATAGTGATCTATTCATTCTGAAATTAATGACTTGCAGCTATCTCGGCGAGCCAGAAAAAACACGGGAGGCCCTCGATGAGGAAGGGTACTACCATACCGGAGATATGGTGGATTTGAGAGACGACGAGCTGCTTTTGCTCGGACGTGAGCGGGATGACTGTAAGTCTTCCAAGGCCCATTACTGCGTTGTTTGTTTCAGTCGTTGATCTTTTTTTTTTTTCTTCTCTCACTTGCAGATATCGTTTATGGCAACTCCTGGACCTCGGCCATCAAGGTGGAAAATTGCTTGATGGGGCTCTCCTACATTGCTGTGGCCTGCGTTGTTGCCGTGCCCGTGGAACAAGGCAAACAGCTATGTGGTGCTGTTGTCAGACTCAAGAATGGCGTTGAGCCGGAGAAGATTACGCTGGATCGAGTCAGAGCAGATCTTCAGGCCGATTTGGATGTCACCAGTCTGCCAACCCTTCTGCGACTTCTGGGCCCGCAAGAGGATCTACCACGTACGGCCACAGGGAAGCCTATCAAGTATCAGGTCATGGAGGACTTTTTCTATGCGGGAGATTGTGGCCGAGACTGGTTTGCTGTAGAGAACCCGCCGCATGATGTCGAGTTCTGCGGCTTGCCTATCGCAGTGGCTGCGTAATGAACCTAAGTGTAGCTTATAGATTTCCGTCCACGGACTGTTCAAGACTCCAACTGAAATGATACTCGTTCATTTTCTTCTTAGATAACAGCCTGGAAAGAAAGGCCTGAGCGCTATTCCAACGCACTCAAGCGCTACCTAGGTATCTTCACGTTGGGTAGTGGCAGTATTAGCACGGACCAGACACTGCTAAACAAATTCACTTGGTGATCTCCGCATTCATCAAAGTGCCTATCTGACAACATTATTTTAACTGAAAGGCTCTCATGTGTCAACCATATGACGCCTCACTCATTGAGCGACTTTTGTTGCGGCTCTAAATCTATCTTGCTAGCGGTACCACAACATTTGACCCGAGTAAAAAATGCTTCGGAGACGTGTTGGTCGGACAACATCGATTCATCTCCTTCCTCTTCTAAGGCCACCAAATTACAGTGTTTCGTTCAACCTCTTTGTCAGAACTTCGTCAATGAACTTGAAAGAGTCCGCGGCTTGTCCCTCTTCACCTTTGCGTGGTAGAACGGAGAGTGCCGCTGTCATGGGGACTCTCTCGGGGGCAGGGGCCGAGAGATAACGGACCGCCCGGACCTTGTGAACAGCTCTGAAAGACTGTTTCATGCCTGGTTAGATCATCTGGAAAATTATGGACTTTCAGTGAGCTGTGTCTTTGCTTACCCGTAGCTGCTTGATGATGCGTTGAAATGCGTTTTCGATGGCAACATCTTCGTCGGATTTTCCTGTTAGTTGATGTCGAAAAGAATGTCTGCGTATAGTCTCAGCTACGTTTCTGAAGTTCTTCAAGATATGCATCTTGTGTTGAGCATTTGTGTGGTAGCGCTCAATTCCGAGGAATGCATCTACCGCCAAGAAGAGGAGGATCTGGCTTCCGGACAGGCCACCATACTCGACGGGGCAGCGGTCGCTCTCGTGTGTCATGCCCCAGCTATGAACACCTGAGACATGTCTCACCCAAATCGCGCGGGACACATAAGGTTCGTTCATCTTCTCATACAGATAGAGCAACACCTTGCGCAGCTTGGTCGAGGCTGTTTCCACGTGAGCAAGACATGATCGCTTGTCACCCCGCTCGAAGCTGACCATGGCTTGGATCATGTAATAATAAATCGGGATAGCCTGTGATGAGTATGAGAAATTCTTCCATACGACGTCAGTCTGCGACAGGATCACCTACCAGGAATTCCGAGTCGTAGAATATGTGACACCAAGTGAGTTCGTTTCTCTTTATCTCGTCAGACATGCCTTCATTTATCGGATATGTTATCTGCCCATTTGGATCAAGATTGCACAGAATGTTTGCCGTGATATTCCCACTGGGAGACGTGATATCGTATCTGCGCTGCAAAAAGGACCATGGCATGTCCAGCTCCGAGGGGAAGCGAAGTTGCTTTTCTTCTTGGGCGACCCTCACGACTGGATTCGTTGACCACCTGCATAGAGAAATGAATGTCAACTCAGCGGACAGGTCATGGTATACTTGTGAATGGCTGCACTTACCGATAAGCGTGGCGCAAGCAAGCAATGCACGAGTAGAAACCATTGTAGGCGTCTCGTGGGAAGGCATCCCAATTGCCCGACTCAACGAGTTCCAGAATACTCTGAACCGCATCCACATCAACCTTCTCGGTGAGCAGAGTCTGCATACGGGAACGAAAATCTGCGATACGTATTTTGTTGCACTCATCGTCAAGTGATGGGTTGGCGTATGGGAGCAATGGCGCCATGGCTGCGTAAATGTGCTGGTAGGGACGGAGCGCTGGCGGGAAGTCGTCATGAGTAGCTCGCGGTGGCCATGATCCAGCGCCTTCATCGTTGACCATGACCATGAATGCCGAGTGAACATCATGGCGTATTCTTAGTGCTTTCAAGTCTTCTAGCCCGATCTCAGTTGAAGAGAATTCGGAGTCGGACTGGAAAAGATGGCGCAAGACCGCCACCAGCACCAGAATGGCCACAACAGCGAGAGCGAGAATCATGGTTGTTCCTGAGGAGGGGGAGAAAATGCGAATGCCCACGTCTTCACGTTGCAATGACGCCGTCTGTTTTTCATGGATCTTCGCTGGCGAATTTTTTGGACTCCGTGAGAGCTCCTTGAAGAGAGGTTCAAGGAGCGTCGATGTGAACAGACTCCCTAATTCAATAAAAGTACTTGTGTACTATATGTCGAAGAAATGGTGAAGATATTCTTTAATTAAATAAATTTACCTACATAGTATATGTCGAACAAAAGGTTCAATATATTATCTACATGTCAACGGCTGATCAATAATAAGATATATTCATTAAAAGGGGATATACAAAAGATAGGTAATTCCATTCACGGCAGTATCCCGGGCATCAATAAGTGCAAGACGTGGTGCGTGTAGCGTTTCCCTCTCTTGGCTCCCTTGCTATCCCCTTGAGTGCAAGGACTTTCCCATTGTAGGCATATTGAGCGTGTTCGATCACAGTCCCTGAACTTTCGCAAAGGATCGGCGGATCAAGTTGGCTAGCCTCTTTTGATTGGCAGATCCACAGTGAGGTTGTCTCCGATTCCCGTTGAGGCTCCCGACGGCCGGGGCTGGCGGGGAGTTCCGGATATCGGGGTAAGGTAACAACAAAGGATCACGGGCCATGTCATCTATCCCAGCTGCTCGGAGATGAGTGGATCTAACGTTGTCTGACCTAATAATTCAAACTCCTGCTACCGACTACCAACGGCTTTAGCCCTTGTGAGCTTATACGAGTCGCGCATTTTTCTGTGCCTCCTGCGCCTCTCTTAGGGCAAGCGGTGTGATCCACGCCGCGAGCCTCGTCGAGGATGGTAAGCGTGAAGTATGGGGCTGGCTGGATCTGCACGCCGCGTAACGTCGCCTCAGTGAGTGGCGGCTGATGTGAGGTCCCCACGAGCAGATTAAATCCTTTGGGATGAGTCCGACGTGAAACTCTACTACTTCACTAAGTCCCTTATTCGTCGTACCACGAGCAGCCTGAATCCTTTGGGATGTGACCGCCGTAAACCCCTACCACTTCCTTGAGTCACTTATCCGTCGTACCATGATGCATAGATTGATAACGATGACACGATGATGAATGTCAGAATTTAGCTTTCCAATAACTCCCTTGTACAGATCCGTCGGAGCGGTTGACGACGGGTGTGAAGAATCCGAGCGTCGTGAAGGGCCCAAGGGTTAAGACGAATTCGAGGTGTCTCCGTACGGAGTATTCTGCAGACGACTTCCATCGGCTCGCTTGCTTTTCGGACTGCGACTCAGATCAAGGACTCTCATCCACAAGTTCGCCCACTTTGCGCCAGGCCACCTAGCCTATGCTTTGGGAATCAATCCACAATGCGTCCCTTAGCCCGTCGAGCGTGTAGCTTGTCTCTTTCAACAAGATTTCAGACTCATAGTCACTGTCGTGGAATTCAAACCAATGCGGTGGCAGCAGGAACTACCTCTCAACCCTCCGCCGGGTTCATCCCTCTGGAGCCACTTATGGTGCCTCACATGACTGCACCGACTATTGAACACTCAATACAGCGAAACCATGTTCGCAATGTCCATGACCAACTCCGAAAGCATGGCATACTCAAGATCAGCCTGGGTCACCCGGATCCTGACAGCCAGTATCTTGAACGACTCGTTGTCAGTCTGAATAAACAATTCAACCATCAGCTCCCGATCACACACAGCGCCTCGCGCGGGTGGTTCTGGGACGTCCGACCAGAAAGCGTCTCCTTCCAGACAGCTAACCACCGTGCAAGATCCGAGACAATGGATGAATTCCCCTGGCACACCGACTGCAGCTATGAAGAGATGGTGCCACGGTACTTTGCTCTCCAGGTTCTCCAGCACGATAGGTTCGGTGGCGGCACTCTCTCGGCCATGAACATCCAGCGGCTCAACCAGTCTCTGTCCCCATCCACCCAGGCATCGTTGATGCGACGGGAGTACAGGATTAACATCCCCCAAGGAGTTTGTGAAAGATCCGGCGAAGCAGGAAATTGTAGGGAATTTGATGGCCTTTGACCAGGAAAGCCAGTCATGTATGATGCGCTTCAGAAGAGACATTGTGACCCCGTTGACGGAAGGGGCCTCAAAGGCGCTCGAGGAGCTTGACTCGTGCTTGGCTCAAAAGGATACACCATCGACAGTACACCTCGCGTCTGCTGCATTCCCTACCGGAACCATCATACTAATCGACAATCGTCGTTGGTTGCATGCTCGAAACAACATCAATGACCCAAAGCGTCACCTGCGTCGCCTTCGTTGGGACGCCGTTCCCTTTCCCAGTAATGACTCAGCAATTGGCTCGGAGTAAAGCATCAGAACCGCGTGGTGTTTTTCTTCTTTTTTTTTCTTTTCAGCAGCGTTAGGTAGAATAATTCAGCATCACGATCCTCTATTAATTCCGCGTCAGTTACATGTGTATTTGCATATTGCTGTTCTTGAATGAGCTTACCTGGTAATCATCGTGGGGATCGTGCTGTCCCTCTTCATACGAGGTTACCCATTGCTACGATTCTCAATGGCCTTGTGGTTGATCATCAAAAATCTTACCCTAACCCTAACCCTAGGTGCTGTTAGCCGCCCGTTAGCAACCCAATCCCAGCAGAATCCCCTGTTCCCCCCGGCTTACATTCAATATTTAAGTCTCCGTGTCTTCTTACTGGGGGCTGAAAGTGGAAAAAAATGACATTCTGACTGAACTTCCTGTCAGAAACCTCGGCTTTCGCTTCCGTTCGTTCACTATGGACGAGTCTACACCCCTTCTTCAGAACCAGTTGCATTCTCTGCCACAAAAGCGGCTTTTGGTCATATTTCCAGCTCTGGCGCTCATACAATTTACATCCTTCCTTGATCAAACGTCCATATCCACAAGTCTGCCCGCTATAGCATCCGCGCTCAGTACCGGAGCCTCCATATCCCTAGTCGGGGCCTGTTTCCTCATCACTAGCACCAGCATACAGCTGATCAATGGAAGACTATCGGACATTTGGGGCCGCAAGACCTCGCTGGTTGCGGCCCTTGCGATAATGGGGGGCGGCAACCTTGTCTCGGGCTTTTGTGAGACGCCGCTCCAACTATTTGCCGCCAGGGCATTCACCGGCTTTGGCGCCGGGGCCATCAATGCGCTTGTCCAGATTGCCATTGCGGATATCACGACGTTGGAGCAGCGTGGATATTACTTCGGCATGGTTGGTGCCGCCACCGCGCTCGGTAATGGGCTTGGTCCTGTCATTGGGGGAGCCCTCACGCAGATGGCTGGATGGCAGTGGGCCTTCTGGTTTGTCTGTCCCTTGTGCGCCATGGCCGTGTATTATCTCGTGTCGGTGTGGCCGACGTCTTCTTCCTCCCATGCCAAGGGCCGGATCTAGGACAAGCTAAAGTTGATCGACTGGACTGGAGCTTTTTTGAGTCCATTTGGGATTGCATTGTTCTTGGTGAGTTAATCTGAAGTGCTGTTAATGCCTGGAATACTTGGGGGTATTGATGATACGAGTCAGATTCCCATCTCGCAAGGCGGAGCTACCATGCCTTGGACATCGCCGGCGACCATAGGCATGCTAGTCACAGGAATCGCGCTGCTTGGCGTCTTTTTGATCGTCGAGTGGCGGTTTGCAAAGCTGCCTCTGCTACCAGCACGACTGTTCAGCTACGGCTACTCCACAAATATTTTGATTAGCATCAACATTCTCGTCGGCTGGATTTACTGGGGCAATCTCTTCATTCTCCCGTTGTACTTTCAGAACGTCCGAGGGGCAAGCCCATCCCAGGCTGGGATTCTGCTGCTCCCCATGGTCATCGCTCACGGACTGACATCAGCTCTTACTGGCATCATCATATCCGCGTGCGGACATTATAAGCCCATCATTGTGACAGGAGCGGTCTGTTGGGCTTTAGCTGCGGCAAAGTTGTTTTACGACCAACAAACTCCCATTTGGGAGATGATCGTGGTTGGCATCCTGGATGGCGTGGGCGTTGGATGTTCTATGCAGCCTGGTAAGTGACTCCAGATTTTCTTTCGCTTCCAAAGGTTCTGCGTTGACCCAACATCACCTGTCCAGTCCTTGTTGGCCTTTTCGCGGGCTCGGATCCAGACGACCGAGCCGTTTTGACAGGCCTGCGGAACTTTTTGAGAGATATGGGAGGAGCGACCAGTACTACAGGTACGTCTCTGATATGGTGACATCTCATAAACGCTGAGTCTGACATCGTGTAGTTTCTGGCACCATCTTAAGCAACGTGCTATATTCTCAGTTGAAGTCCAGTTTCAGTAAGGAAACCATTGCGAAAATGATCTCGTCAGCCTTCGCATTAGATGATTTAAATCTCACTAGGGAGGAAAAGACATTGGTGTCACAAGGGTACATGGAAGGGCTCCATGCGGTATTCGCCTCTTTCGGTATACTCATTGCCATTCATGTCTGCGCATGTTTATGGATTCAAGACCATGGCTTGAAACGTGATGGAAAACAACGGAATCAGGAGGAAGATTGAGCTGAAAACTCTTTTTGTCGGACTTGCGCACACCGCATGCCCCCCAAGTAGATCTAGGACTTCCCCACACGAAAAAGTACCCAAGCACGCAACCTCTTTGCCTAAACCACTTCTCTTATTTACCATTTTTACTCATGTAGGCCAACGGAAGCATTGCGTCAGTTTCCGTGAACCGATGCCAATAAACTGCAGGGTCCACTCCAACTCATGCGTCAATTCCCCGCCTAAACATGGAAATTGGCAACTGAGCGAAAAATGAGGAGTGAAGACGCGAAGGTGTCATTTAAAAGTGAATTAATACAGATGATATAGTTGCTATTCTATCTACTTTGGATTGCAACACTCCGATGTACCTATTCTCACTCCTCTAAAACTCTACCGTAGGCTGAATGATAGTTGTGGCCTGGAACATGTTTCCTCTTTCCTGTGTCTTCATCAAATATATAGCAACCTTTCCTGGCTACGTGTGGAGGAGTGTATACTAGAGTCAAATTCATCAGTATGGTATATGCAGGAGAAACACAGATGTACGTCAGGCTTACAGTGAAGGGATACAGCAAAGTCGCTGCCTTTATTCGACATGCGATGTAACCCAAGATCATCGGCCATGTATGCGACATCGTTCTCCGCGTGGGTCCTCTCCGAGATTATATTCAATGGCTGACTTTGTCCTTGTTGTGGAAACGCATACCGCGTCTCTGTCAAGTTGCCTTTGAGAATCTTCATCAAACAGTGGGCGTTACCATGATCATGTACAGGGCTGCCCCTACCAGGACACCATACGAGCACGAGCTACGTTGGTACACTCGTCAGAAACAAAACAGAAGTGATCTGATTTGGAATAAAGTAAACATACCAGATTGCTCTTACCATTCCCTTCGTCGATCAGGTTCCTTGTATAATCCACAGCATTGTTGCCAAAGGCATACTTTGCCCAGTCACACTCCTGACTGTTGTAGAGCTTCATTGAACGCATCAGTGAAGCCACATTAACATCGTCTAACGTTAGGCCAGACGATGTGCTCAAAGTCTCTGCCAAGGAGGCCACGAGCTTATCAAATGGAGTCTCATCCTGTGATGTGCCAACATGATGTGTGCCATGGAAATCAGTTGTAGGTAGAATCTCCATTGCCATGGTGATGCTGAACGATTGTCAATGACAGCTGTTTGCTCGATTCCGTGGTTCACTTTCTCGAACAGCTAACACTCAATCGAATCGAATAGAATTGCTATTTTGCCGTCTCCAACTCTGGACTTGCTTGCTCCGGAACCTGGATCGTGTCGCCCAGCTGCCACGTTGCATTGCTATCATGTACAAGTGTTGCTGCGCCGTCACTAACCGGGTGAATCTAATGGCCTGCACTAATAGGTTCGATACACACATGAGAAGGATCAAGATCTGCCTTGCCCTCGAATCTCCGCCCCCAACCGGATGCCGGTCCTACACCGCTCTTCAGGCAAGGGCTTATCTCGTCTAAGCCTTGAGGCTCCTTTTGGATGCCTAGCTGTAAGAGGTATTGTGAACCGCGTCATGGACCTGAACATGCGGGTTGGTGGATTGGTCGTCTCACGGTGACGGGTGCTAATGACTAGCTGGTGGAGACAAATTGCAATGTTGAAACCAAAGGCTATCGAATCCTTCGTTGCTGACTACTACACTACGATCCCAGCTGTGATACTCTTAACGAACCCACATCATTATCCCGGACCCATACCTCCGCCTTACCTCCCCTGAATCTGAGTGTGATATGATACTTTCAGATTGTGCTCGCCGGCAGGCATCGGACTAAACAGATCCTTCGCTTGGGCAGCCATCAAATCAGCAAGAGCAGACGAATCGGAACGCCGTGCAGACTCTAGATGGTCCGTAAGAGGGATTTGACTGATTGGAAGGATTTTCGCTTCCAATTCCCTACTGCAAGCCTCGTCAGCCGCTCCGGCATCCGAGCATCACCGACGATCTCGCTTCCTAAAGTAAGTCCGGGATCCGTACATCGCCGACAATCTTGCTTCCTAAAATGGCAGGCAGGGGCTGATGTGAGGTCGCCACGACTAGTCCGAACGGTTTACTAGAGTGGATCGACAGCATGCTGCTGAGAATGAATTGCCCCACCAAGTACTGATACTGGCTTCGGTCAGGTACAGTACGTACCACCTCGCTTAGCCGGTAACGGGGCCTTAACATATCGTTCTAACGAACACGCGGTCAACCTATCCGTTTCATGTCCACGAACTCGTGAGTATGTGTTGGATTCATGTCCACGCTCAATGTTCCCTACCTGAGATGCTGGAGAACGTTCAGTGCAGGCCAGAACGCTGTGAACTGCCTAAGTTAAGTTGCATTGTGTTAGAAAACTGGATCAGTAATAACTTCTGCTGCCCAGTCTCACGCTCGCCTTAACATTTGTCCACTTCCTTTACGAAGTGTCGTCAACCATCATTTTCAGATTACACCCTCCTGGGCCAATTTTCTGAAAACTGAAACGGCTTCTGGTTTCTAGTTGGCATAATGGCAGACTCCAAGGAGGAGAGTAGAACTCCAGACACTGCCACCCGGGCAGAGGTTACAACACAGCAGGCTGTAGCGGAAGAACGCAACAGCATTTCACCCTCGTTCCCTCAATCAGAGAAGCGCACTTCTGTGGTTGACAAAGAATTCGAATCCAACAGTTCGGCTAGCACTGAAAGCGCAGCTGAAGACACCAGGCCACAGACCAGACCTTGGTACAAAACATCAAACCCCTTGCGGTGGGGCGGAATTCCACCTGTGCCCGATGAGCGTGTCATATCGCCTGAGCACAAGGCTGGTCTTCTGAGCCGCTTAACCTTTAACTGGGTCACGCCCTTGATGGTGGTGAGTCTGCACCCTGTTTCGAGAAGGCCTCGTCCGAGTCGATGCTAACCATTCTGTCTAGACTGGCTATAAACGCCAACTTGACGAACGCGACATCTGGCAAGTGAACCCAGATAGAGCGGTTGACCCTCTGACCCAGAAGGTCAAGGAATCATTTCAGCGACGAGTGCAGGATGGAGTGAAAAGACCGCTTCTGGGAGCGTTACGCGAGACTTTCAAGTCCGAGTTCTACCTCAGCGGCATTTACGCCTTGGTGTACTACTCGGTTCAGATCCTCACTCCTTTCACCCTGCGTTTTCTTATTCAGTTCGCCACGGATGCTTATGCAGCTCAATCACACAACCAAGTCGCTCCACCAATAGCGCATGGAATCGGTCTTGTCCTTGGAATCATGGGGATGCAGATAATACAAAGTGTCACTGCTAGCCAGTACTTTTACAAGGGCATGATGCTTGTGGTCAGAGTCGTGGTGTTCTCACTAGTTTGATCTATGAGAAAGCCATGACAATCTCCAGCCGCGCCAAAGCAGGCGGAACTTCCGTTGCTACAACACCGGCCCCCAATGACACACAAAAGAGCGAAAAACAGGCGACTACAATCAGCAAGACGTGGAGAAAGCGGAGAGACCGAAAAAAGAAGGATGAACTCGAGAATGGTGCCGGATGGACTAATGGACGCATCTCGACCCTCATGAGCATTGATACTAATCGTATCGACATGTTCTGTACGGCGCTGCACTCGCTCTGGGCTACACCGTTTGCGTGTATCATCTCTCTGGTGCTGCTCTTGATCAACTTGACGTACAGCGCTCTCACAGGCTTTGCGCTCCTCGCTATCGGCGTACCTCTTTTCACTCTCGCTATTCGGAGTTTTGTTCATCGACGAAGGGCTATCAACAAGATTACGGATCAACGCATCTCGCTCACCCAAGAGATCATCCAATCGGTACGCTTCGTCAAATACTATGGCTGGGAGCCCGCCTTTCTCGACCGCCTGGAGCAGCTCCGCATGAAAGAGATCCACAGCATTCAGGGGCTTCTGGCTGTTCGGAACGCCATCAACGCCATCAGCATGTCTCTTCCCATCTTCGCATCCATGCTGTCCTTCATCACCTACTCGCTCACGGGCAACGGGCTGGACCCCGCCAAGGTTTTCTCCTCGCTGGCTCTGTTCAACAGTCTGAGGCTCCCTCTGAACCTCCTGCCTCGTGCCCTTGGTGATGCTAGTGACGCATATTCCTCTGTGATGCGGATCGAGCACTTCTTGGTGCAGGAAGACAGGGAGGAAGACATGATCTGGGAGCCGGAAGGAGAATATGCCATCGATCTGCGAAGCGCAAGTTTCACGCGCGAGAAAACGCAGAAGCAGGAGAGTGACGGCAGCGAAGATGCTACCAAGGGGAAGGACAACAAGCCCAAACGGGACCCTGAGAAATCCGGACGTGTTCAACCCACGGCACCTTCCGATGGCCCCCCGGTCATGGATCAGCGGGAACCCTTTCAGCTGCAGGACGTGAACTTCCAGGCCGGTCGCAACGAGTTGATTGCCGTGATCGGCGGTGTCGGTAGCGGCAAGAGCTCGCTGTTGGCTGCCATGGCTGGTTATATGCGCAAGACCGATGGGGCTGCCATCTTTGGTGCATCTCGAGCCTTTTGCCCCCAATACGCTTGGATCCAGAATACTTCGCTGCAGAACAACATCACTTTCGGGAAAGAACTAGATCAGGCTTGGTATGACAAGATCATTGATGCGTAAGTCTACTTATTCACCTTACCCTACCTATGTAGGTACCCTACTCTCGTTACAAAGGTGGCTGACGGCTCCGATAGCTGCGCGCTCCAGGCTGATATCGACATGCTTCCCGACGGTGACCAGACCGAGATCGGCGAGCGAGGTATCACCATCTCCGGGGGTCAAAAGCAGCGCCTCAATATCGCGAGAGCGATTTACTCGGACGCTGATATCATTTTGATGGATGATCCTCTCAGTGCTGTTGATGCTCACGTCGGCCGCCACATCTTTGACAAAGCTATCCTCGGCCTGCTGAAGGGAAAATGCATCATCTTGGTTACACATCAACTGTGGGTACTAGATCGATGCGATCGCATTGTCTGGATGGACGATGGCAAGATCCAGGCCGTTGGTTCCTTCGAGAGCTTGAAGAAGAACCACCAAGCCTTCCAGACCCTGATGGAATCAAGTATGGCCCCGAAGGAGATGCAGGAGCCGGAAAATGCCGACCAACTCATCGAGGATCTCGACCCTGTTGAAGAAACTGCTGAACTCAAGAAAGCCAAGGAAGTCAAGAAGGACCATAAAGCCTCGCCGTTGATGCAGAAAGAGGACCAGGCCAAAGATTCAGTACCATGGTCCGTTTACGCCACTTACGTGCGCGCTTCTGGAACGCTCTGGAATTTGCCTCTTGTGCTTCTACTCCTGATAGCGTCTCGAGGAGCCAACATCGCCACGAATCTCTGGCTCTCCTTCTGGACATCGGACAAGTTTGACCTCTCAACCGGTCTCTATATTGGCATCTACGCTGCCCTGGGCGGTGCACAAGCATTGATCCTGTTCGCTTTCTCGCTTGCGCTATCAGTCACGGCGACAAATGCTAGCAAGACCATGTTCCGGCAAGCGATGACGCGAGTTTTGCGCGCGCCTATCTCGTTTTTTGACACAACACCTCTTGGGCGCATCATCAACCGCTTTTCAAGTGATGTGGACATTATGGACAACCAAAGCGCCGATAACTTCCGCATGTTTTTCATAACCGTTAGCTACGCCGGTGCGGTCTTCATCCTCATCATAGCGTACTTTTACTATTTCGCCATCGCGCTTGTTCCCTTCTATATCCTCTATGTTGGGGCCGCATCATACTACCGTTCGTCTGCCCGTACGGTCAAGCGTTACGAGTCAGTTCTGCGGTCTAAAGTGGTATCCAGGTTCATCGAGGGCCTCAGCGGTGTGGCCACCATCCAGGCTTACGGTCTCAAAGATCAGTTCGTCCATGAGCTTCGTTCGTCGATTGATTCGATGAATGCTGCCTACTATATCACTATGGCCAATCAGCGGTGGCTCACCATGCGACTTGATGCTGCCGGCAACGTACTCGTCTTTGTCGTTGGCATTCTTGTGGTCACCTCGCGATTCAGTGTAAACCCTTCAATCAGCGGCCTCGTACTGAGCTATATCCTCTCCGTGGTTCAGATGCTCCAATTCTCAATCCGTCAACTATCGGAAGTGGATAAGGGTATCAATGCAGTCGAACGCCTGCGCTACTTTGGCGAGGAGCTTGAGGAAGAAGCTCCCGCCCATATCATGGACATGCCTGAGAGTTGGCCCGACAAGGGAGAGATCGTTCTCAAGAACGTCCAAATGCGGTATCGCAAGAATCTACCTCTCGTCTTACAGGACCTGTCTATACACATCAACGGCGGTGAGCGTATGGGCATCATCGGCCGTACCGGTGCGGGCAAGTCGTCAATTATCAGTGTCCTGTTTAGACTCGTGGAAATATCTGGGGGCTCGATCTCTATTGATGGTATCGATATCTCGCGGATTGGACTCCAAGATCTGCGATCGCGATTGACTATCGTTCCGCAAGATCCCATGTTGTTCCAGGGCACCGTCCGCAGCAACCTGGACCCATTTTCCAAGCGCACGGATATGGAACTTTGGGACGCTCTACGGCGGACAGGGCTGGCCCAGCAGGAAGACGTCACGTCGGAAGGCCGCCAGGCCAACGATGCCAGAATCCATCTCGACAGCGTTGTCGAAGAAGACGGTTTGAATTTCTCACTCGGCCAGCGACAGCTCATGGCCCTAGCAAGAGCTCTGGTGCGCGATTCCCGCATCATCATCTGTGACGAGGCCACTTCGAGCGTGGATATGGGCACGGATGAGAAGATACAAGTCACAATGGCAGCCGGCTTCCGTGGCAAGACGGTGCTTTGCATCGCACACCGTCTCCGGACCATTATAGGGTATGACCGGATCTGCGTCGTGGATGGTGGGCAGATCGCAGAGTTGGACACGCCTGCGAGTCTCTTTGCCAAGGAGGACGGTATCTTCAGGGGTATGTGTGATCGCAGCGGCATCCAGCTCGAGGATATCAAAGCTTCTAGGGATACCATCACAGCCTTTGGTGAGGCGAACGGGCGCTAGTTTTCTACCTTGTGGGCATACGCAAAATTGGCATTAGTATCCAGAGAACTATGAAACAATTTACTATTAGAGTCAGGAAAAGATCGTGATGACTCCTGTTGTGAAAATTATCGAAATGTAAGTACTTGCCAGTCTCTTAGATCGAGAGAAAGCTATCATGAACTCGTGTGATGTATGGGTACTATTGATTGAAACTGCCAAGTAATTCTCGTAATCAGCACGAATAGATAGCCAGCGGATGAATTTCGCAGCGTTGAAAATCCCATGCCAGGCCTGAGCAGAAAGGAACAAGTTGTGGGCACAGTCAGCTCGTGTGGCTTAAATCGTGGGACAAAATCGCATGTGGGTTCTGCGAGATGTGACCTCAATTGGGTCGAACTATCGGCAAAACGGTTGTGCCAGCCGCCAAATCGTCCGTGTTGAGTGGAAGGGGAGGGGGAGAGGACCCTGCAGGCGGTAAAATACGCGCAAGTCCCAAAAATACGCCATACCAACTGATGACCCGTAGTACTGCACAGGAGGGTTTGGGTTTTGCTGAAGTGGTTGACATGGGAATGAGACCAGCACCGCTGCAGGCACACATCCCACTGCTTATCCATATTAGACAGCCGGCCCCCCGGGACAGTTCCTGCGCACTTGTCTCTCTTCGATGACACACACGCATCTTCACACCTGTCTCACGTGATGGTTATTGGAATTCAACAGGATTCGTCTACTTGACCAGCAGAAATTCGCATCTTATTCTACATAAAGTCTTCCCCCTATTACAAGGCTCTTGTTGAAAACATCAATTATCCCAACGAACCGACAAAGACTCAAAATGACTCAGGACGCCAATGCTTCGAACGGCACCAATGGCCATGCCAACCACGTGGTACCGGCGCCAACTTTGAACAGGGCGGCTGAGGTTGACGATGTAATATAGCCCAGTAGCTCTTGGGATCCACCTGGACTAACACGTGTCGTAGCTCCTGAGTGCAGTCCAGTCGTTACTGCTGCCTTTCATCAAAGCCGCAGATGATGCAGCACCAGAAAGGGCTGCGGGGGCCAGCCTCACGTCGCAACCTAGCGTGCTCGTCGACGCACAACCGCCAAAGGCATTGGTAGAAAAAATGGCATTTTCCCTGCCAGCAAATCAAGGCAGAGGGCGGCATGGACTGCTTGAGACCATCCAGAACCTGCTGAAGTACAGTGTCAATACTTGGGATCAGGGTTTCCTTGACAAGCTTTACGCAAGCACCAATGCCGTAAGCCGGATGAACCACAAACATTGTGCACTGATGTAGTAACTAATGGCTCTCAAGGTCGGTGTGGTATCAGAGCTTGTACTCGCGGTCTTGAATACCAATGTAAGTAACAATGCATACTTGGGTACATACCTACTCAGACCCAGTATATCCAACTGATCAACGATGAAGCTTCACGTATACAATGTGTCACCCGCTCTCACAGCCATCGAGCGACAGACTGCCAAGTCGCTGGCCAACTTGTTCGGATTCAACGGTCCACGCGCCGGAGGCGTTACATGCCAAGGAGGCTCATCTTCCAACCTCACATCGATTGTTACAGCTCGTAACACGTTATTCCCCGAGACGAAACTCAACGGAAATGGGACCCACAACTTGGCTGTGTTCACCAGCCAACATGGCCATTACTCGGTCGAGAAAGCCGCGACGACGCTGGGCCTCGGCAAGGCGGCCGTCATCCTCGTGCCTGTGGACGAAGCTGGCTGCCTTGTCCCCAGTGCACTGCGCGAGTTGGTGATACAGGCAAAGAGGGATGGCAAGACCCCGTTCTATGTGAACGCCACGGCTGGGACCACAGTGTTTGGCTCCTTCGACCCGTTCCGGGCCGTCTCGGAGGTCTGCAAGGAGTTCAACCTGTGGCTCCACGTCGATGGGTCTTGGGGGCAGCGTTGTGTTTTCGTCAGCGCAGCGGCACAAGCTCGATGGTATCGAGCTCGCAGACTCTATCACGGTCAACCCTCACAAGATGCTCAACGTGCCGGTGACGTGCTCCTTCTTGCTGGTCAACGACCTGAGCATTCTTAAGAGGGCGAATAGTTTGGCTGCCGGGTACCTTTTCCATGAAGATGGGGACGGGGAAGCTGAAGAAGAGGACAAGGAATACTGGGACCTTGCTGATCTGACCCTTCAGTGTGGCCGCCGTGGAGATGCGCTCAAGCTTGCCCTCGCCTGGGTATACTACGGATCCAGTGGATTCGAGGAGAGAATCGACCACGCGTTTGTAATGTCTTCATATCTTGCGTCATTGATTCAGCAACATCCGGATTTCCAGCTGATAAGCACCAACCCGCCGCCATGTCTGCAGGTGTGTTTCTACTATGCTCCTGGCGGCGCATTGGCAGACGATCCGAAGGAAAATACCCGACGGACAAGCGAAGTGGTGAAGAAACTGGTACCAAGCGGTTTCATGGTGGATTATTCTCCAGGACCACAAGGTAGCTTTTTCCGCGTTGTCGTGAACTGCGAGACGTTGAGGGGGACCGTGGAAGGACTGATGAAGGCTTTGGAAAGGGTCTGTGGTGACATGATGACATAGAAAAGTGGCGGCCAGCAACCTTTTCCGCGGGTGGATAAAGATTGAGCACATAGAAAGATTGGTCAACATAAATTGCCATACGAGAGGAGAAACCAGAAATAACGGACACCTGCGTCCTTGCACCCAAAGAGATGCCGCCCACAACTATCCACTTTGCATTGTGAGCATATGTCTGAATGCTTTCATACGCCTCCACCAGGCATACCCTACGGGTGAGGGTGGATCAAGATAGGTAGTGGATAGATGAGGACGGGATGGGGTTGGTGAGGATGAATGAGGACGGGTGAAGATGGATGAGGATGGGTCAGGACTGGACCGGCACGGGCAGCCGAAAGTAAGGCGAGGGAGGACAGGCTAGCATCAGAGACGGTTCGGTGGGTATTTTCCGTATTACGGTACCCAAAACGGAACTAAAACCGATGCATTCAAGCCTGTGCCGAATGTCAGCATCAATTCCATTGGCCGGCAAGCCAGCTTGCAAAGGATCATGCAGATATGCCACTCAATCGACGCCTGTAAATTTTAACGACTTGGCGTCTCCATGTCAGCCGCTAGGCCCTGAGCTCTTGATAACCCACATTTACTTTACTCTTGTAGTCATCAACTTCACCTCCTTCGTTTTCTCTTTGCACTTTCCTCTCCAGCTTCTTCGCCCCTCAGACTGTGCGTCATGGCTCGTTTCCTCTCTGGTCTGGCCTGCGGGCTTCTTCTCGCACAATCGATTGGCGCCGCGGTCATTGATCAGGAACTGGATGAGGGCATTCCGGACACTGGTCTGGACACGTCCAGTTGGACTACCGGCGTCCTCCCAAATATTTCTGACCTGTTCACTCTCAACGACTTCCAGATTGCAGCCAAGAACACCATGGCCCCAGGAGACTACGCGCAATATCGCACCGGTACTCTGGACGAAACAAGTATGAAAACTCTTTGAGAATGTCCGTGGACTGCTGCTAACCTGAGTCAATGCAGCTTATATTAATAATTTGAACATCTATCGCAAAGTTCTGTTGAATCCCACTATCCTCCAGGATGTCTCGAACTTGAATCTCAAGTATGTTTGCTCCCATTCTATTCTACTAGATTCCGTATTGCTCCATGCTGACTGGGCCAACGTTCAAGCACCACCATCCTGGGATATAATTTCTCAGCGCCGTACTTCATTGCCCCGGCGGCCAATCTGAACGTCCCCAATCCTGAAGCAGAGGCAAACCTGGTGCGCGCGGCTGCTGGAGCTGGTATTTTGTATATACCATCTATTGGGGCTAGACTCAAGATCGAGGCGATCGCGGCTGCCGGGGCCGAAGACCAAGTCATGTTCCACCAGGAGTATATCTGGTCCAACAAGTCGCAGATCAAGAACGAGCTCAGCCGCATGGAAGCTGCCGGGTTCAAGGCCATCGTGCTGGCCATCGACAACACCGGCGTGGGTGGCGTCCGCGACCGCGCGCAGCGCTTCACGCCTGGCAGCGACGGGGGCCGCAGTTTCAACTTCACCATCGAGGCGCTGAATGAGCTGCGCAGCTGGACGTCCTTGCCTATTATACCCAAGGGCATCAAGACAGCCAAGGACGTAAAGCTTTGCGCCGACCTAGGGTTTCAAGCTGTCTACATCTCAAACCACGGGGGCCGCGTGGTCGACAACACGCCGACCTCGGTCGAGGTACTACTCGATCTACATATGCAGTATCCAGAGGTGTTCGACCAGATCGAGATCTACGCCGACGGCGGGGTCCGCCGTGGCAACCATGTGCTCATGCTGCTTGCCCTGGGAGTCCGCGCCGTCGGTCTTGGGCGGCCTCCCATGTTCGCTAATGTCTACGGCCAGGAGGGGGTAGAAAAGATGCTCAAAATCTTGAACACGGAGATGATCACCGAGATGCGGTTGTTGGGAGAGACGGACGTGAACCGGTGGCGAGGGAACGCCAGCCTCATCAACACCAGGAAGGTCGAGCTCGACTACTTCGGGGCTCCGATGTCTATGTTGAAGTCATGATGAGTAGGGATAATGGCCAAGTCACAATTTACAATAGAGAAGTTTATAATAACTTGATTCGCATGTCAATATCGATCTGTCATATGATAAATACATCTCTCACTGTTGTTAGTGCGATGCGATTGATATGGAGTAATGGCTCACATGCACAAGAATTTGTAGTTTTAAAAGATCTAGTTATGCGGAACAAATCTAGACTAAATACTCTGACTTATCGCCCATCTCGGTCCATGCTTGAGTGCAGGGTGTGTTGTCTCATGAGCGATACGCACACCAAGCCCAGAACTGAAAGCCCCAGCAGTGTAAGGAAGACGGCATGAAATGCATCCATGAAAGATTTCATGACTCCCGCATACCACCCATCCGGAAGGTTTTTGAGCTCCGCAATACTGTTCCGAATGCGCGCAATCTCTTCCGCTGCGTCTGGGTAGTCCCCAAATCTTTTCCATAGCTGACAATTCAGAACATTCTGGAACACTGCTGAGCTGATGGTGATGCCAATTGTGCTTCCAATACTTCGGGCCAAATCTAGAGACTAAGTTAGCAGATATGCGAAGAGACGAATGGGAAGAAGTGAAAATAACTCACAGGTGGCAGAAGTGACAACAGCCTGGTGAGCGTGATCCACGGCAGCGATGCAAGCCAGTAAAGTAGTCGTCAGCAGAGACGCGTAACCAGTTCCAATGAGGAAGAAGACCATGGCTGTCAACCAGCCCTGGGTGTTCTCGTCATGAAATCCAAAGACAATGACTCCAGCGATCATGATGATCAGGCTGGCAACACCCAGTCCGTTGTATTTTCCGGTCTTGTTCATGATGATCCCTGCCCCAAGGGAGCTGATTGAAGTTCCCATTGGGGAAAAAAGGATGAGTAGGCCAACTTCTGTCGCCGTGCTCCCGCGAATTTGCAGATACAAAGGAACGTAGAAGAGTAGAGCAAACATGACCATGGTGCACAAGCAGTTCGACAAGCAAGCAGCAAGCACGGTCCGTTCCAGTAAGAGTCTCACTGGAATGATATGTTGCCTTGCCCTCGATTCCCACCAAACGAACATGAAGAATGCAACAACGGATAGGGGAATGGTCGTGAGAGGCAATGGATGATTCCAAGGGACAATATTCCCGCCCGCGTTCAAGCCCACGAGGAGCAGAACGAGGAAAGAGGTAATAAGAAAGACTCCAACGAAATCTATACGCCCCAGATAAGATTTGTTTGACTGCTTCGGTGGTGTTTTGATAAAGAAGTAGCAAGCCACAGCCGCCATCAGAGATGGAGGAGCTTGAACGATGAATGCAAGTCTCCAGCCTTGGCTGCTATAGTCGTTGAGGAGACCGCCAAAAACGCCACCCATCATGGCTCCCGACCCAAAGCATAGATTCAGGATGCCCTGAACCACACCTCGCTTCCTCAAGGGGACCAAATCGGACCCCAAGAAAGTAGCAATGCTCATCAGTCCACCGCCGCCAATTCCAGCGATGGCCCGGCCGAAAATGAGGTGCGACTCGTGTTTGGCGTATCCACAGATAAGATTACCGGCAGAGAAGAATATGTGACTGAAGACCAAACCGGGTCCGCGCCCGAAAATATCTGTCAGGCGGCCGGAGATTGGTTGGCAGACGGCGTTGGAGATGAGGTATGCGCTGGCCAGCCATGAGAGCAAGCTGAGAGACTGGAACTCGCTGGAGATGGGCGCGGTGAGAGTCACAATGACGCTGGAGTCGACGGCCCCAAGAAAGACGCCTATCCAGGCAGTTGAGAAGATGATGGCAAGTCTACTGAACGGCAGCTCTTGGGGCTTGACTATTGTCTCGTCGTCTTGGGGAGCTGATATCGTTTGATGCTCGGGTGGCACGGGATGCGATTCAGTGTCGTAGCCATTCCCGGCGGGCTTGAGAAGTGGCGTGTATTCATTTGGTGTGTTTTCCATAACGCCTGGAGCTAATGAGGACTGACTTGAGGTACCGAAAGGACTTGGAGAGCCTGGGGCGGATGAGGATCCGCTTGAGGCCTCTGAAGAACTATCGGATCGCGGCATATTCTTGTGGGTGCTTCAGCCGGCGTGAGGCTTTTCCAGTCAAAACAATGAGCAAGATGATGAGATGAATTTTCCGTCGCAGAGAAAGAATATGGCGACTATGACAGGATCCCTGATGGTGCAAAAAAAGACAGGAGATGAGACAATGGCTTGCAGACAGGTAACTAATGTGCACCTATCAAACGGAACAGATACACGGTGGATGCAGCACCTGGGCTTTACGGAACACTTTCTCTACGTCAAGTAAGATAGGGCACGCTTACTGGGCTATTTCCTGCCTTCAATAGAGCAGAAGGGGGTATCTACGTTAATCGAGTATCATCGACCCATTCGCAATGCGATTATTTTCTGGTATGCAAATTGAGGAGTATGCACATATCAAGGATATGATGCATCTCACAGAAACGCATATCCAAAGCACTTAGTTGTCGGGATTATTCACTCGATACTTGGCGGTCGATTAGTGCATACTTTTGAATCTGATGGGTAAGGTTTGTGACCCGAAAGGGTATCGCGTAAATACGTGTGCGGGGCGGCACGATGAACACGACCACAAAGCTTGTTCTAACTGCATTTGAAGGAATCTACTTGCGAATTAAGATGGCTCCCGTTCCGTGCTAGGCTCGTTCGTGGCTTGACCGACTTCCGGTGCTAATGACTGCAGGCAACGTATCGGCCTGCTCGGTTTTCGTCGACGTCGCATCGGAACTCGGACAATTTGGCCAAGAAATAGGAGTCTTACTACGTTCCACAAAGAGATAAAGGAAGTCCACCGGTTGGACTCTGCCGATTGGCTATCGACATGCGGCTGACTACCCAGTCCCCTGTCGCGGAATATACCATATTACACCCGAGCAGTACAGTCTCCGTCACTATTGTGATAGCTACTAGGAACATGACTTAGTCTCCCCTACTAGCCGAGCGGCACAGGCTCCTAAGGCTCCACGAACACAATCTGAGGTAAGCGACTGTATTAATCCTTCGAATCCTCTGACATTCTTGACCGAGATTTCAGTTGTAGCGCCGGAATTGCAGCCGTTGGCTAGTTTAGTTCAACTACAAGCTTGTCGATCCGTCCCGGGGCTGACGCCTCCCCGGAGTCCATCCCGCGAGCCCAATCCTTGGAGCCGAGCTAGTAAATCTGCTCATCCTTGGAGCCGAGCTAGTCTTCCCTCGGGTGGTATAGATGACGATGAGCATCAGAATCCTTCAGTTTCAGCATCGTCAGAAATTAAGGGTCCTTTTGGAGCCTAGATGCCGTTTTCCCCTTTCACCGCCCACAATACGTCGGAAACCCAGACGCCCGTGGCTAGACACAATGACGGACCCACGGTGACGCGTCCATCGCTGGAAATGGGGGCGTAGGATCACGCTCACACCTTCCCTGAAAGTGTTGCCGGTAGATATTACGTATCGGTCCTTTGAAAGTGATCAATCCTCGTCTAATCCATAGGCGGAAAGAACGTTGGTGGATGCGAAACCGGGTTATTAGACGGATTCCGGTTGGAAACTTTACCAGGAATACAGGGTCCAGGCTGTGCCCGTCAAAACGACAGAGAGAGAATTCCAAGATTCCTACTCCTTCTTTCCAAGGGCAAGATCTTGTGCCAGTGTCAATTCCTGTACACAAGCAACAGCGCTACTCACAGCCCGCCGCCATGAATATGGATGAGAAGTCACCAGCTGCAGCTGGCCACACAGCTCCCGAGAGCCTACGCCGTCGGCCCCGGGCATCATTCCCACTCCTCCGTCAGATATTCCTTGTGGTACTCAGTCTTCTGGTCATTTACAACGTCTACAAGGTTAGAGTACCCAGGGAACGTCTGAAGCAGACGCTTCAGCCGCTTGCTCCAAAGAGGGTACCACTCGAGATTCATAACATAGTCAAGTGTCCCAATGCGCAGGTGAGAGCTTCTTTCAACGATTCTCTCGATAATAAAATCTCAAATGACTCATGCTGTGTCGGCGTTTAGGTTGCCTTGACGGCCTTGGTGCTCCCGACCATTGAGCGTGTGCATGACAAAGTCGACTTCAGACTCAGCATTCTCGCGAGGTGAGTGAGCGATCACATTGGTACCAAGCCTTAGATCAACGCGCAGGCTTTCTCACCACGCTCCGCCGCCCACTCAGAGAAACCGAAGAGGGCATGCACTGCAAGCATGGCCCCGAGGAGTGCAAAGCTGCCATGATGGAGCTCTGCACGCAGGATACACACCGGGACTCCAGGAGTCTTGTTGGCTTCCTCGAATGCTTGACGAATGAGTACCAGCGGATCCCCGAGCGCGCACATTACGAGGCCTGCGCCGCAAAGAACTCCATCGATCTTGAGAAGGTGGACCAGTGTGCTGCTAGGGATGGAGGAGCATACGCATACGAGCTACTTCGGAAAAGTGCTCAGCGTACCATTGATGTCAGTGAAAACATTGTGCCCCGTGTCTTCACCAACGACAATTTGCCACACGGTTTCTTGATATCTTGATCAAAGACGGACTAACTGAAATTACTACCGGGCAGGCGGGCGTGCACATCAGTGGTACAATCCGATTGAACGAGAAGGTTTACTGTATCCGGGATGGGGACAATGACACGTGGCTGGAATGTCCCAACGGCCCTGGTGTTGATGAGCTCGTCGATGCCATCGAACGCTTGTATAATGCGACGACAGAGTATGTAGACGATGCAATTCGGCTGATGATCCACTGACTAATGCGACACTCTTAGGGAACTGTGATATACAACCTTCGACATTGCAGCTTCTTGATGATGGATAGTTGTCAGGGTGGGATAAAGGCTGTTGAGGTGAGGGAATTTAATGAGCGTGGGGTCGTGATTTATCGTAACACATAGTTACAACGCGGAAGACTAGAGAGGCATGATAGAAGGTCGTATACAAAAACACTGTAGAAAATGCAGCACTGTCTGTTGAGTCTACTGAGGTCTATCTCATTAGAATTCGAGTTGGCGGAGAGCATGGTGATGATGTGTTGAGTTCCAAGATACAATGCAGTCGTCTTTCCTGTGTACAACCTGTCCGACATTTCCACGACGATGAAAAGCCCGGTCGGTGGAGTGCGTAGCTAACCCACTTCCGACTCAGTGAACAGTGTCTTCAACGATTCTTGACTCCCAACACGTGCAACACCAACGACCGGGAGTCCAAACGGTTTCCGGGTGGTTTCCGGGTGAAAAGCGCCGCTATCACTCCCCAGGCATGAGCTGCAATTCATTGTCGGGCAGCCTCTATTCCAAAGTTGATACCCCATCCACAGAATGAAGGGAGGGGATCGCTCCCATCACGGTCCGATCAAGCCTTCTTGATAAGCACGCCCTGGATCCTAGGCAGCATGCTGACTAAATCTTCAGGCTCTTCGATATCCTGGGGGTTCTCCCACTCTCCAGCGTTGAGAATGTCCCCCAGCACATTGCGGGTCATTGAGCATCCGACGAATGTGCTCCAAGCAGGGTTGAGAATAACTTTTCGCATGTTAGTCACGTCTGCAGCGCTCTCGATGGAGACACCCATCATCGGGTCCTGCCTGGGCAGAAGGACTATGAGAGACTTACTTTGCTCAGCAACCGTCAAGGAGCTCCTGCTCCACCCATGCTCCCAAAAGATGAATTTCCCTCCAGGCTTGAGTAGCTTCCACACCTCCTTCATCACGGCCTTTGGATCCCGCACCGCGCACAGGACCTGGATGGACAGCACGGAATCCAGGCTGCCTTCGGTGATCCCCTCCTTCCTCAGAACGTCGCTGTCCTCAATGCCGGAAACGATGAGCTTGTACTTATCCTGAATGCCGTTCTTCTGCAGCTTGGCATTTATGCCGTCCTGGTAGCGGGAGTTAGGCTCCACGCCGTAGATCTTGTTGACGCGGGACATGTCAAAACGGTGCAGCTGGTTGCCTGGCCCGGGCCCTAGCTCAAGGACAACGCCATCGGCGGCTTTCAGGAGCGAGGGGATAATGGTCGTGTCCTCGAACGCGACGAAGCCGTTGGCTACGAAGGGTGGTCAGCCAGTCTGTATACGAGTTCAGGACGAATTCTGGCAGCGGTATTACAGGTCACAGAGAACAGCTTTGCTGAGGCGGCATCTCGAATCTGCGATATGCGCCCAAATGCTCCGAAACCGTGTTGACGGTACGCATCCTTGAATGCTTCCCAGTGCACTGTGGGGAGGATTAGCAGAGTTTGCGAAAGCGATGAATGACCAGAGCTCACAGCGAATGGAGAACCAGATCAGGCCAATTGGGCGGAGGATGTTAGCAAGGCGCGGGCTGGGGGCCATGGTGATTGCCGTGGCACGATCTCGGACGATGTCGAACCTTGAAGCTGAGAAAATGGTGAGGACGGCAGGCGGGCGCTCAGTATTTTCGCAGGATGAGGTACAGACGCGGGATTGTGTGTCGGGGCGAAGAAAGGGCAGGAAGAGAGTAAGCACGTAGTGGCATGCTGCACAAGGCATGCAGCTGGTCGAGGATAAGCTCCATTTGATAGGTCATTGATCCGTACTCAAATGCCCCACATAGTCAGCCACCGTGCCAAGAAGGTATAGTGCTGCACTACAAGCGTGGCCAGCTGCAGGCTTTGGATTGCAACTCTTGTGTGCAGGGCAGCCATGGTGCTATCAGGGGTGCGACACAGGTGGAACAGCCCTGCAATTTCACTTATCACTACCTACAGTAAGCTCAAACTTCCCGCTTTTACTGGCAGGTCACCAGTGTATGCTCTGAAAGGTAGGTACACTCCTATGTGCCTATAAAACCCGATGGTGAGGTTAAGTTTGAGTTTTAATTAAAGAGGCTTTAAGCAATGTTATATGAACATATGTGTTTATTTTAAATTATTTTTGTTGTATTTTAATATAGCGGAGACTATTCTTATTGGGTGAGCTTGCACGTTTAGAACGAAATATGGGGACTATTGACGGGATGCAGTTCTGCCATAACTGTCCCTGGTAACCCTGCAGGCATGCTTTAGAATTTTGAACTGGTGTAGGGTTATACCCTAGCATATCAAGCTGAGGCTCCTACAGGACAGCAAGTCACGCCCCGCCGGCATCATCTGAAATCGGAGCCTACAACAGTGTAAGAAATAAAAAGCGCTGCCAGTGTGCAGCTTAGAGAGTTTATATATTCTGACAAACAGTACCCTCACCAGCCATCACCCGGCCTTGCACCCAGACAAAATTTACTCCGACACAGAGAACCATGTAGGCATGCTTTGTGAGCACTGCCTTAATACATTCGAAACCTTCATCCAGCACTTGGCCAATGACGTGAGACGTGGTCGGGGACTCTGGGAACAACCCACCACCGGCTACGCACCCGATGACATTATTGCACGTCAATCAAGCTGCTACATCTGCCATCAGCTCGCTAAGCTAGCTTTTGAACCCGAAGACCCTTCAGCAAGCATTGAATGGTTCAAATCAACCAACGATGACGGCTTAAATGGAGCGGCGGATCCTTTTCTTTTCCACTGCTTTGCTTTCCGGAAGGAGGTTCACCGGAAGGAGATGACACGCTTCACGATCCTGAACACAGAGGGTCAGTCAGACCAACACAAGATCTTCCTCTTATCCAAGACAAACTTATCGTGCGATAGAACAAGTGTTCTGTAGCAGATACGTCGGTGCCACTGGACCATAGGAAGCTCTGCGAGCACTTACGAAGTACCTCACATGGCAGCCTCCATCCCGGCAAGCATCCTCACGCACGATGCGGCGCGACATATCAGAGCAACTTGGATTGATGAATGTACAAGTCATCACAGCGGATGCCCCAAGGAGTACGCTGTCGACATGGAAAGCAGACCGAAGAGGCTCATACACGTGGCGATGGAGGGCGCGGGACCAAGTGCTCGGCTTGTCAACACCGTCAGCCTTTCTGATGACCTGCAATACCTTGCCCTGAGCCATTGCTGGGGCGGAAAGAAGTTTATTACGCTCCAGAAGAGTAACCTCGAGGACTTTGAGCGAAGTCTGCCTCTCGAAAGCCATGATTTCAACAAGACCTTTGCAGAGGCTATATCCATCACTGGGCTTCTTGGGTATACATACCTTTGGATCGATTCTCTGTGCATCATTCAAGACACAGACGAGCAGGGAACTATCGAAGACTGGGAAGACGAGATCCCTCGTATGGGGTTATCTACAAACATGCCGTGGTCACTTTGTCCTCGACTAGCTTCGCTCATGGATTTGATGGCATGCAATCAAGATCAAGATGGGCGGTTGTGCCGCCGCGGTTCAGAACAGGTCAAGGGAGAGAATATCTTGTTATATGGGGTCACATGTTGGACGATGAGTTTCCGCTGCAGTCCCGCGGTTGGGCTCTACAGGAGTCTCTTCTGGTAGGTCCTGCTACAGCAAAATCATCAGATGCAGTAAAGTGAACGAGACTGAAGTGCCTGGACTTAGTCTCCGAGAACCCTTCACCTCACGACGACCGGACTTATGTGGGAATGCTGCAGCCTAACGGCACATGAGTTGTGGACCAAAGGCGTGCCAACAAACGCTGAATTTACACACGACGTGCTCAACCATTTCCTAGACTTCGAAATTTCGTCTAATCTTTTGCTTTACTGGTCCAGTCGCAAGTGTTTTTTGGAAACTCCAAATCGAGTCGTCTCTCAGGATCACTCCGGGTGCGTTGTGTGCCACGATGCCGCCCTCATCAAGGAGCATACCACGTATTCACCTATCAAGCGGTGGTATGCAATTGTGGCAAATGAATTCGTTGCCAGACATTGTAGCCGCGATAGCGACAGACTCCCGGCGATTCAAGGCATCGGGAGCCATGTTCAGAAGCTGACGGGTTCGAAGTACTTGGCCGGTCATTTTGAATATCGACTCTTACAATCCTTGCTCTGGTTTCTCCACCCAGAAGACTACCAGCAGACAGTCAACGCTTCCTTCACACCATCCTGGTCCTGGGTATCCGTTAGAGGAAGGCGACCCGTGTTCACTGAAATCGGTATACACGATTCCTTGGAACCGCTTGCAGAGTATCTCGGCGCCACACTGTTGGAAAGTCCACGCGAGGGCAATCACCATGGCGCTGTGCAGCACTATAAGCTGCGCATTCGCGGATACATGATGAGACTAGGCTGCAGATCTGGATTGAGTGTCAAGCGCAGCCTGTTCGCGAGAGGGAGCCATGGCCACTACGAGCGTGATCTATCTTCTGCACGAGCAATACCTGCAGATTTGTCAACTCGCCAAATCGAGCTCAAGATTGAGATACGGCCAGATCAACCTTCCGGACTTGACGACGACATGTTTCGGGGCTCCCTAGAAATGTACGGTCCTTTTCATGAGGGGGGGGTGTGCTGCGATCCCCTCGATCCCGTCGATCAATCCATGTTTCTCCTACCCATAGGAGCAAGTTTTGGAGAAAGGGATTCGACAGACTTACGAGGCCTACTATTGCAACGTCTGGACGGGAATGGCGAAATATATAGGAGGATTGGAACTTTCCGATCACGTTACGATAGCTTCGTCAATGAGCTCACGCCGGAGGGGTTTGCGGCAGTTCAGTTTGAGAACCAGGAGGAAGAGACGGTCTGGATTAGGTGAAATCCTGACATTTGCTTCTATACGGAAGACCCGAGTAGAGGTGAAGACGGAAACGAACAAGTTGTATCCGATAATGCTACCTTCAATCAACTTCTAGTATACAAGATACCCATCACTACATTTGCGGCAATTGTCGCAGCATCCTCTATCAGGTTGAAATTTGTTTTCCTATGAAAGCCACCCAAAAACACTGAATCATTCACAACTCTGAATTTCATCCCGGGTATTCATTTCTCTTGGATCTTAGAGCTCATAGTTATATGATCGGAAAGTCTGCCGCACCCAGTTAACGAAACCAGGAGCGTTTTGCGTATCCACGTGTTCCAGATGGTCTTCCAGCAGACAAGCCGCATTGCTTATCTTCTCTGTCAGGATATCTCTCCATCGCTGTTGCAGTCAGCACCACTATTCTGTCAATACGGATAAGGGCATGTGCTGAAGTCTCACCTGGGCGTTCTTCCAGTCTCCCTTCTGCAAACTCTTGGTGAGCCCGGCCATAGGTGGCGGCGTGTTATGCCAGGCAGACGGCGTGAAGACAACATGGTGCCAATCAGAGTGTCCGTCCATTCCCTTTCCGTAGTAGAACTGGCGTTCGAATGCGATGTAGACTTTGTTCACGGCACTAATGGCGGAGTCCTGCCCGCATCCGGCCCAGAACTTCCACCATGCGCACCGAGAAGACCCTTCCAGGGAGCCGGCAAAGCCGTCAAAACGGCTGGCCGCCTCGTGCAGTCGCTCGACTGCGTCAGTCATGACCTTGAGATCAACCTTTCGAGACCACAGGCCACGATCATGGAGCTCCCCTAGCCACCCATGGATTGCCAGCGCGTAATCGGTGACACTCACGTTCAGCACCTTGGGCTCTACGAGGTGTGCCGCCAGGAGGGACCATATCTTCGCACTGGTGACATGGTACTTCCACCCCGGGTCACCGACTTGGTCCATCCATTCGAAGCTATCGAAGCCAGTGTGGTAAGGGAAGGCGGGCTCCAACAACGCGGGCGTGAATCCAAAGTCGATCGTTGACACACAGGGGATGGACATGAAGCGGTTTGCGTCACCGCTGCCGGCAGGATCGATCTTGCCTCCCCACACATCTCGTACGGACTGACCAGGTGAGCTTTGATTTGGCGACAGTACGGCGTCGGTGGCAGAGAGCACCGTGGAGTACAAGAGCGGGCTGGCCTTGGCGTGGAAATGGCTCCCGGATGCCGCGACGACGACGTTGAGATATGCGACGGCCGAGGTGCGCAGCCAGTCAAGGTGCTTGGTGACCCAGAGTAGGGAGCCAACCTGGAGAAACTCCTCTCCTTCGAAGCTTACGAAGACAATGGTGCGCTCCGGCTGCCAGCCCTGCTGGAGGGCTACCCCAAAGCTGCGAACGACCTCGTTGAGGGCAGCGGAGCCGCTGCCGGGATCTCCGGCGCCAGGGCCCCAGGCATCGCGGTGGTTGCCAACGATGACGACCTCGTCAGTTGCTTTGCCAGGAATAGTGCCGATCACATTGTGGATCTGGGTAGCCCGAATATCCGCGTGGTTGACGATGTGCAGAGAGAGCTCGGGAGGTGATGGGCCGACATTGTAGTTGACACCATAAAACCCCAACCCGCCCTCTTGCCAGCGATCACCGAGCTCCTTCGCTGGAGGGCCGTGGCCGTTCAGCTTGCTCAAGAGCTCGATTGCATCGACAGAGGACATGGGTATGCAGGGAATCTTAGGTAGTCCGCCGCTGTTGTAATCCTCTAGATGATATCGGTCAGCAAGACCTCATCACCACAGACTTGACATGAACACAACTTACCTATACTACCAAAACCTCCTCTTTCAATGGCCTCGAGCGGTCGCGCTGGTCCATCAGGGAACGGCTTGTACCCGTTACTCTCCCTCATAGGGCCGTCATTCCCGGGGTCAGTGTACAAGACCACACCGACCATGCCCGCTTGCTCAGCGTTGTGCACGGAGAGGGCACGAAACAACGACAAGTTCTGCTCGCGCACATATGGCGTTGCAGTACCCAGCTTGATGATGCCGATGTTTCCGGCGAGGCTCACATTGCTCTCAACGAGAGCCTCGAAGTCTTCCGGGCTACCGAAGTTGCAGAAGACGTAGGACCCAGAGATGTTGGCGTTGGCCGAAAAGCCAAAGTACGCAGGTGCAAAGCCGGCAGACGTGTTGGCGTCCACCAAAGGCGCCTCGTAGAGGACTTTGTCATTCTCCAAGAGAGCGAGCCGCTGCTGGTTTGTCGGCATGGGAAGCCGGGTGTCGTGGGAAGAAATGGTGGTATTTCCGATTCCAAATTCCTTCCACTTGGCCTGTGTCCATAGCGCCTGCTCCCAGCCTTGACCGGCAAGGTGCGTCTCTGACGTATAATACGCACTCCAGTTGCGTGCATGTTCATGAGAAGGAACGGAGAGCAGTGTTTGGCGTAAATCGAAAGTAGAAGGAGCAATGACGTTTGGGTGCTTGTAACAATACCACTTGTAACAAAAGAACACAAAAATGCCAATGGTCAAGGCAGACCACCTTGATGCTCCTGCACGCCTCGGCCGAGGAGCTGTGGACTGAGGTAGAGTGTCAACCTTCATACTGCTGATGAGACGATGACTGCTGTGTATCACCTTGTGCCGACAAGGAAAAGGTATTGTGAGCACCGCACAGGGTATGTGGGATCAAATCTCTAGTAATGAAAATGATGTCTCAGGCTCAGAGGACACGGAATAGAAGACAGGTGAGAGTAGTCAGATTCCATTTGATGAGGTAGGCTCAGGTTACCACGGTCTGGGTACAGCTGGCTTGGCTCGTCACCTAAACTCGATACCGGAATTAACAATGCATATCATATATCGAGGTCCTATCTAACGGGAGGTTGCACTAGTCACCCAGGTACCTGTACTTGACACCTTTGTCTTCGCCACAAGCCTGTCATCAGGAACGGTACCGACAGCCGGGGTTGAGGCATTCGCCGGGGTTGGATTCGTCGGATATGTCTCACGAGGCTCCGTTGTGTATGGTCCTCAGGGTTCTTTTGTCGCTCAGCTGAGTCGAGTGAATCCACAGATAAAGCCAATCGGACATTGAACCTCGGTGGTCTGATCGGCTGGACTTGCAGCAGGATTTTTATGCAGGGTCTTTACTACCGGCCTTTGTAGGATTCGAGTAGGGCTTACGGGCTAACCTAAGCGGCACAGTTTGCCGAGTTCCACTTTGTCTGACCCATCTTGCATCAGATCTGGCTGCAGGATTCAATCCTACAACCAACTCGTGGTTGAGCCACTAGTGGATAGTTCCAGAGCACCTCGTTTATGTCTATCCTCATAACACCAATACACTTGTTTGAAGGAACCTCATCATTTTCATAAGTTTCTTATTGCAAATGACAGTTACCGGGATTCACGGGATTCTCAGACTGTTATTGGATTAAAAGTCATTGTTAATACTTGCTGCTTACTGTAGACCTAAATTGCTAACATTTGAACTTGTCCTGCCTTTTCATTCCAAACGACTTGCCTCTGTGAACCATGACAATCCCAATACCCACCGAGGGCCTCAGCATGTCTATTATATTTGCTATTTTTTGCACGGTAGTACAGCATCACACTCCATGATTTCTGAATTATCCGATTCGGGTTGGTCACTGACACACCGAACCATAGGGCGCGTTATTGGTTCTAGGAACTGTGGTGTATAATCTCTGGTTTCACCCGCTGGCGAAATTTCCTGGGCCTAAGTGGAATGCCGTCTGGCATCTCCCAGCCTCGTACCAGTTTCTACGCGGGAACTTCCCGAGGTACCTGGTCTCACTTCATGAGCGCTACGGCGATGTTGTTCGCATCCGCCCCGGTACTCTGTCCTTCTCAAGCTCTCAGGCCAACAAAGACATCTTGATCAATAAGCTGGGACGTGATCAGCTGCAGAAAGACCCGGAATTGTACCATAAGTCGCCAAATGGAGCTCGTAGTATACTGAGTGTACTGAGCGATGAGGATCACAGCCGGTATCGTCGCCTTCTATCGCCTGGCTTCTCAGAGCGAGCCATACGGGATCAAGAGGTTGTTCTCAAAACCTATGTTGATCTGCTCATTCAGGGCTTGCACCAACGTGCCAAAGACGGACCTCAGGATATGGTTGCCTGGTTCAACTGGACGACTTTCGACGTGATTGGCGACTTGACCTTTGACCGGTCATTCGATTGCCTCCGGAACCAAGCCTACCACGAATGGATTCCGTTCGTCTTTGGCAGTGTAAAAGCCGTCATGATTCGAAGCGAACTCGCTCGTTACCCTCTCATTACCAGGTTCCTGATGTGGCTGGACCGTGAAAAGATTCTCGCGGCCAGAGAAAAGGGTTTCAAGTTTGCAAGAGAGCGGGTTGACCATCGCGTTGCGTCCGCCACCGATCGCCTGGATTTCTTGGCTCAGATACTTCGCCAAGAAGGGAAGCAAAGGGAAATGAGCCGCGCGGAGATTGAAGCAAGCTCTCAGCTCCTGATATTGGGCGGTAGCGACACGACAGCAACACTCCTCGCAGGCACGGTGTACTACTTGCTGCAGAACCCACAAGTCAAACAGAAGCTGGTGATCGAAATCAGAGATGCTTTCACGGACGAAGCCGATATAGACATAACGAGTTGCAACAAGCTACCATACCTTCTCGCGACCTTGGAGGAGGCTATGCGGATCTATCCTCCCGTCGCTCTTGGTTCTCCACGTATAGTCTCGGCCGAGGGTGCAGTGCTCGGGGGCTACCATGTGCCTCCAAAGGTAAGGCTTGCCACTTCTCTAAATGCAAGGGTTTCTCTATGATAACACCGATTTAGACACATGTTCTCAACAGCCAATACGTGGCTGCCCACCTTTGGAAGAACTTCCACAACCCGGAGTCCTTCGTTCCTGAGCGCTGGCTCCACGATCCGGCGTATGAGAATGACGACAAGGCGGCCAGCGTTCCTTTTTCTCTGGGCCCGCGGAACTGCATTGGAAAAACGTAGGTCACCACACAGAGAGGTCCCGTGTTTGGATCGAGTTAACACATACCTCAGTCTTGCGTATGCCGAGATGCGCCTGATAATGGCCCGGCTGTTATGGAATTTTGACCTCGATATTGGCCCAGATATCAGCACGTGGCTTGAGCGGAACAAGAATTGGACATTATGGGAGAAGCCACCTTTATCAGTGTTGGTGAAGTCAGTGCGATAACTGTTGAACAGTTCAGAGTCACGGTAAGGTAATGGCTACATGGAGTAATCAGTGGACTGTACTCTCTATTGTCCTTTATACATGTCCAAGGATGTCACACCGATCCTCGGAGACAGATATCTTTGGAAGGACTGTGGGCCAATATTATAGTTTCGCATCACTCAATGGAGCAGTCACGTATATCCATCATAGACATTGAAATGAATACGCATCCTTGCGATGAGTATAAGCGCAAGTACTTATTCCTTAAGCCTTGTTAGCTCTCTCATCCACGATCCTTTCGACGGAGTCAATGCGGCAACCCTCGCACCTATGGTATTCAAAATTCCAGATCCAAAGTTTTACTTGCCGGGAATGAGCAGCACGATCTGATCACAGTTCCAGGTTTCCCAGCCGACTCTTTCGCCTCCTTGCCAGCACTCTTTGACACTCGGGCTTCTCCTTTCAGAATCCTCACCTAACAAGTCCCACATTCTCCCACGCGACATGCTGACTCAGGATTTTCGCCTCTCCCCTCTTGCTCCATGAGCTCCAGCAGCGAGAGACCGTCACCCTTCTCCCAGCTGACCTCATTTCCCCGGAATCGCACAGTCGCTTCGTCAGGGAGATCCAAGCCGTCCGTGCCTGAGATTTCGTTTCCCACCGAAGAGGGGGGGGACCCGTATGTGAAGGTTTCTTGACGAATGGCGTTCGTTGGGACGTTGCACTGTTCAAGGGAGGTTCTCATATCCTCAACGAATGACCGCGATCCACATATGTAAGCATTGGACGCGTGACCTGGCAACTCGATCGGAGTGACTCCCAGTGGATCGATGTAGTACGACTCTCCCAATATGGGGGCTAGTTGTTCAAATGTCGGCCTTCCCTCGTGATCGTAGTCTCTGCCTCTGACATCCACGCCGGGTATCGGCGCAGTGTAGAATGTGATCGTACGGAGGAACGAAGAAGCCGCAATCTCGGATTTCAGTAGTGGGACCTCCTCCTCACTGTTTCGGCTGACGTGGATCAAGACAGCTTGTGTCTTGCTCAAGGTTGGATGGGCAAGATGAGCTTGGAGCATGGTTAGAATCGGTGTCACGCCGATTCCAGCACTGATGTAGACCTGTCGGCTTGGGGTTCCTTTTGCCCAATCAGGGACAAAGGCTCCAGACGGGGAGCGTGCCAAGATAATGTCACCAGCACGGACTTCGGAGTGAAGGTAAAGTGAGGCAGATGGTCCCCGCTTGACTGTGATGCGGTAGGAGGGCGGGACTGAGGTCGTTGTGGCGGGGGACCAGGAAGAGATGGACCAGCAGCGAATCTGGCCGGATGGAAGCTTAATCGTGAGGTACTGTCCTGGGACATAATCTGCCAAGGGCTTGTCATCGACTGGGGCGAGGTGGAATGACTTTACGAGCGGACACTCATCAACCACCCTGGTCACCTTGAGCGTCCGCCATCCGCGCCACCGATTCCGCCCCGCTGCTTCGGCATCCTCGATCATCGCCAGCCTGCGCGCAACGGTCTTCTTGTTCATGTTCTGGAGGCCCTCCACGCGCAGAATGCGCTGCGCCATTTTGCGGGTGTTGGGGTCTGTGAGCGGCGCAAACAAACACTGGGCAATGGTCGCCACAGGAGCAGTCTGTTTGCTCTTGGTTGTGATGACTGTTACCGTGTCGCCGGGGGATGTCGAGCCTCCGCCCACGACCTTCAGGTACACGCCGCAGAACCCTGTCCTCGCAGCCTCAGTCAGCCAGCTGGCCGGCTGTCCACATCGCCACGCGAGCCGTGAACACGGGCTCCGCCCACCGCAAACTTCGAGGACGACCGATTCGTCTCCCATTGCTAAACGTTCGTCGTCGGTACTGTCCACATGCCTCTTTCCCTTGTGTGAAGGGCTCGAGAACACCCAACGATCCCCGAGCATGATGTTGCTCTCGTCGATGCCTTCAGGCACATCTAGTGTCAAATTCTCTCCCCAAAAGGCCCAGTCCCATTGAGACCGCTCGATATTTAGACGTGCGGTCCAGTAATCGTAATGTTTTGAGAAAAAGGCATACACCTGCGGATCGTGTACAGCAGACTTGTGTCCCTCGATGCCGTACTCGGGGGTAAGAATTAACGGTGTAGTGGACGGAGATCGGACGATCGCTGTCAAGGTTGGCTGGGAATGTACCATTTGACTGACTACCCGCGAGCGCGAGACAGCCACAACAGTGAAAGGTTGAGGAGCGCATGACGACTGTTGGTCGATACGACCCTGATGAAGGGAGGGCATGGTTGGGAAATTATTGGTGTATGGTGTGCGATGAGTTATCTGCCCAGATGTAAGTCGGCGGAGCGGCCCATTGTTATATGGATTAAAGCACGCCGTCAGATGTCCAGAACAGAGCATATATCCACAATATTACAGGTAAGACAAGAGGTTGAAGTCGTGACGGGTCAGCACTTTATTCCGTTTGATAGAAGGTCCTGCTGACTAAAAGTCTTGCTAGTTAAGCAGACTTTAGCAAGGGCGCATCGTCGCGGGATGGGCAGCATCCTTCGAAGGTTGCACCCGGATGATCCATGGGCAATTCAGATTACCAATTACACCAGACCTGACTCTATTGGTCGCGCTAGTCCCCCAATTCTACCTCTGTACGAAGGGACATAATTGACCGCCTTGTTGCAAAATGTTTTTCACCAAGAAATATGACCGGATGAGCATATCCAGGAAGAGTGGCTGAAGGATAATTTAACATCTCTTAATTTTGCAGGTTTCGTCCATCCGATGGCAGACAGTCCAATGCACACTCCGGACGTAAAGAACCTCGCTGTTACATGGCCCTCGCGAAAACGTACTTATTTGGTCACACACAGGACTTTTTGGAATTTAATTGTTCATAGCTATTAGAAGACGTCATCCAGAATTTGCTTCAGTGTTTTGCATCAGCATGATCCCTAATGTTTTACCCAGTTAGCACAACATCATGGTAGCATTTATTAACAGCGGTGGTGTTTGGTGGGAAGACCAAGTATACCCACATGAGCCTGCTGCTTCGTCAAGGCCGGAGCATAGTTTTGTATTGAGCGCATCGTTTCTCGTACTCTGCACTTAATGTTGGAATATTCTAGATATCTAGGCTATTATTAATACGGGATATCCTTTTCCCTATACGTTTGCTACTATATAAAGGATAATAACTATAAATAGGGGCCTTCCCTCTTATAAAATAAATATTAACTAGCTTAATAAATTAAGCATTTAATATTATTAATAAGTTATAAGGCCTAAAGCTTACTTAAAGTAATAACGCTAACTTAATATAAAAAACATATATTACATAACACCCCTAATTGCTACCACTTCTTAAACCTTTTAAATAAGATAAGCTTTATACTTAAAGACATATTTTTTAACTAATTACTTAATTAAGCTAATTAATAAGCTTTTAACTAATTAAATCGCCTTATTTAATATTATAAATTAATTTCATCTCTTAACCCAAAGCCTATATATAAAAACCACACCTCCTCTACCTAAATACTCAACCGTTTCTTTATTAATACTTAACCTATCCATATAATTTATATATTATTTAAAAGCCCTTATTAAAAATAATAAAAGCATTTTTTTAAATTTCAAAAATCACACTAAATTAATACTAAAAACGTAAATTTTAATAAAACTATAATAATCCTTAAAACTCCCTTAAAAATACTTAATTATATCTTAGCTATTTTTAATTTATAATATCTTAAAAATATATTATTTAAAAGCCCTTTTTCTTCTCTTTATAACTATACTACTTTAATACTTATATCTTTATTTCTTAACTTATTAAACTTATTTAAAATTTATTATACCCTTCTTTTTATTATCTTAATTATCTTAATAAATACTTTATCTATTTACCTTAAAATAGCATCCCTTAATAAATATAATATTCCACTCCTTAATAAAATAGAAAACTATATATATTAAAATATTAAAATCTAAGCCTAATTTAAAAAAAAAACGCTATTAAAAATAATCCTAAGAATCTTTTTTAAGGCTTATCTTTAGCTTAAAATAAAAAAGCCTTTATTAATATTAAACTTATATATAAGCAAGAGCCTATTATATTTATAAAAAATATAAATAGTACTTAAAAAACGTAAAATATACTTAAATCTTACTATAAACCCTTTAAGTTTACAAGCTAATATTTACTTTATAAAGAGTTCTTTAATATTAATTTTAATAATTTTAAGATTATAAAAAAATATATTAATAAGCTAAAGCTCTTTTTAAAGAATTTAAAGGCTAATAATATAATTCTTCTTAAATAAATTATAATTAACTAAATTTTCCATAGCTTAAATAATAAATATATTAGCTTTATTTAAAATATAATTTAAAGTCTTAAAAAAGATTTAAATGCCTATATAATTAAATTTCTCTTCTTTAGCCTATTAAATAAAAATAAAGGAAAACTCTTTAAATTATTTAAAAAAGCTTTATATATGTTATGGGCTGGCCCTAGAGGGGCTGCAGGCTGGCTAGCGCCTTCTCCCATAAGCTGTAAAGCAGCAACCTTTTAACTAGGCCAAAAGGTATGTAATAATCCAAGCTCCCTTGGATTATTTAGCCATATTATATAAGGCTTGGGCTTTTAGCCCAAGCCTATCATATAGCCCTTTCCCCTAAGACCCCCCTTAATATAGTAGTATAATTACCCCTAAAGCTTACCCGCGATATCGCCTTTTTAAGCCAGGGATTTTCTTCACGAAAGGGGTGCCCGCATTTGCGGCAAACATAACTTAAACCCTTAACCCTAAAGCTTGGATTATTTATTATGGGCTGGCCCCAAAGGGGCTGTAGGCTGGCTAGCGCCTTCTCCCATAAGCTGCAAAGCAGCAACCTTTTAACTAGGCCAAAAGGTACGTAATAATCCAAGCTCCCTTGGATTATCTAGCCACACTATATAAGGCTTGGGCTTCTAGCCCAAGCCCATTACAATATATAAAAAATAAGAAAGATAAGAAAAAGATTATTATGCCTTAATTATAAAATAAAGAGGCATACTTAAGAAAATTGCTATTTCCTTTATTTAAATAAGGCACTTACCAACTGAAAAATAAATAAATAAAGAAAAGAAAAGAAAAAAACTACTCTTTTAAGGAAAAATATAAGCTAAAAAAAATAAGAGAAAATGCAAAAGCAACTCCTAACTTTATTAACTAATATAAAATCTCCTATAGCTTTAAAAAGCGCTTAGGAAGAACCTATAGCTTATATAGCTATAAATAATTCAATAAAAAATATTAAATATAATAAGAATTTATTAAATCTCTTATAACTCTCTTTTAATAAGTTAATGGAAATTAAAGTAAATAACCTTATATATACCCTATATATATATATAATAATAATAATAGCTAATAATAATAAATTTATAAGAAATTAATAATATATAAATTCCATAGAAATAGCTATAAATACTGCTGTAAATATAATAAGTTTTAAAGATATATACCTCTTTAATATTATATATATAATTAATAAAACCATGAAATAAGGTAATGTAAATATTATATCCATAAATAAAATAAGGAACTTAATAATTAAGTTTTTAAAAATAAATATTATAAAAAGATTTTTTTATATATATTATATACTTTTTTTAAGTTTAAATATACTTAAATATAAGTGTATAAGTAATAAAATCAAATTAAAATTAAAAGGAAATATTATTAAATTATACTTTTAAGAAATAAATAAGCTAATAACTTAAGGATATTAAAAAGATAGCTTATATTTTATAAGAATTAATATAATAAAATAAATAAACAAGCCTAAATATACCTTTTAAAAAATATATACAACTTAATAAAATTTAAATATAAATAATAAAAATAAAGAAGAGATATATAAATAGCATTATAAACTAAGCTATATAAATATCTAAGCTTTAAAAATATTTCTTTAAAAATATAAAATAAATATATTAATAAATAAACTTATTTAAAAATATATAGGCAATTATAAAGTATACTTAAAAGCTAAGCATATAATTAAAATAAATAAAACTAGCTTAAATAATTAAGTATATAATATACTTAAAAAAGTATATAATAATATAAGCAGTTTCTTAAAACCTATATATAATAAATATAAATATTATATATTATTTCTTAATAAAAGAACTTAATATTTAAAAGTTTCTTTGCTTAAAAATAAAGATAAAGTATTAAAAGCTTTTAATAATTATAAAAATAAGGTAGAAAATAAATATAATAAAAGAATAAAAGAATTCTTTACTAATAATAAAGGAGAATATATAAATAAAAGATTTAAAATCTTATTAAATAAATACTCCATAACTTACCATATAACGCCCCTATATATAAAAGAACTAAATGGCTTAATAAAAAGATTAAATCTAACCATAATAAATAAAGTTAAAAGCCTTTTATATACGGCAAATTTACCTATATATTTATAAAGAGAAGCAATAAAATATACTATATATTTATATAATATTACACCCTATAAAAGCCTAAGGTATAAGTGCCCTTATAAGATAATAAATAAAAAGAAACCTTATATAAATAACTTAAAATTATAGGAATTTATTATATATTTTTAAAATAATAATTATAAAACTAAATTAAAACCTAGAAATAAAAAGGATATATTATTAAATATAATCCCAAAATTAAATATATATTAAGTATGGGATATAAATAATAAAAAGCCTATATTAATTTAAGATATCCAAATATTAAAAGGGCAATATATAAATAATAACGATATTAATATTAATAATAATAATAATAATAATAATAATAATATATATATATTCCTAAAATTATAAGAACAAAGGGAAGAAAATTCCCCTTTTATTTTAAATGAAATAATAGTTCAAGGGAATCCAGAAGATTATATATATATTATATAAGATATACTATTAAATAATTAAATATCTATATTAAATACTTAAGAAAATATATTAAAATACTGCTTAACTATAACTAATATTAATAAACCTTTTTTTTTAAAAGAGGTATTAAATAACTTAAAAAAACCTTTATAGATTAAATTTATGCTAAATAAAATATATAGTTTATAAAAACAAAATACTTATATAATAATGGATTTACCATCTAGCTATATGGCTTTAGAGGGGAAATGAGTATATAAAAAGAAATTTATAAATAACCTAGTTATTATAAAGCTTAGTTAGGTAGTAAATAACAAGAATAATATTAAATTTAAATTTAAATGGGTTATTTAAGGATATAACCAAAAATTAGGCATAAATTATTTAGAGACTTTTTCTATAGTCTGCCGCCCTAAGACCTATATTATGCTATTAATAATAGTAATAAATAAAGGATATTATATATATAATTATAATATTAAAAATGCATTTCTATACTTTAATATTAATTTTAAAATATATATAAAATTACCTGCATATATATATAATAAACCAAAATATAAAAATAAAGTTGCAAAACTAAATAAAGCTTTATATAGGCTAAGACAATCACTTATGCTTTGATATAAATATTTAAAAAATATATTAACCAAGCTTGGATTTATTATTTGCCTATATAACGAAGGAGTATTTATATACTTTAATAAATAAATTATATTTATATGTCATATAAACGATATTATCGTTATAAGACCTAATAATAATAATATAAATTTAATAATTAATAAATTATATAAGAATATAAAATTAGATTTTTAAGGAGATTTAACAAATTTCTTTAAAAGCAATATATATATAAACAGAGAATATAAACAAATAATTATAAATCAAAATAAATATATAAATAAAATATTAAAAAGATTTAATATAAAAGAAAAGGTTAAGAAAAAGGAAATAATTCCTTAACTTACACTATATACTCTTAATAGAAAATTAAAAAAATATACTAACCAAGCTAATAAAAATATTATAGAATTATATTAGCAATAAATAAGGTTTATATTATATGCTAGCTTAAAAATAAGGATAGATTTAACCTATTTTATAAATGAATTAGCTAGATATATGGTAAACCCAGGATTAAAGTATATAAAAGAATTAAATAAAATATAAAGATATATATATAAATTCCCATATATATTTAAAGTATATAATTGCTTTAGAAATAATTTATAATTAATAAGCTATATAAATTTAAACTAAGGTAACGATATATTCATTAAAAAGAGCACCTTTAGTTATATATTTAGCCTATATAATATTAATAATAATAATAATAATAAAATAAACCCTATAAGCTAGAATTCTTAACTATAAAAAACACTAGCACTTTCCTTTATGGAAGTAAAATATATAGCTTTAAGAAAAGCTATAAAAAAAGCTAAATATTTATATAATTTACTTAAATATTTTAATAATAATTTAAATATTAGCTTTAATCTTAAGCCCCCTATTATATATATAAATAATAATAGGGCTAAGAAATTAATTAAAAATACTTTATTTTATAAAAGAATTAAATATATAAATATTGCATATCATTATATAAGAAAAGCAATAGAAAATAATAAAGTAATATTAAAATATATAAATTTTAAGCAGAATTTAGTAGATTGGCTTATAAAATTAATAGATAAACTATACTATAGAGAGTTTAAAGAAAAGTGTAGTTTAATAGAAAAATAATATAAATATTAAGCTAGAGAATAGAGAGATTTTTTATTTATATTATAATGCGCGTAAAATAAATTAAGGTGTTTACTTTTTAATAACTAGGGTTAAGATTTTTTCCTCTACTTATAAAATATATAAATAAATAAAGCAGATTTAATTATATATATATATAATATTACCCTAAATACTGGAGGTTTTCCCTTAGAAGAAATAATTAAAATAATAAAGGTTTTTCCTGAAAAATAAGCGTTACTTATACAGCCTATATATACTATATATATATATAGTTATAATATACCTATACTGCGTTTATATATGTTTAATTTTATATAGAAAACGTATTTCCATAGTGTATATAGTATAAATAAAATGATGTATAACTTTAATATATAAAAATGCCGTGATATATCGTAACTATTATAAAATAATTAGTAAATCCCATATAAAACCATAATTTAATATGTAATACCCTACTAGCTATAAGTTTAAGTTTAAGTGATAGCAAATTTTTGGGTTTTTTGCCTATATATATATATATATATATATATACTTATATAAGTGAGTTTTTTCCTTTTTATAAGGTTTTCTTATTATATAGCGAATATTCCTTTTTTATAAACTAAATCCCTTATATATATAAAATAAAATAAATAAAAGGAAATTAGTTTAAGGGGGGCTGTTGGAATATTTTAGATATCTAGGCTATTATTAATACGGGATATCCTTTTCCCTATATGTTTGCTATTGTATGGAGGATAATAACTATAAATAGGGGCCTTCCCTCCCGTAGAATAGACGTTAGCTAGCCTAATAGACCAAGCATCCAACGCTATTATTTGACACTCAACTGCTAAATTATTTTTACAATGTATGAAACATCATTCAATACTATCAGTAGACTAAACTGAAGACTTCTGGAAGCTACTGAGCTGACATTCTATCTTTCAAGACTCCATCCTCAAGCATTATAGTCGACCGTCGCCTCTCTGACTGCCTCTTCATATTCCCTCCATCCCATCCACTTCGTCTCCCGCTCTTGCGCCCCGAGCCACGCACGACATCTCTCTTCAATCAATTCCACATCAACATTGTTGACTGGCTGAAGTCCCCCGCCATACTCGATATCGACGGGGCCAAGGGCGCCTCGAATCATCTGTTCCACCTCTGAGAAAGACGTAGCCTTGTCACCAGTTGTGGTTCTCAGAGTCCAGGCATCCTGGAGAATACCCGCGATTGGCTCTGCACCAGGGGCGATAGCGTACTCCCCGCGCCGGACCTTTTCGCGCCACTGGATCCTTTCTGTCTGGCTATAACGTGCGTCGCCCAGTTGCTGAGCCTGCTCATCCGGGTCAACACCGGTAAGGATGTAGTGTAGACAAGACGCGAGGCGCTGGTGGGCACTTCCTATGTTTTGGCGTATAACCTCGGCACTAGGAATGGGCTCGTCCGCGGCCGTTTCTTCATGTCCCTGGACTCCTGGATAAGAACGGCGTGGCGAGGCGCCGAACCCCATCAGCTTAAGTCGTCCGTTTCTGCAATTCCAATTTAGCCACTCGTGATTTGTATCTGGATCAGAATCGTTGTCAAGCACACGGCTGAGACACTGCTGACGTGTAGGGTGGAAATGTCCCATCAGGCATGGGGAAGCACGGTGCTGGGGCGAGTATGGCGAGGTGTCATTGTACACAATGTTAGAACGTACTTATCAAGCCCTAGATCTTGGGCACATGCATGCGTGGGTATGAGCCCGAGCGATTCGAGATGCGCAAAGGCCGAAGCGAGCTCGACAACCGAGCGTCGTCGACAAGTCATATTGGACTCAGCCAAGGCTGTACTCAGTGGATCAAGTCTCTCGAAGAACAGTATACCTTCCAGTATATCTGAATCCTTGACTCCGCGGACATCTAGGCAACGAACCAGGTTAGGATGTGGCGAAGATTGCAAGATGGTAAAGACCTGCCGTTCAAGCTGTGTACCCGTGAAGTTGGCGAGCCCGAGTTCTAGGAGCACACGATCTCCCGGTAAGGGGACATTGGGGATATGGTACTGCTTTTGAGCTTTTAAGACAAGGTGCTCATCTAAGAAGAAGACTGCTGAGCGGTTAAAGCCTTGCCAGACATGGGGAATGGATGGCTCGACCCTGAGCGGAATGATCTCCGCCTTGAATGGATTGATGGGCGAGCCGTGATTTAGAGCCTCAGGAGGAAGAGCTCGGCCTCGTTCGAAAGCTTCAAGGGAATCCATGATACAGAAGATGAGTGAAAGAAGAAAATGGGAAGATAGTGTTAAAATTGATGGCCTAATGGTACCCCAAGGGGGATGACGGCTTTTAAATCCACACCACAGCCCGAACCCTTGGTAGACTAAGACCTAGGTTTGGCACTGCCTTACGGTAGCCTGAGGTGAGATGCTGCTGCTTACTATCTCATCCGCTAAAGAGACACCCTGCTCCTACCAATCATGCCCTGGCTCTGCTACACGCCCTCCGGCCAATGGCCATGTGGCTGCTTGAGGAAGGTCTGGATCGAGCTGTGGTCACGCCGCTCGCTTGCTTCCAACAGAAAATCCTCTTCACATGTATGCTATGACCCGGTCTAACGGTGGTGGCGCCAACTGTCACGGGCGCCGTTACCGCGTTGCCTACTGCGTTGCCTCTGTCTTTGGGTCTGACGTCCACAACACGAAAGGCAAGGACGTGCATATGCACGCGATGAACCTTAATTGTTTCGACACCAGAGACCTTGAAGCTGACATGCTTCGCAGTTTTTGAGGCCTGCGAACAAAACAAAAACATGTACCGCCAACTGGTGAGGTAGAATTGCAGTGTACTGTGTCTACAAAGTCTGTAAACAAAAACTGAGGAAAGTCACATCCACATGCTGCGGCCACTGATGGTCCCTCGAAAAGCTAGATATCTAGATACTGACTCCTAACGGGTGACATAACTAACTCTACATATGTGAGTAGCCTATGGCAGCCTCACCAGAGTCTCGGCAATCAATACGCTCGTCCGTCTCCTATTCTTCGGTCAATATCAATCCAGACGGCTCTCGAGCGAATTTCTGCTTACTTCTTTGTTAGTGAGCTAGTGTGACAGCATTTAATGTGGTGGATTTGTACCATGTATGAGGTAACCCATTTGCAGGGAGATAACACACGGCTTCCGGGTGACAGCAAACTATCCGCAGAATCAGATTCACCGTGGTACTCAGTTTTGAGAGCGCACCGATCGGACGTTGCACAGCAGGAACCACTGCGGGGGATCTCGGATTGTGCCGATCCAATTTCTCGTTCATGTGATGCGGTGCACAATCACTTTCCTCACACGAGTATGAGACATGGGGCTGAGTTGGTGCATCTGTGTACCCTCCCCCACGTTTATGTAATTATCAAGTGGCAGTGCTCTGCTTGTCGGAGTGTTCAGTACCCCCGCTACAACCTCCGCACTCTTTTTCTACACCTTTGATGAAGTGAAATCGAGATAGGTTGATAATTCTGTTGCCAGATCTGTGGCGGTACGGTCCTAGGATTTCTAATGCACACTGCCCATCATGCTGTGATTCAACTTCATTGCCTCGCTGGAGCACGCAGCTTCAAAGATGCACACTATTCACACACGTGCAGAGGTTGAACACCGTCATTCAAATCTACCCTGATCAACCCAATAATCGATCGATGTTTTAGCGAGAGAGGGGCTTCTTCTGCAGAGTGTCGCCGACGGGGACCACAGCGCAGTTGGTAAACGCCACACGAGCGCTTTCCGCACCGCCAATCCAATAGTCTCCTCTCGATCCGGACCGCACCTATGCACAAGACAAAAACGGGTACCAATGCATTGGCCTCATTCCAATTGCACGCACTCTTTATGGTCCTTCCAAGCTACACTAGAATATGCTGTTCGGCAAAGTTCCGTGTTCGTCCGCTGAGATGAACAACGCACATATGCACTGTTACCACTGAAGCTTGATTCGCAGCACGGAAAACACATCGGAGGACGATCTTGCAGGAAACTATGACGAAGAGGCATGTTGGAAGTGACACATTGCGTAAAGTACCGCTCATTCCATGCAGTCCCCTCTCGGGCACTGGACGTTGTTGGTTGCATCTGGTCGTCATTGAAGACGGGAGGAATAGGATGAACAGGAAGTAATGGGCAGCTCAAGGAGCCCTTCCAAGATGAGGAATGGGGCATAAAAAGGCACAAATGGAACCCTTTTCACAGTCTCGTTTCCTGTATCAAACCTCATCTCTTCTAAACCCGCAAACCGTCACAAGAACCGAACATGGCCACTTTCAACGTGGGCGGAGCTACCTTCCAGAGCGGCATCAACGTGCCCGGCTTCGGAAAGGCAAGCGGGAGCAGTGGATTGAAGATCCCCAAGGTCGGAAGTGTCTCCTCAAACATTGGCATCGACCTGTCTAAAGGAGTCAACGGCCTCACTGGAGACATCAAGCTCACCAAAGACAAGGGAAATGTCTTTCGCAGTGGAGCCACGGACGCAGAGACCGTCAATGACATCTCCCACCAGGCTGTCTGCTCCTACTTCATAGGCCCGCAAGCCGAGAACATGAAGTTCTTCAGGAAGAACATGGACGAAATCCTCAACCAACTCGAGCAGTCGAGGGTGAACTACTTTCCTGAAGACGGCGTCAGTCTCCACCATTCGTAACCTTTCTTAGAACGCAGGATCGAGATAATTGACAAATTTGCCATCTCGACAGGCTTTCATCACGGAGCAGATTCAGAACTCGGCAGAGTTCCAGGACCGTACTACGGCCGTTGCCAACGCCGTTCGCAAGACAGGAGAGCTATTAGGCAAACACTCGATCCCGTTCTGGTCACCTCGCTATCAGGCGCACATGTGTATGGATATGTCTATGCCGGCACTTCTTGGATACTTCACCAGTGCGTTTAATCTCTTTTTTCTGTTTCGTTTGACTACACCTCTGTATAGCAATTTTCTCAAAGTTTCGGAACACATCATTCTAGGGTATTTATCAGTTTACTAACAAACAATAGCGATGCTGTACAACCCAAACAATGTTGCCTTGTGAGTCAAACTTCAACTTGGTTTCATGACGCCCTGGTCCCCTTCATTTCCCAGGACATGGGGGGCCGTATAGTTCAACAGGAACAATTGAATTTCGTTGTTCTCATCACTCAGTCATTCTTCGTTCCTGCCTTCGGTGGGCGATGAGTCTTCCTTGAGAGGAATCAAGCTAATACCATGGTTTGTTCAGCGAGGCATCACCGCTCTCCACGTTGGCAGAGATCAAGGTTGGAGAGCAGCTGTGTGAAATGTTCGGATACAACGTCAGCGTTGAAGCAAAGGGCAATAGGCCCAATGATTCGAGGCCGAGCCCCTGGGGCCATGTCACATGCGACGGTACTATTGCCAACTTGGAGTCAATGTGGTAAGCCCCAGACCTCAAAATTCAACTTTTCTGGGATCATCACACTGACTGGTACAGGGCTGGTGAGTATTACCTTTATGGCCCAGTTCGGCGCTTCCTGGCTCAATTCAGGTCCTTACAACCTTGGAAATGCAGCAAGAAATCTCAAATTCTATCCCCTCTCGCTTCGCATGGCTCTCGACGGACCACTGAAGAATGTTGGCGAGACATTCACAGTCGTCAACGCCCAGAACAAGGAAGACCTGTTGGTCAACATGCCGACATGGGACCTTCTCAACCTGAAGGTAGAGACCATACTCGATCTCCCAGATCGCTTGAATCGTGATTACGGTATTTCTTCCAAGTATCTGGAGAAAGTGATGGATGATTATGGGATCCAATCCCTGGGGAAGGATGAAATCGAGAAACAGTTCGGCATCGAAAAGCCAGCACAGTACATGCTGTCCAGCACACGGCACTATTCCTGGCCTAAAGCAGCAGGTACGTCCTGTCGTTCAACTTTGAGTTGATAATGCCCTCCATTGACAATCATCGATGATAATTATAGCCATCGCTGGGATTGGATCTCAAAATGTGGTCAGCATCGCGGTCGACCATGGCGCACGCCTCGACCTGTCCAAGCTCGAGGAGCAGCTTGAGCTCAGCCTCAAGGAAAAGCAGCCGGTGTATGCTGTAGTCGCAATTATGGGGACGACCGAAGAAGGCGCGGTCGACCCACTTGGCGAGGTACTCAACATGCGACGCCGCTTCCAGGCTCGCGGTCTCTCCTTTGTCGTCCACGCCGACGCGGCCTGGGGAGGATACTTTGCTTCAATGCTTCCGAAGGATTATCTCCCCGGAAGCAAATTCTCGGGCCCTCTGCCGATCGGGCTGGGACCAGCTACGGGATTCGTGCCGGACAGCGGTCTGCGGCCCGATACCCAAGATGACCTCTGGTGGCTGCGGCATGCAGACTCCATCACTGTCGATCCACACAAAGCTGGGTACATCCCCTACCCTGCGGGTGGGCTGTGCTACAAGGACGGACGGATGCGGTACCAGCTCACTTGGACGAGTCCCTATCTGTCACAGGGATCGACTGAGAGTATTGGAATATATGGGGTGGAGGGAAGGCAAGTCGATTTCTATGCATATAACCAGTCTTCTAGGGGATGGCACCAAGGTGACTGACCAGTGCACAGCAAGCCGGGAGCTTCAGCCGTATCCACATACCTTGCCAACAGTTGCATTGGGCTCAACCCCGATGGCTACGGCGCACTGCTAGGGGAGGTCACCTTCACGTGTAGTCGGGTAAGCAAGATGCTCGTTTGGCTGCTCACTGTTGAAATTTCAGGATAATCTGAGTAAATTTCCGTAGTTATCGGCACAATGGGCAGCCATGACTGATGACAGCATGCCATTCACGGTCATCCCTTTCAACATGCTCCCCTCCGAGCTGGCGGATGATGCAACTGAGGAGTCTATCGAGGCCGAGAGACAATGGATCCGAGACAACATCCTCTCCGCCTCCAACCTCGAGATTGTGACCAACACCAGCACCAGCCCGGGGGGCGATGATGCCCTCACCCTTCTCCGAAAGTTGGGATCGGACCTGAACATCAACGCGTTTGCTTGCAACTTCAAATACAGCAATGGGGACTTGAACACTGACGTTCTTGAGGCAAACTACTTCATGCAGCGCATCGTTGAGAGCCTCTCGGTGGACTCTCCCGGCGACGACCCGACAAAGATCCCTCTCTATCTCACCTCCACGGAGTTCTCGACGGATCTCTATGGAGAATGCGCGGCCAAATTCAAGGAGAGACTCGGTCTCAAGGATGACAAACAAGATCTATTTGTGCTGCGCAATGTCGTCATGTCTCCGTTCCCCACCGAGAAAGACTTCATTGCCGAACTGGCTGGCATCTTCAAGAAAGTCGCGTTGGAAGCAGTCGACGTGAGTCGTCCAAGCGGATTATGTTCTTCTCTTCCACCTTCGTGAAAGGCCACAGACTGACATTATTTGTGATTGATAAGGTCTCCCGCGGTCGTAATGAAGAAACCAAGGGTATTCACTCCTTCCTGATGCAAGGCGAGAACCCGGTCTGTCTCCTCCACAATCCCAGTTTCCATGTGGCAAATCACCGGCGGCAGACGGTCTTGGAAGTTGAACTCCCACAGGCTGCCCAGGAATGGTATTCCACACTTAGGTCTCAGTACCCTGGAGAGATCTTCACCTTCAAGACAGTCAAGGATGTCGATCTCACCGAAGCGATCAAGAGCGGCGGAGCCCTGACTGGCTTCATCACCTCCGGTGCCTCGTGAGTCCATCCACCATGAGATGGACCCTTGACCATAATGGGTGAACAGGACCGACTGACCATGGGCCCATGGCCTATCTAGTTACGGTGCTCCCATGCTGCCAAACTTCACTCTGAACATCACTCAACCCACCGTGGACCGCCACCTCAACGGCCTATACCTCGCCTCCAGCTACCCCACGGGCCGCATGCCCTTCTACCTCTACGGAAGCGACACGGAGCACCACATCGACCACGCCCTCCTCACGTCGCCCAACATCCAGCTCTCGGCCGCAGACGTCAAGCTGGACCTCTCCCGCTCGTCACCACCGCCATCAGATGCCAAGCGACCTCTCGTCCTGATGCTCGACAACGTCCGGGAGGAGCAGATGCAGCCCTTCCCCAGCGAGAACTCCGTCCTCGCCTCGCTGCCCGACTTCTTCTTCCGCCCCGGCAAGGAGTTCGAGGTCAGCGTCTGGGAGGACCCCACACCTGGGGGTAATGACGCCGAGCACACGCTGAGCGCCTGGGGTGCGCTCGGGCGTGATGGCAGCGAGGACGGGCTTGTCGGCAGGGGGACGATGGTCCTTGGCGAGTCCGTCTTCGTGGACGCTGAGCACCTCAACTTTGACCCGTACAAGAGGGTTGATGATGTTGGGGCCTGGACTGAGGAGTTTGAGAAGATTGGGAAGGAGCTGCACAAGTGAGCGAGAAAGTGACTGGGTCAGGACTTTCGTGGCATGGCGAGGATTCAACATGAGACTGTCTGGTGAGAACGACACATTTTTCTTGGTTTGGGGTTCGAAATTGGCAATGAATAGTAGTACCTGCATTTGTACCTAGGTCAAGAATGAATAGTGAATACCTAGCACTGTATTGCTTTTTGAGATACTCTGGTCCCAAGACGGAAATTTGTACCATTGCGGTAAATGTGCGAGACCTTGCACATGTTCTCGTACCCTCGCCTCCCATGTCGTCACAGATGAGGTTTTTTCGCGTGCTTGCTTTGCCTCGGGTATACCAGTCACATAATCCACCTCCGAATTATAGACATGGACGGCAAGGCTAAAAGCCTGGGTAAGGCTTTTCGTGGTTGACTGCAATCAGGGGCTATAGGACGGTGGCAAAATTCGACCTGGCATTCGCCGCGCGCGCAGTTGAAAGGGGAATTTGGCTTGAAGAATGGCTGAAATCCTAGGTCCACATTCATAACACCGCGGTACCCCGCGAGGTTACTTCCAGGCCTTAATGTACAAAGGGTCAATAGACCATTGCACTCTACAACGACAATCCTCCTCGCCGTCATACAGAGACAGCATGAAACATAGAATGAGTGGCAAGTACAACGCCTAGACTTGGTGGAGGCAAGTCAAAACGAAAACACACCATAGTGTCCACTCCCCGTCATCACACGTAACCAATCCCACTAATGTGAGCATTTCTCATTAGGAAACACATCTTATCAGCGGCGAGGTCCGCGGCGAGCTACTCCGCGGACCATCACCGGACGCATGAGGACCCACCGCCGGCCCACCTATCTAGCATTGCAACAGTACAAGATTTTTGGTGGATCGTAAGGGCGTGTGAGTGATATATAAAGATGGATCCCTTGGCATGGACGGTTTCCAAAGAAAAACATATGAGGCACCACCAAGCCCAAAATGTCGTCGCCACCCCAGGTAGCCGTGTTTGAGCAGCTGGGACCTACGTCCGCAACCGATCTGAGCGAAAAGAAGCAAGCCTCGGGCGCTGCCGCGGCGCCTCTGGATGGAGGGGGTGGACGGAAGAGTTCCCGCACGACATCGATATTTGCAGTGGCAGGCTGTGTGAGTCCTCGAGGCCCTGCTCAACCAATGGGAAAGAAATCAGCTGACAAGAGAACTTGATCCTGTCGCACAGACGGCAGCCAACTTCTCCGATGGCTACCAGCAGCACGTCGCCTCCACGGTGAACGTCATCTTCGCGCACATGCTCGGCAATCAGTACACATCAGACGACAAGACGAGGATCTCCAACGCCCTGATCGTCGGGCAGGTCTTTGGGATCCTGCTTCTGGGCTTCGTCACGGACTGGTGGTCGCGAAAGGCGGGTATGGTCTTCACCTCGTCGCTTGTCGTGATCGGAAGCCTGATGGCCACACTGGCGCTCAGGGTCGAGCGCCTGGGCGTTGAGAATATGCTATGGTATCTTACCATCGTCCGTGGCATGGCTGGGGTTGGTGTTGGGGGCGAATTCCCAGCCGGAGCGGCTGTGAGTTCACCCATACCCAAGTGTTGGGCTAGTGTCGTGATGCTAACTTCTGCCGTTAGGCCGCCTGCGAAGGAATGGAGGATTACAAGCCCAAGTCCCGCGGCCCCGTCTTCGTGTGCGCGACGACATTCATCACCTGCTGGGGAGGGCCAGTCTGCGTGTTCGTGTATCTGATGACTCTGATTGCATCCAACAACAACCTCGACACGACGTACATCGCGGTCAACGCCGTCTCGGTCATTCTCCCGCTATTTGTCTTCATGTTCCGCCTCCGCATGCAGGACTCGAGGCTTTTCCAACGGTCCAACTTCAAGTCGACGAAGACGGTCAGGATCCCGCTCCGGCTTATCTTCAAGAGATACTGGGTCCGCCTCCTGGGCACCGGCGGCGCGTTCTTCATCTACGACTTTGTTAACTTCCCGAACAGTATCATGTCCAGCACGATTATTAACTCCCTGGTGCCGGGCAAGGCCCTACAGACGGTGGCCATGTGGCAGCTCATCCTCTCCCTGATGACGCTGCCGGGCGTGTTTGTCGGCATCTTCCTCGTCAACAAGCTGGGCCGCCGGTGGACCGGGATCCTGGGGTTTGGCGGCTACCTGCTCGTCGGCCTGATCGTCGGGTGTTCATTCGCGCAGATCACCGAGGTCATCCCGGCGTTTGTCGTCATGTACGGACTGATGCAGAGCCTGGGGCACATGGGACCTGGTGCGACCCTCGGGCTCGTGTCGACAGAGTCGTACCCGACTGCCATCCGAGGTGTCTGCTATGCGATTTCAGCGGCCCTGGGCAAGGCGGGCGCCGCCGTTGGGACGGAGGTGTTCACGCCTATCAAGGAGAACTTTGGCCAGAGGTGGACCTTCTTCTTCGCAGCCGTCTTCGGTGCTGTTGGAATGGCTGTGTACTGGTAGGTCTTGTGGTTGACCAGCCATGTTTGGAAGTTACAGCTTTTGCTAACACTGGACTCCAGGTTCATGATCGAAGACATGACGCAGGCAGATCTCTTGGCTGAGGACAAGGCATTTGAGATATACCTGAAGGACAACGGATGGGAGGATGAAATGTTGGAAAACGCTGAGCATAAGGAGTGAGTGGCATGGAAGGTTTGGAGGTTTCAATGTCAATACTGGCCAGTCGCCCCGCGCAATAGGCGCTGTGGTCGTAAAAGACACCCGCGCTACTAGTACCGCGTACTTGACTGTCTTGGGCACTTGACCAAATGTGGCGCCTTGTAAGGAGTCAAGTCAAAAAAAGCATCACTGCCAAATTTTGCGCCGCCGGAATGACACCGCGTAGACATGTATCACAACTTCATGTTGTTTGCAAATTGCTCTCGCAAGAGAATACAAAAGAACCCGCCCTGACTATCGAACGTAGTAGGCTGGAGGTACGACGTCCTTAATAACCTCCCTCTGTCTGGAACTGCAAAATGGATGCAGTACGGGGAGCCTTGGACCAAATATGTGCTTTACAGGGCCTATAAGAGGACTATGCAGGGGTCGAACCTGCAATCTCCTGATTGCGAATATCTCGTGAGAGGATCACGAGTCGTAGTCAGACGCCTTGCCATTGGGCCAATAGTCCTGTTGTTGATGGATGGGGAGGTCGAACCGAGTTTTACAAAGGAGAGAAAAGTCTGTAGGGAGAGTGGGGCGGGAGTTCTGTTATAGCTTGCCGGGTGGGGCGCCACAGTCGGGAGACGGAAAGCGGGTATGACACTGTGTGTGAACCGTGCTCATACTAAGCAGGCGCCCGAAAATCCAGGCAGATAAGCCGGGGTGACGAAGTAATGTGGATAAATGGGGTAAAGGAGTGGGAAGGATGGATGTCAGGATGGATGTGCGGGTGGTCATGGTCTTAGCTTGCGGCGTAGCACACCAGGTCGTGCAGTAAGTAGTGCAGTAAGACAAGACAAGCTTCGACAAGCTTTTTGGTTGCCTCTGGATTGGGTGCATTGGGGCGAGGTGGAACGAACCCGACGGGGTGGGCGGTGCAGAGTACTAGGCTGAGAAGTTGATCTGTGCTGGTCTGCGAGGGACAGAATTAAGGTACCGAATTATATTGGCCGACCACGGAAGCGCATTGCAGATGCAGATGCAGATGCTGGGCCAACGGGAACGCGGTATTCACCATGCACGGTTGGTTTCCCGTTTGGGTGACTTGGGGAATTTGGCACTGGCTCTGGCATTGAATGTAACTGACTGCGTGGTGCCTTTTGTCAAACGAGGACTAGCTCCGCAGCCGAAGAGAAAGACGGGACCGTTTTTCGAGACAAGCTTTTGGGAAAACGGAACCCTGTCACCCGGGCGCTGCCCTATTGGCCCCACAGCCCCACTGGTGCGATACCGAGCGCGATCCCGCTACACGGCCCCTGCCACAGGATGCACATCCCTGCCGTGGCTGACATGTCCAGCCAACGGGCTCGACGCAATCACGGTCTCAGCCCAGCCAGCTTTGACAATGCGGAACGAAGTCTTGTCAGACTGTGCAGATGAGGGCGTCGTAGCCTACCGTGATGACAACCGCAGCTGGGTTACTAGAATAAAAGAGAAAATGGCCACTCCTGTCCCTACTCTCGTTCCCATTCCTAATCCCATTCAATGGTCCCATTCCTCGCTGCTGCTCCTCAACTTCCGTCCTAGACCTTTTTCCATATACCGCACCCATCTCCCTTACACCATTTGCCTCTCTTCTACTAAGATACCCGTCAAGACCTTGGCATCACCTGTCCAATCCCTCAACAGTGCAGTTCCCAAAATTCTCAAGCAGTAGTGGTGGCAACAAACAAACCCCCAGCCATGGCTGCACCGCTCTACGACCGCATGGTCGCCAGCCTGCCTCGACTGGTGGGCCGGTCCGACGACTTCGAGCCATACAACTACACAAGCAAGAACGGCCATGTGTGCGCCATGCCCCGGCCGCTGACCAACACCGAGACCGCCAAGCTGGCCGGCGGCCATGATTTCTTCACCATCAACCAGATCATCACCGGCGCCTGTGCCTGCTTCACCCTGCTCAGCCTGTTCATCCTCATGTTCAGACATGCAACCCACCTGTCGAGGCCCAACGAGCAGCTCAACATCCTGAGGATCTGCTGCTACCTGCCCGTCTTCGCCGTCGGCTGCTTCCTCGAGGTCTCCTTCCCGAATGCCTACGTCTACATCAACCCCTGGCTCGACTTTGTCCAGGCCATCGCCCTGTGCAACTTCTTCCTCCTCATGTGCCAGTTCGTGTCCCCCTCGGACCAGCACCGCGAGGTCTTCTTCGCCGCCCTCAAGGTGCCGCAGAAGAATAAGAAGAGCAGCGCTGGTCGGCGGGGCAGAGGCCGTCGCGGGGACCATGGCCCGCAGCCTGAGGTCGAAGAGGAGCCCATCAACGGCCTCGAGTGGTACCGCAAGATGTGGATGCTCATCTTCCAGTACCCGGCCGTCCAGGCGCTCGTGGCCATCTTCACCGCCATCTTCGAGTCGCAGGGCGTCTACTGCCTCGTGAGCAGCAAGCCCTACTTTGGCCATCTCTGGCTCGACATCATCCACAATGTCAGCTTGACACTGGCAATCATGTCCTGTCTGAGGCTCTACGGTGCTCTCAAGGGGCGTCTGGCGCACCACAAGCCCCTCGCCAAGCTGGCTGCGTTCAAACTGCTTGTCGCCATCACCGGTATCATCCAGGTAGGTCCCCACAAGGCTCCGATCCACCCCTCAAAATCACACAGTACAGCCAGACTAACAACATGAACCCTCGTTCCCAGCTCATCTACTGGATCCTCCGCTCCATCAGCCCCTCCCCCCTCAAGCCAACAGCCTACTTCTCCTGGTCCGACGACTTCATCGGCATCCCGGTCATGGTCATGGCCCTGCTCACCGTCCCCTTCTCCATCTTCTTCCACTTCGCCTACGACGTGAAGCCCTACTACCTCGAGAACGCCGGCAAGCACATGCCCCTCGCCCAGGCCGACCTCGAGTCCGGCACCTCGGCCGGCGGCTCCCCGCCGCCTCCCCACAAGCCCGCCGGCCCTTACGCCGCCGTCGGCGCCGCGGGCACGAGGTACCAGGGTGGCTTCCTCGGCGTCTGGGCCTGGCTTGGTTTGCTTAACCCTAGCGAGCTTATCTCTGGCTTCATCTTTGGCTTTACCATGTTGAGTAAGGAGAACCGCAAGGTTGGTGTCACGACCGTCCGGAGGGCTCAGACTGGGGAGTTCGGCCAGGCTTGAGGGGTCTAGAGCTATTTGGTGTGTGGTGGTGAGCTCTGTGGGAGGCTCGAGGTACTTCAATTTTGGTATGGGGGACCCAGTGGTAGCGGAATGACGATTCTTGGAATTGACGAAGGAGTGATGTTTCCGATTTTTCTTTTCGTTGTAATTTGTTTTCGAAACACCAAAACCAGTCTGGAGTTTGGGTTACTTGGTGCCTGTTTGTTGGACACCGGCTCGACGGCACGAGGCGTTCTCCTGGGACTTTTTGTGGACCTGCGTCCAGATGAGTGTGTTTGTTGATACGATCTATCATACCCTTGTTAGAACCATGTTCTGAATTTTGCTAGCGAATCAAGACTGTACTGCTGAGAAGACTCGATCCATCTCATTTACTTACTGTTCTGTCCTCGTGTCCAACTACTCTTTGACACGTGTGCAGGTCAAGCGATGGGCCCGACAAACATAACCACGACGCTCTCATATTTACGCGGTGTTGCACGCAGCGCTGCGCCTCCATTATCATCTCATACGTCTCCAGTAAAAGCAGTCTGCTGAATCTTGCGCTGCTTGCGCCACTCCTCAGCGTACCTAACACCAAACCCATGCTGAAACACAACGCGAACCTCCTCAAGCGTCATGTTCGCCGCCTCAGAGAAGCAGAAATACACAAAGACCCAGCCGAGGAAAGACAGGCCAGCGTAGAACCAGAACGTGCCAGAGGGCGTCATGTTCCGCATCATGGTCAGGAACGTGGCCGAGACGACGATGTTGGGCCCCCAGTTGGAGATATTGATCAGCGTGGTACCCATGGCCCGGACCTCCATCGGCAGGAACTCGTTCGCCTGCCACGGCACGCAACCGAGGCCGGCGGCATAGAAGGCGACGAACAGGATCATCATGACGAGCACCACGTAGGCCGGCCAGCCGATGTTCGTTTCTGTGGGCTCCAGGGTGTTTAGGTCTAGAGGGATCCAGTGGAAGGCGACGGCCGCGATGACCAGGCAGACGGGCATTCCCCACATTGTCCAGAGCAGAATCCTACGCCGACCTGTGCGGTCAATGAGGAAGATTGAAAGGACGGTACGGCGACGACGGTCTCGACTGTGATACTAGTAGGGTTCGGGAACCCCGCGATATCGAAGAGCGTTGAGGAGTAGTACATGAGTGTATTGAAGCCGCAGAACTGCTGAAACGCCATGATCCCACACGCTGCGATGGTAGCCCTGAAGTTCGCAGGGATGGTGAAGATATTCTTGAGCGAAGTGCGCCACGAGATCTCCTCACTGAGGTCCTTGGAGGCGTTGACACCGTATTCAAGAGACAGCAAATTGTTGGCGAGATGTTCCTCGGTGGCATGAGGGTAGATGCGTCTCAGCACCCTTTCGCACTCTTCGCGTCTGCCATGGAACATGAGCTGGCGAGGCGACTCGGGACACCAGAAGAGAAGGACACTGAGGATGATGGACGGGACGCCTCCGATGCCGACCATGTACCTCCATCCGTGTGCCACCTTGTAGAAGGCCGCGTCAAAAGCGTAGGCAAGGACCGAGCCGGAGCCGAGGAAGATCATGTCGACCGAGATCATCCTGCCGCGGAACCTCGCTGGGGATATCTCTGCGATGTATAGAGGAACGATCCAAAGGGGTGAATTAGTTAAATCAGCAAGACGTTTCCTTTTGTACTTGTTTCTTGAAGTTAAATGAGAACGATTGGACGATGAACTCGCCATGGAAGCGGAACCGACACCCAGCCCAACGGCGACACGACCCACAGACATCTGAGCGATGGTGTAGGAGCTTGCTTGTATGACAAGCACCGACGGTGAACAACACGGACGCAAACCAGATGGCCGGTCGACGACCGTACATGTCCGCAGTGACTCCGGCAACAACAGCACCGACTAGAGCTCCCGCAGCACAGAGTGCGGTGATGAGCTCCTTGTCAGAGTTGCTGATGGGCTTGTTACCCAAGGTCTGACCCAATGACGACCAGCACACCGGAGATGACACCAGTCTGTCTCGACGTGAATTAACAACAACCCGTCGCAAGGCTCAGTTCGGGAGTTGTACAGGCTGCGGAAGAGGAGCCTTGTGGTGCAAGAAAGATTACACGTACGTCGTAGCCGAAGAGCATGCCACCTATGGCAGTGGCACAGGCACAGAGCCAGACGAACCTGCCCGGTGTGGTCTCTTCGATAGCCTCGAGGTCGGCATGCTCGGCGACTTTGAGGACGGCGTCGTTTGAAATGGAACGCTCGAGATGCTCAGTGGCGGGAACGCCTTTAGACACGTCTTTGTCGTTGGCAGACATACCGCTAGGTTGAAAAGAATTATTTTAACGAATCGTTCAAGCGAGGAAAGAAGTCCCAGTTCAGCCTTTGACAGATCGTTTCGCCCTGACTTGAACTTGAGAGCCATTAGATAGGATGGGATACGCCACGGGAGGGCATCCTCGATTCTTATAGATTGGTGATCAACAAGATTGGGGGGGAGCCGACGCAGCCAGCACTTGAGCATCAAGTTCTAGCTTCGGCAGGAAGCCCAGACCTGGACGAAGCGAGCCAATGGCCCAAATAAGCACATTTTACTCGCCAGAGGATTTCATCGGCGCATTTGGCTGAATGCAGCAGGGGATATACCCCAGGTTTCCGGATGTCTTCCCCATTATTTCCCCAGAATCTGCAATCTGGGGGACCACCCGCCATCCTGGGCTTGGTTGGATCGGAAGGGTGTGTCGGGTCTGGGATCATGGCTCTGCAATTGTTGACGGCACCATGGCACGTGCTAACTGGTAAACGTTAACCCAGAAAAAGCCTGGGCATCTCTTTCCGAAGCTGGGGCAAGTCTTTCCGGCGGATCGCAGCCAGGGGTAAGTGTATCCGGTGTAAGTGCGACAACGCCCCCACAAACACAAGGCTCCATGGCACAGATATCGCGCGGAGCTTGCTCAACCACAGACGAAATCCCCATGCATCGTCGTATATGACATGTATCTGGACCCAGAGTCCCACAAAGGTAGTACGTCTGCTGTGCCTTGAAAATTCGCATCAGCATGTGAGACCGGACAAGTATAAAGGAGGGACACCTCCGCCAACCCTTCGGTTTTGGTGAATCGTGGCACGCCGTTCTCCTACAACCTTTCAGACCAAGAAACCCTCCTATCTCTCAGCACTTCACCTCTTCCCCCGCGCCACCATGGCACAAAAGCTGAAAATCGCGGCCGCCGGCCTCGGCCGCATGGGCAAGCGTCATGCCATCAACTTCCTGCACAGAACCCCGCGGGCCGAGCTCGTCGCCGCCTTCTCGCCAGACCCCTCTGAGCTGGCATGGGGGGAGGAGAGCCTCGAGCCGTACGGCGTGACCCTTTACGATGATTACAAGAAGATGATTGAGCACGAGGGGCTCATGGCCGTGGTCATTGGTACCGCCACCTCCGTCCACGCCGAGGAGGCCATACAAGCCATGGAGAAGAACTTGCACGTGCTGTGTGAGAAGCCGCTGTCGACAAGCATAGACGTCGTGAGTAACCTTTTAGACCTGGATGAGTAGTGGTGGTAGAGTGTGTTCACGGTCCCAGAAGCAGTGACTAATTTGGTGTGACGCTCCTGTGCAGTGCAGACAAGTCGTCGCCGAGGCCCGCAAGCGGCCACAACTCAAGGTCATGTGCGGTTTCACCCGGCGCTTCGACGAGTCCTACCGCGACGCCCACTCCAAGATGGAGCAGGGCCTGATCGGGCGGCCCTCCGTGGTCCGCAGCCAGACGTGCGACAAGCACGACCCGTCGGGCTTCTTCGTGGAGTACGCAGCGTGGTCAGGCGGCGTCTTCGTCGACATGTCGGTCCATGACATCGACCTGACTCTGTGGTTCTTCGGCGACAACGTCGTGCCCAAGAGCGTCTCCGCGTACGGAATCACGGCCGTGCAGCCAGACCTCAAGAAGTACAACGACTACGACAACGCCGTGGGCATCGTCGAGTTCTGGGGCGGGCAGATCGCCAGCTACTTCTGCTCGCGCATGATGGCGCACGGCCAGGAGGACGTCACGGAGGTCATCGGGACGGAGGGCAAGCTGTCCGTCAACACAAACCCCCAGAAGAACTTTGTCAACTACTACGGCCCCGACGGCGTCACCCGCGAGGTCCACGCGCACTACTACGGCCGCTTCGAGGGCGCCTTCGTCCAGGAGGCGAACGAGTTCGCCGAGTGCTGCTTGGACAACAAGGCGTTGCCGCTGGACATCAACAACGCGGTCAAGGCCGTACAGATCGGTGCTTGGATCCAGGAGGCGCTGGTCAAGGGCACGCAGATCCGGTTCGATGAGACCGGGAAGAGGATCGAGCAGCCCAAGCTGTGAGCATCTACCACGGGTATGGCGGCATAGATTTTGTGTTGGTAGATAAAAGTCAAAACTCATCCCATTGTTCTTGCAGGGACGCGACCATGGGCTCTGTGTTCCACGATGTGGTCTGCTGCATGTGCCGGAGGAATGTCCTGACCGCCTGCTGATCTGCCTTATCAACAAGGACTCCACCCCCTTTGAATTTACTCTTGTTAGTGGCAGCTATGAAACACAAGCTAATGAGTTTGACTTACAAACAGATAGGGCATGTCTCGCCATGAAAAGCAGATTTTCCGCCCCCTGGTTCGAGTTCGCGAGACCAATTATGCTCCTCAAATGCTTTCGCACAACACTCTAGATGCTCACAATATGGTTAGTCTTTCTCCGGCCTAAACTGAGTCTGTCTGACAACATTATAGCACTCTCAGGGCGTCGCCCTGCCTCCGAGTCACTTACCTCTCTACGTCTATTTTCTCTCAAGCCGTCGTAGCCAGACTTCTGAGTCGCTAGCTCCGACAGCGCAAGCAAAATGACAGCGACATGATAATATTGCAGTCCGAATGCTAGTCATTATCAGCTGGCCTCTTCGTCCACCGTTTTATGTCGACCCTGGGTTACATACCAGTACATGGCAGAAGCATCCATATCTCAGGGAGCCTCCTTACCTCGCCGCTACCGGGTCCTACCCAAGTTGGGTTGAACGTCGCCGGCTTTGCATCGTGCCACGCTTCCAGCTCCGCGCGTGCCTCGTCCAATATGCGGTTTCGTGACTCGATGTCCTCGACGGCGGTGCCGAGCAGTATGCGGGCCACGATCACGACTATCCTCGCCGCATACGCCATGTCGTCGTCCCGGCTGTAAATATCTGACTGCAGGAATGCCTCCAGGTCCGTCTTGAGCGGCGACTGCTGCACCATGGATATGTATATATCCTGGCGCAGGCACAGCCAGGCTGATGCCTCTCTCAGGCCTGGGGTGAAGCCCCAATCACGCATCGAATTGACTATGCGTGTCGTCCCCGTGAGATGGAGTCCTCGGTCCTCCGCTGTGGGAGTTTGTCAGCAAGTCACTTTGGATTTCCAGCAGGAGTCAGAGCTTAGGTAACCATACAGTCCATCTCCTCGTATTGTCGAAGTATAGCCACTGCGGCGAATATCTCCTCGGAAACATAGTTCTCGGGATTGGAGATGGTAGGGATCAGGAGATTCAGGCACTTGTCGTAATACTCGAGGGCCTCGGTTGACTCCTGTCCGCGGCGGTGCCTGTTGATATGCCGTGAGGAGAAGGCGAAGATGGCGTAACGCAGGGTCGGGTGGAACAACGCTCGACGAGGTACTTCTGTCTCGAAAGTGCGTCCCCGATCGGTGATGTCGGCCTGGGCCCGCGGTTAGAGCGCTCGAGGGAGAAAAGTTGTGGCGTCAGTGACACTTACCCATAGGGCCATATTGTCAGTAAAGTTCCGCATCAACACGGCCTCCCGCTGTGTCAGTGTAGTATTCGGAGGCCCAGAGGTTACGGAGAGCGGGTAAACTGTAGAGTATGAGCGAGAAGATGTGCTTTCGGGTGAGCCATAAACCGCAGACGGCTCTGTTCTTGGGGTCGACGACAGTATGGTGTGGCTATAGTTTTCATGCACCGGGGTTATAGCGTGCAACATTGCATAAGGCCTGGCTCTGCTGTTCCCCACCCCATCCGAAGACTTTGGGAGAGAAGAGCCATGCGCAGTCATCACTACGTCCTGGGTCTCAGGTGTCGGAAGCCCACGAGCACATATCGAGTCGTCAATGCCGGTTTGGTCACGGGCGTCGGGCCACGGGCCATCATGATCGGCTTCGAGGTAGTCCGGATCTTCATACCATCTGCTGACCGCGGTCGTCTCGTCCAGGTATGTCACTGCCCCGTCAGAATTATCGGCCTCTGAGGCTATTGGGTGACGCACTTACACTCTTCAGCGCTGTGGACCCAGGTCTGGTCCTCTGGGAACGAATACTTTTCTGAGCCAGATTTGTTGAAGCCTCGGAATCGGACATTCGTAGTCCGCACACATTCGATGCCATCTTTGGTGCAAGACTCGCATGATGGTATCTTTTCGTCACCTGCGACCATCAGTACGAGTTTTACACCCCTCTGGGATCTGCACCAGGAGCTCACATTTGACGTGCCGGGCTGTCGTGTCTCAATTAGCAGGCTCCATGCTCGCTCTGAAACACGGTGAACTCACCTCTGCAGGCCTGGCTAGACACCGTTTTCGAGTGTCAGCCACTCAGAGACTTCCATTCTAAGGGCAGCTCCACCTACCAGCCGTTCACGACTCTCGTCCTTCTGCTTGGCCCCGCGTCCATAACCACCCCTCCACGAGCTCGCCGCAGCTGAGCATCAGCTGCAAGCCGACTTTACTGCTGTGGTCATGGGCTCATAGATGACAGCGACAGTGACTTCAAAATGAACGTCCCCAGAAACATTGGTCAATCGTGGTCAGGTGTTCCTGTGGTCTGGATTGTGACTCGGCGTGCTTGTGGCTGTCTTCGGAAGGAACCAACAGTTGGCGACAGCTCGGCATGCTTCGGGATAGCCGTTTTCCATACCGCTTGCATACTGCGGGTTAGGGTAATGCCCGCGTTTCGGGACCTCGCTGCATTGATGGTTTGGATCTTGGGCTTTTCTCTCTGCGGCCAGATAGATAATGCCTCATTCTAGACCGCTTCTATCGACACCCAGATCTACCCACGCTAATATCGCTTCTAAACTGTGACCCTCTTGATATAATTGATCAACTCGTTCTGTTCCCTGGAAATCGAATCGCGAAACTCTGCAGCCTTGAAAACATCTTCGATTTCCTGTTCGTCAGGAACCCTCTGCCTGGTGTAATTCACGGGTCCGTCCTCAATAGAGTGGGGAACAAACACCGAGGCATTGGTGGTTATCGGCGTCAGGTCCTCCCGAATGCCCATACCTGCCGGATCTCCGTCGACAAACCATAAGCCAATCACTGGATAATGCGTGTTGTTCTCTGCATCTTTGAACTCGGGGAGCACAGCGAGCTCCTGCACAATATACCCTTCCATACCGTACCCTCCAGTGGTCGCGTCCTGGATCACTTTGCCATCTTGTCGCAAGACCACGTCGGCACCCTCACGGGCAAAGATCGGCTTCCGAGCGAAACTTGTCATTGAAGCGGGCTTCTCGTTCTCGAAGTATGTGGGGAGAAGCCACTTGCTTCTCGGGTCGTCTTTGAAAAGTTTCCAGAGGACGGCACATATCGCCTTGTTGCTCCATAGGAGCTTGTACGGTGGCTCAATCCACACGGTTCCCCCGATGTAGTTCCCTGATTCGTCATGCTTGCCGATGTTCTCCATGTCTTTGAAGCACGCCTCGCCGAACTCCTGGTTGACCATAAATTCCCCTTAGTACTGTTAGTCACCTGCTACGGATCCCAAAGTGATACATTCTGGAACATTCTAAAGCACAAAGATCGGGGATGTGTAGCAGGAGAAGAATGGTACGAACACGGGTAAAGCTTGAAGACAACGTCGATGTGTTCGCCCTGTCTGGTGTAGAATCGGCCGTCCTTGGTTGACAGGGATATCTCCTCCATCGTCACTGGCACGGTGGTGTAACCTGCTTGCTGGCATGTCTCCATCAAAAGCATGGTATTCACGGCATCTTCGCCTGTGGGGTCCCCCTCGCCGACAGCGAAGTGCACAACAGGCTTATAACCAAACTTTGTGCTGATGAGCGAGAGGTTGCGCTTCCAGCCGTCAACAAGTTTCTCAGTGATGCTGTTGTATTGATCGTTGCCGTGGCCTGTCTGCTCCAACCACAGCCATTGGATCGACCCAGCCTCCACGAGCGAGGTCGGCGTATCTGCGTTGAACTCATAGAACTTTGGCACCCGCAATCGTGGATCGGGATGGTCGAGACCTCCAAAGCAGACGTCGAAGCGGCCATAGATGCTGCCCCAAGCGGGCTCGGGGTCCCACGACTCCTTGATCTGCTTGAGTGCGAAGGCTGGAACTGCCATGTCCTTGGTGATCATGTCTGGGTGCTCGACAAGATAGTCTGCCGCCTCGCAGCACATGTCAAAGACGTCTTTTGCGGCACTTTCAAGGAGGAGTACCTCCTTCTCAGTGAACGAGTAATAACGGTCGTCTGGCCAGTACGGCTCCTTGGCACCGGGAGCCACCACGTCGCCAAAGACAAGACCTTGGCTCTGCACGAGCCGTGTGGCATTCGGCCTCTGCTTGCAGGGAACACGGCGCATTTTCTTTTTTTGGCGGGAGGAAGAGGTGTTGACGTTAAAACGGGGAAGATGGTAAACAAAATGAACAAGTTGTGGGTAGCTTTGGGAATCTTAGGTTGGTGTAAGTCAATTAGCGCGTTCGAGTCGTGGAACGTTCACACGTATGGCTGGCAGTGTCCATATTATATGATGACTACTATATATCTAGGCAATTGACACCTTTCTTTTTCTTTCCAACGCGCGCTCTCGGTGACTCGCGCGAGCTCAACGAACTGGGTATCAGAATCTAAAACGGCTGCATCGAAGTAGATCGACTATAAATGTCGTCCTGGGCTTGAGGAAGCATAAACAATGAATCAAGACTCGTGTTAAAATTGAGATCAAAGAGGTCATGATCTGCAAATCCCCATGGGCAATCACGCAGAAACTTACTCATTGTACCATTGGCAGACAGCGTACTGACTCAAGTGAGTTGTGAGAAAGCGCAAAGTACTAATGAGCTCCGAGATACTATATTTAACTCACCTGACTGGTCTGCTGACCACAATATTACGCGCGACAAATAGGACAAGATAATGAAGGGACATGCGGAAAAGAAGGGCTGTCACAGGACGAGAGGTTGATTTCAACGATAGGATCATATCTAAGGTGCAAATTTATACGTATCATTACCCAGAACCGAGTCGCATTGTAGTCGCCATGAGTGTGTATGAACATTGGACCCTACTAGTATGTATGGGCATTTTCTTTTCAACACTTCCAGACAGCGATATTAATATTAGCAAGTAACCATTGTTTACATTCTGGACTGGTCTTGTCTATTTTGTCGATCACTACCTTACCCAGCAGTTGGTGTTTCACATACTCATCCTTTTTTATAACATAGTCGGAACATTCGGGTCGTTGACTCAAGTATTGTGTTGCCATCTTGACTCAGGAGTCTCCTGTATGAATCTAGACCATCTCCATCTAGGAATATAAAAAAGGTCTTAAATGCGTGCCACAACCAAACAATAGAACATCAAGCACAAGTCACTGATTACCACAACTTCGTTCACTAATACCTCAATCAAACCAACTCCTCGCACATTCCCTCAACGCACGATGAAGACTCAGCACGTCGCACTCCCCGGGCTTCAGCTCGCAGCTGTTGCTTTCTTGGCCGCAGTCGCCGAAGCCAAGCCTTTCTGCACCGACGCCGCCGGCAAAGTCGTCGCTACCGCCAACTGCGTGGGCGCCGACAAGGCCAACTTCAACCTTGTCGAGTTCAACGGCGACCTGAAGGTCGGCGATGAAGTCCCCAACGACCCCGCCAACCCAGTCGCCCGCGACGTCAACTCCGGCCTCGTCAGCGGCGGATTCGGGCGCCGTCAGGATTGCGACCCCAACACCGAGAGCTGCAGTGGAAGGGGACCCATTGGTGGCTAAGATATATCTGGAAAACATCTGGAGGGGATTCTCACGCGGTTACTAAGATACGTCTGGAGAAAGTCTGGCGGGGTGTGTCACACGGTTAGATAGTCAAGAGCTAGCACCCGGTGTCCCTTCGCCAAACACTGGCGACGCAAGGTCCAATTCAACCTCTTTTCCCTACAAATTGGTGGATCCTGAATTACGAAATGCGGAATTCTACTGTATTTGAAGAGCAGTCGTGGGCCTCCTCAGAGGCAGTGTATAGCACAGGTGACGCCGTAGGCTCGGCCTGGTTATGGGACGCTGTTGTCTACTGCAAAGCCTCTCCGTATCAACAAGTTGATTTTGCTTGTATGATGCGCAAATTCTTCTGCTCCTTTGAACTCAACCCGCCTAACCATGTGCTGCGCTCCTATAAAAGACGCCACAAATCCCAGTAATCATCTAGAATCACCGGCAATTTCCCCTGGCGATGGTTGGCTTTGCCAGACTGCTGCAAATCGGCCTTGACCAATGAGATTTTGCCGGGCCCAATGTTCTCCTCGTCCAAAACGACGCAGACCCTCGACTCCGGCTACGCATACATCGGGCGGGCTACCTTTGCCCCGGATTATACTCATCGACTACACCCACGCAAGAATCAGGCCTTTCGGGAGTAGCTCGACCCAGTCGCCTTTGCCCGGAATATCAGTCCCCATTTCCTTGCGCACCGATATCTATGGAGGGCTCGCAGGCTGGGTTCCCCGTGAATGGGAGGATGAACAGGTTGAAAAGGAGTGGCTTCTGCAGAGATTCTACAACAACGGTCAGAGCCAACTCCACCCACCGCATGAAGTGCTGCAGCTGCTGTGGTCTTGACGGATTTGCCATACATGGCGTAACTTATAGCACCGTTTAACCCCCTAAAGAACAAGGGTGAATGTCTACTCGTAGAACTCACGTGGAACATGATGTGTTGAACACAAACAGAGCCCATAAGACTTCAGTACCTATTAATTGCATCCTCTGAAGTTTTAATAATCAGGCGTTTCGGGGTGGGCATAGTGGGAACCAGGGTTTATTGACAGTGTCAGCTGTGAACCGCCTTAATCTGTCAGCATCCCTGTTCAGGATTCTCTTGGCGCTTAACCAACTGCATATAGTCTACAACGTGCTGAGGCCCCGACCCAGAAGCGTCAAACAACCCAACACACTCAACTCGTTCGACTTCTTGAAGTCCCAGGTTAGGAACCCCATTCGACATAATGGGCGGGGTCGCATCTGTTCCAACAGACCCATCGCGCGAGGTGCAAGTCATCTCCGCGGGCTACTCCCGCACTGGCACCGTGTCAATGTCGATGGCATTGGACAAGCTCCTTGACGGCCCGATTCTCCACGGAGGGACGCAGATCCTCATACGTGGCGACGACTATTGCAGCCTCTGGATCAAGGCATATCAGGCCAGGAATGCTGGGGACAAGGAGACGACTCTGAAGCTTGTCCGTGAAGCGACTGCGGGCTTCGTTGGGACTGCGGACTTGCCACCGGCTGACTTTATTCCCGAGATGATGGAGCTGTATCCGGTAAGCAAGTTGATCCCTTCGAGGCAGTTGTGGACCGTTGGTCCGGAGATGGTGCTGATTGACTTCAATTGCTTGTAGGATGCGAAAGTGGTGCTCGTTCGTAGGGACCCGGTCAAGTGGTGGAACAGCAGTAAGGTTTTCCCATAAACGGGCATTCGACTCTTCACCCAATTAGTACAATTATTGACTTTCATGATCAAAGTCGCCGCTCTTACAAGCCGGACGACGCCAGCATGGCTCGGTTTTGTCCTGGCACCGATCCCTGGGTGGAGGTACCTCCACTTATTTGCAAAGGAATACAGTCGTTCCACACTCAAGCTCGCAGGCCTGGGAGGGACTGACGATACAGCGGATCCGTCTCAGCTGATTAAAAGGGGTGGCCCCCGTGAGTACTGCGTGCTTGATCTTCTGGTCACGTGCTAATGATGCTCTGAATGAAGACATTTTACAAGCTCATCACGATAAGGTGCGAGCTGCAGTCCCAAGAAGAGAGCAGTTACTAGAAATGGATTTGAGTGAAGGCTGGGAGCCGTTGTGTAAATTCTTAGGAGTACCGGTCCCTAACGAGCCTGTTGGAATATTCTAGATATCTAGGCTATTATTAATACGGGATATCCTTTTCCCCATATATTTGCCACTGTATAAAGGATAATAACTATAAATAGGGGCCTTCCCTCCCATAGAATAAACGTTAGCTAGCCTAATAAATTAAGCATTTAACGCTATTATTTCAGAGGTTATAAGCTTGGAGCTAACTTAAAACGGTAATGCTAACTTAATATAGAAAATATACATTATATAACACCCTTAATCACCACCACTTCTTAAACCTTTTAAATAAATAAGCTTTATACTTTAAGATAAACTTTTTAATTAATTACTTAATTAGGCTAATTAATAAGCCCTTAATTAATTAAATCGCCTTATTTAATATTATAAATTAACCTTATTTCCTAATTTAAAGCCTATATATAAAAACTATACTTTTTTTACTTAAATACTTAATTATTTCTTTATTAATACTTAATTTATTTATATAATTTATATATTATTTAAAAGCCCTTATTAAAAATAATAAGAGCATTTCTTTAAATGTTAAAAATTATATTAAATTAATATTAAAAATGTAAATTTTAATAAACTTATAATAATCTTTAAACTTCTTTAAAAATACTTAATTATATCTTAGCTATCTTTAATTTATAATACCTTAAAAATATATTATTTAAAAACCCTTTTTCTTTTCTTTATAATTATATTACTTTAATATTTATATTTTTATTTCTTAACTTATTAAATTTATTTAAAATTTATTATATCTTTCTCTTTATTATTTTAATTATTTTAATAAATACTTTATTTATTTATCTTAAAATAATATTTCTTAATAAATATAATATTTTACTCTTTAATAAAATAAAAAACTATATATATTAAGGCATTAAAATTTAAGCTTAACTTAAAAAAAAACTATAATTATAAACGTATTATAAGGGTATAGCAGCACTAGGCATAATAGGCATTATAGGCAATAGGTATTATGGGCAATTAGCATTAAAGCACCGGCAAGCAAGGGTTACATACAGCAGCATATAACCACCCCTAAATAGTTTATAGCTAAAGAAAGGTTTTATAGCTTATAACTGCAACCCTTCATCCTTTTATATAGCTAATTTAAATATAATTAATTTATTATTAATTAATATATATTAACTTAATTAATATTAATTAATAATTATTTATAAATAATTATAAATAATAAAATAAGTAAGTAATAAATTTATATTATTATTAATTAAGTAATAATTATTAATAATAAGAATTATTATAATTAAATTATAATATTTATATTAAATAATTAATATTAATATTATAAAGATAAGCAATTATTAATAATAAAACCTTACTTAATTAAATATTAATAACTATGCTATAATTAAAATTAATAAGAAAAGATTAATAATATCTTAATCTTTTTATTATAAAGATTTAATTTATTAATTAATAAATTTTTAATAATGCCTTAAATTTATTAATTATATAATATATTTTATTATATAATTAATATTAAGAATGCTTATAATTACTTTACTTTAATATAAATAATAACCTATATTTACTTAAGTTAATAAATATTCTTTAATAAATATTCTTTTATTATATAATTAATACTTTCTTTTTATATTTTAAAATAACCTTATTATATTTTCTTAATTACCCTTTTTATTTTTCCCTTATATATAAATTACTTAAAAATTTTAATAGCTTAATAAAATAATTAAATTTAATAATAATGTTAAAGAAATACCCTTAAACATTAATAATGCTTTTATATAAAAACTTTAATTACTTTTTAATTTTAATAAAAGATTTTAAAGTTAATAAATTAATTTTAGCTATTAAGATAAATTAATAATAAAAATAAATAGCATAATTAATTAAATAAATGCTATTATTTTTAAGTTTATAAAGAAAATAATAAAATATTAAAATATAAATAATAATTTACTTTAATACTTTATAAAAAACTTTACTTTTTAAAATATAATAATATTTAAAAAATTAATTATTATTTAAAACTTTAAGAAATTCCTTTAAGAAAAAGGAATTAATATTAAAGGAAGTATTAATAAGTAATATATTAACTTAAAAGTATTGCTTATATATAATAAATATCCTTTATAGCAAAAAAAAGAATTATATAAGGCGGTTAATATATATAAACTCTTTAAGTTTTATATTTAATAGCTTTAATTTTAAAAATTAAAAATAATAAATACTTAAAAAATACTTATTATTTAAGAAATTTAAGAAATTTTAATTATTAATATAATTTTATTATTTATAACTTTTGCTTCTTTTTATTAAAATTTAAAGTAATTAATTTTCTTTATTAAAGATAATAAAGAATTTTAAAAATTATAATCTTTTTATTTTTAATTATTTATAAAATTAAAGCAAAACTTTATTTAATTAACTTTCTTATAATAAATATTATAATTATTATTTTATAAAAAGAAAACTTTTAATTAATTAAATATAAGGGCTTTTTTAAAATATTAAAAAATATTATTTTAATAAAAATTAAGTTTATTAAAATACTTAAAAACTTTATAATTTAAAAAATAATTTATAAATATTTCCTTTAAAAAGTTAATAAAGACTTTATATTTAATATTATTATTTATTATAATATTAAAATCTTTATAAATATATAATTTATATTAAAACTTATTTCTTTAAGAAATAATAAATAATGTTTTTAATATTAATAATAATATATAATTTAATAAGATATAAAATAAAAATAAAAATTAAAGTAATAAATTATATAATTTGCTAAATAATAAAATAAGAATCTTTCTTAATATTTATTAAATAATAAATATTAAACTTAAATAATTTTATATAATATTTTTCTTAATTTTTAAAAACTATATTAAAATTTATTATATTTATTATATTAATATAAAGTCCTTTATTTATAATATATATTTAAAGCTTAAAACTTATTTTAATATAAAGATTAATTATTAATAATACTTTTATAATTAAATCTTAATATTAAATTCTATACATATCTTATAATAAAATCCTTATAAATATAATCAATTTTAATGGTTAACGTAATGATTGCTTAATTATTGTTCTGTTTTTTAAGCTAATGAACGGTGGGGGCTGGTTTTTATCCGTGAATCTTGGTGCCTTAGGCATTCACCGTGAATTCACGGTGAATTACCGGTGAATTACCGTTCCCTAGTAAATTCACGGTGAATTCACCATGGGACCGTCCAACCACGGTATATTCACCGTTGGTTGGATCTAACACTTAATTATATTTAATAAAATATATGCTAACTTAAAAAATATTAATAAGCATTCTTAAAAGGTTTTTATTATAATATTTAATAAACTATAATTCTATTAATAAGTACTTAATGTACTTTATTAAAAAAATAACTTTTTATAAATAATAATTATTTATGCTTATATAAGTATATTAAAATTATAATATATACTTTTTAATCTTAAATATTTATATAAAGTATTATTTTAAAATTAAAATCTTTTTTTAAATTTAATTTTTAATATAATATTAATTAATATTATAATAAAAATAATTAAAATATTAATAATAAGGAAAATAAAGTATATTATATTAATTATTAATATTAAAATAATAAGCTATTAAGTTATAATAAATATAATTAAAAAGGCTTTAATTATAATAACTTTAATTAAGGTAACTTTAATTAAAATAACTTTAATAATAATAGCTTTTATTCTTAATATAATTTTTATTATAATAATTAATATAATATTTTAAGAAATAAAAAGTATTATATTTATAATAAAAGTAATTATTAATTTTAAAATTACTTATTAATAAAGTATTAATAATACTATAATTAATATTTTATATAAATAAAATATATTAATTATAAAGCTATTAATATTAATTATATTATATTTTTTATAAAGTATAAAGAACTTAATATAAAAATTATCTTTAATAAGAAAGAAAATAATTATAAAAATAATATAATATATTATTAAATTATTATAAATAATACCTTTCTTTATAATTTTTTTTAAAAAATATAATTATTAAGGAAAATAATATTAATAAAGATAAAAAAGATATAATATTTATTTTTACTTTTTAATTTACTTTAATTAAAAAATATATTTATATTTAATTTTAAGGTATTATTTTTAATATAAATATTATAATCTTTTTTATAATAAAATATAAATAATATCTTACTTTTTAATATAAAAACTTTTTTATTTAACTTAATACTTTATAAATAAAAAAAGCACTTATTAAATTTAATAAGAAATTATAAGCTTTATTTTTAAAAATAATAATAATAAAGGCTATAATTAATTTAATTACTTTTTATATTATTAAAAAATATATTCTTTTTTTACTTTATATAAATAATATAAATAAGTTATATATTTATTTATAAAATATAATAAATAAATTAATTTAATAATAATTAAATAACTTTAAGAAAATATTTTTAATTACTTAAAAATAAGAATATTTATAATACTTTCTATATACCCTTATTATATTCTTTATAAAAAAAAATTATATTAATTATATTAATATTTTAAATATTTATTAATTAAATATTTTAATTATTTATTAAAAAATATTAAATATAATATAAAAGTAAAAACTTTAAAAATTATTATAAAGTTTTATTATTACTATTAGCTTTATAATTTTACTTTATAAAGATTTAAATTTACTTTAAAAGATAATTATAACTTTAATTATAAAATTATTATTAATATTATATATTCTTTTAAAAATAAGCTTATTCTTTATATTATTAATTTAATAATAATATTTTAAATAACTTAATTTTTTAAATTACTTTTAATTAAAGATATATAAAAGGTACTTT